TGCCCACTTAGAATGGGTCTCATTTAGGACCAATACGACAATTCCTGTTAACGTGGTTGACAAAAGTGGTCGTATTATTTTAAATGGATTTAGTACGGCCTTTTTTACATTATTTGATACCTGTATTATCTCGATATCCAAAACATAAAAGCATGAACCTCACTATGCGAACAAGGACACACGCCCAATGGACTTTAAAAAAAACACAACTAATGAACTGGTTCATGTATCAAACGTTCACTTACGTTGTCGAGAAGAAGACCCATTTGGGTCAAATAAAGCCCGTGCCATGGGAAATGATCTCGAGAAGCAGGTATTCTCATGGTGTCTGAGAAAAATCCACAACATGAACTAGTTCATTAGTTGTGTTTTTTTTAAAGTCCATTGGGCGTGTGTCCTTGTTCGCATAGTGAGGTTCATGCTTTTATGTTTTGGATATCGAGATAATACAGGTATCAAATAATGTAAAAAAGGCCGTACTAAATCCATTTAAAATAATACGACCACTTTTGTCAACCACGTTATGAGGAATCCGACGAGTGCAGCCATGAGACAAGGCGCAAGATATAGTAAACAACCCCCTACCTATGGATTCGCTAGAAAAGCAATTGAAAACTTAAATGTTAGCAAGTAGGCGTTTGAGAGGGGATGGCGATCTTGGTTACGGTGCTTACATATGATCCTAGCGCGACGGCAGCAAGAGCAGAGTGCTCATTGACTGTAAATCCACCTTTCTTCTGTGCGGTGGATGATGCTCAAAACTCTCTTCCCAATAGCTTGAGTCGGAGCATAAGATAGTGCTTTCATGTTCACTCTCAAGCCGGACGGCATCCGGAAGATAGGCTGGAGGTTCAGTATTTTAGCGGATAGTATTTGCAGAGCTCTTGAATCTATGTTGTTAATGAATGCTGAAGGTTGCTGCCATTGTTGAACCCTTTGCCTCGCCTGCTGTTCCTGTTCCTGTTGCTCACGTTTTTTTTTTTCGTCGCCACCTGTTCATCGTGTGTTTTTTACTGACGATTGGTAATCCCTCCAATGGCGCACTTCGAGATCGGCGTAAGACCTGTGCATGCCACCTAAAATAACGAACGCCAGCATAGCATCGTAGTAACGGACTGAAAGACCGAAATCGAGTGTTGAAATGCTTATCATGAAGCGTCCAAGCAGTAGCCGACTTTGCGCCCATACTTGTCAATGTTCAATAGGGTAGGATGGCTCAAAATCAGTTTCTACAGAGGTGCCCTAGAATTCGAGCTGTTGCATAGTTCGTATCGTGCCTTTTTTTTTCTATGTTTTTTTATTGCTATATTGTTACCTGACAGATGCCTCCAAAATAAGGTCGTGGCTAGGTCGGCCGGCCAAAAGCCCGTCCAGAGTAGACCTGTATAGTATTTTATCCAGACATCTGGCCTAACGCATCATATAGTACATAAACGGGGACATTACCGACTGAGCAAAGGGTTCGCAGGTCAGACATTGCCAGCTGTATATTGTAGCCGTTCAAATAGGAGGGCAGCAATGTGTCTCCTGATCCTTGAACGACGGTGCTAATGACGATCGTGCCATGGTCCTGGCCTAGGATAATCCACATAACGCGTCCGTGTCCCTTACCGGAAACGGGATCGCGGACAGGAGTGCCAGCGGCGCCTCCGATCCTGGGTGTCCCCTGGCGCGGTAATGAGTCGGACTCACATCTCGAATGAAGGTGCAGTCGATCACCAGAATCTATGTGATAGCATTAATACGAGCGAAAGTGATGGGGTCCATAGCGACGAAGCTGGCGATGATGACAACTATAATGATGGTGTTGACGAGATCGATTTGCCTTCAGGAGGCCGACACGATGGAGATGCCTGCTCCTAGTAGAGAAACTCTTCTCAAGGCAGCTTTTGGAAGCGGCAGGATGCGAAGCGAGAAGAAAGTGCAACTGCTCAGGACCGAAAATCGCCTAGGCATTGATGCGGCCCTTTGAGAATGATGAGCCGGAGGCATGGATGTTGGTGCAGCATTAATGATGATTTGGTAAGGCGGAAGGTAGTAGCGTAGATGCGGAGGCACACACCCTTGATAAATAAGGTTTTGGTGCTGCTAGTGTTAATCCTAGGATCTTGAATCGCTGGATCCAGAGTAAGTGCGGACGACAGGCCCATCATAAAGACGTTCATTAGTTGTTGAGGGTGATGCTGTGCAGTCGGGAGGGCTGAAGAAGATTGAACGGTTGCTTCGGATCCGCATTTATAGGATGGTGGCGACTGGCGGAGATTTGACTGTACCTGCTTGTGTAGATGACTATGCTGCATTTGTACGCGTATTCGCAGGACTTGGGTCGGGGGCGAGGACATACGATTGTGATGCCAATCCAGAGGGACTACGTTGGCAGTCTTCTGGCAATCCATGTTTCTCGACTACAGGGGATCGATGGCAGACGAAGTGGATGAGAAAGGAGAGAATGATGACTGGTGCCAGAACCTTTTACGTTTTGTTTCCTACACTGCTTTTAAATTCCATTCCGGGATGCCTCAGTGGAACGTCGATGTTTTTTTATAGTGCGCAGGCACTGTTCATGCTATTCAATCAACATTGTGTACCATTATCTGCTGTGGTGTAGACACGAAATCCACAGTTCTGCGCCGGATCGAAAAGGCAGGGCCATCTGACAGGTCATGCCATGGCTGTGGACATCTGGCATGCCATCTGCTGTCCTCGCCGCGTGAACCGGGTAGGCTACACTACTGAGGATGTCTCCTTTGTTCTCTTGAGCGCGAGGGAAGTATAAGGACCACGCGCTGCTTCCTTATTTTTTTCTCAACTTCAACACTATCAACATATACAACTCTCATCCGCATCGTATATCATTTATCATTTAATCATCGCCATGTTCTCTTCAACAATGCTCAGCGCATGGACACATCGCGTAAGAGTCGCATTTAGCGCTTCGCTCCGTCCTATTAATAAAGAACAGAAACCGGAAATGGTCCCGCAACCGATGCCCTCGAGACGAACAGTGGTGGTGAACAAATCGAAGAAGCGGCGTCATTGGCTGCCATGGAGACGTCGAACAAGCGCGCCAAAAGCCATTGTCATATCACTCCCTTATTGTCAGCGTATCGGACGGGCCCCAAAGAGGACAGGAGCGACGCAGATCGCGAGCGCTACGAAAGAGACCCGCAGTGTTATCGACAACCAAGGTCCACTTGGTCAAAATACGTGTTACTTAACGGCCGAACCATCTAATTTATACCATACTATTTTTGACCGCCCAGCAACGGATCTTGACGACAGCGAAAGTCTCCTTAGTGTCTGTAACGAACATTCATATGAGCTTCCGTATGCCTACAGATATCGAATCCATTACGGATCCCATGTTGAGAATATCGAAACCCTATACAAGGAGTACGGGTGCCTGCTCCATCGTGCGGACGCGAAAGGAGAGTCTGATGTGCTACAGATACAAGGTCTTGAAAGCGGAATTTCACAAATAATCATTATGGGAACGCAGAAACAGAACACTTTGGAGTTGATGACCAGTGCACATGAATCAATCTACGCGGATTCACCTCGATTACGCAGCTCCACGCCCTTGACTCGATGCAAAACTTCTCGGGAAGTGTGTCATCCTGTTGAAGCACCCACCCTAGAATTGCCATCAAGCTCATTGATCTTGACGGACCCGGAATCCTCAGCTGCATCGGAACAAATATCGGCGATGCAGACAACACCACATACCAAACGAAGCGTATGCCGCGAGCTGATTTCCTCTCTGATTTCCTCTCCAATTTCCCCGCCCGCGTTCGCTGAGGGCAATGACCGATGGGCAGCAGGCGGTCGAAAGCAGGGTCGTGAACTTGAAACGGCTGATATCCATGTCTCTTCTTTTAAGTCAGAGTAACGATTGTTCATGATCTGAGCCACATCCAGCGTACCAATTGACCCTAGAAGTGCAACGACAGAGGTGGGAGTCCTTGGCAAAGTCTTTTTTCACGGTCTGAATATACTGGTGGAGCATTGATGCTTGAACGCCGGCAAGGGCCGCTTTTCGCAACTGGGTGCATTGAGATAACGAGCTCGCTTGAGACGGTGAAGTGGAGGAAGGCGAGAGGGTTAGAGGCGACTGAAAGATAAAGCGGTGAGTGCCTAGAGCTGACCTTTCCAATTGGCACGCGTCAAAATCCATTAATAAAGTTTGTGACCATGGACTTCATACGTGGCATTGATCATCACGACTCTCGAATCGCCTTCACACTCTTTCAACTCGACATCACAATCCTCGATCAGCTCAGAATGAACAACCTGCAGAACAGAGCCAATGCCGTCTTGGCCTTTTCCATCTCTGCCCTGTTTTGTCTTCTCGGGGTAACAGAAATACCAGGATCATGCTTTATGCGAAGCAAGGACAGGATGGTACAATCGACCATTAACAAGGAGTATCATTGCACTTACCCCCGCCCAATCGATGACACCCTCAACTAGGCCATCGCTCTGAGCGCACTTGTCATTCCCGCCAATCCAACTGGCTCTGTCGCGCTCGATTCCATCAAAGTGTAAGACGTTTTGTCCACTGTAAATTGGCTTGTGAACGTGTGCCACCACTGCGTAGGGATGAGATACTTAGCAGCTACTTGTCACTTTCAGTATCACAGGAAGATATGACAAGAACTGGGTCGACTACAGGACACGAGACAATGAATTCGCCAATACGGTGATGCAGATTGACGCTGGTATCGTTTATTGCTGTTATTGCACTGTAGTGTTATTGAACGTTTGCTCGGCATAGGGATGTGTTGCTTTCAAGGTTCACTCGACTCAACAGCATGTATACCAATCATTATTTTGTCTGCTTTCAGATCTATCGACACTGTTCCACTGGAACACCAAGCAGCTTTTTGTCTATGCCGTGGCGGAGTACTCGACCCCAACTCACGTAAGAGAGACTGAACATCTTTTTAGGAAACTACTGTATATTCTGTAATGCATTTCTCACTGTATAGTGTCTTCACTCCTGCTTGATTATATTGATAGCCCAAGAACCAGATTGTTCTCTGGGATACGATTATCAAGCGCAAGTCTGACGCTTTGCTTCGCAAAAAAGGCATCCGCAACAAGTACAGCCTGATCGATGTGAACAAGAAATGGACGTAAGTCTTGCCCGCCTTGGAAATCGTTTATCATTACTGAGCAATGAACAAAGCCTCGGTCAATGTTCTTGAACTTAAACAATGCTTGCCTTCTGCATGGTTCAATTATAGCAAGGTCAATGCAAACGTTTCCCTTCATTGGAACATCGTCCCTTATGTCGGATTCATGACCTACGGTCATTCTCAAGCTAGCAAGGGCTATGCATTCCCTTTGCCCAGTGGCAGCCAGACGTAGAGAAGAATAAAGACTGGATATCTCGACAGAGTTCGTGTTTTCAGAAAAAAAAAAAAAAAAAGAAAAAGAAAAAAGCGCTTGCGTACCCTTTGGTGTATATACTTCCAACTGTTCGAAGTCCAAGCAGGCAAACAAGCAAGAAGAAAGGTGTTTTCGGCCTTACTTTCCATACCCCTTCTTTGGATAAGCCGTGGTACATGCGTGCGTAATAGCAATACCTTTCACCTTTTTCTTGCCAGGATATGAATGTAGCTGAAAGGTATCACGTCCCAGGCTTCTCGGGGTGCGAGTCTCTTGTCACCAACGGGCACTTTTGACCTGTATGTTGTTCTACACACTGACAAATCCTCCCGGAAAATATTGAATGCAGGCAAAGTGTGGGGATGTTGCCAGACCGAGGACAGATGAAAGGTGCGCTCGCTCCTAGCAGCCAAATCTGGTATAAGCGACGATGTTCGCCATCTCTAAGGTATAACACAGCTCGCGATATCATACCGGATTTTATTTTATTTTAATTTTTTGGAGACATGCTTCTACATTACAATGGCTTTGTGGATCCTCTGCGTCTACATCGTGCCATACGCGTCCGTCCACAACCCCCCCCCCCCCCCCCCCCCCCCCCCCCCCCATCAAATAACGTCAGTCTGGCCATCTTGTATGAGGGATCTTGGGAATCATCTGAAGGGGGTCATGATGGGAATAGGAAGAGGGGGGCGGCCTTGTCCTAAAAGGGGGTGGGCACTCTTTTTTACGTTGCTCTCTGGGATACTCAAGGTACAAAGAGCGGAGCCAAGAGGGGCAAGAAGAGTTACCCATAAGACGTTATCATTACTAACCGCTTTCAAGGCCGAAACCTCTCTATCAAAGAATCTAATCCCACTGCCCATTGCCCTCACGACCAACCCAGGCAGCAGACAGCAGGCGACATCATGGCAATGAGTTTAGCCGAATGAAGTGGATATTACGCTCAATGGGACGGAAGCAAGGGCGATGGGACGAGATGGAAGTTTGTGATAACGAACATCACGGTGCGATGGATCCGCGCTACTGTGTGGCAGTAAAGGACTTTCCTCCTGTGCCTTCCTGTCGCAGTACCTCCTACTAGTCCTATGCAATCACCCTGCATCTGAATAGGTTGGCTTCGTCACTTCTTTGTCTGAGAACAGTCCCCTCAAATGACACAAGGCTGTCTTCATTGGTCGTTTGCGCGCCGAGTTCTCTTTCTACGACGCAGACGTTTGTATATTTGTATATTGTGCCTCTCGTCTAACCCACCATTGGTCTTCTGCACCTCGGCTTAACGCCCATCTCAGGTGTTCCTCTAGCACCTATCCTTGCTTCCTGTCACTTTCCTACTCACTTCTATTTAGAAGGCGCGTTTTATACCAGCGCATCTAGCTCTTCATGGTCTATTATGATAATAAAGTAACGTTGGACTGTACCCAAGCCTGTATGTCGTAGCGATAAAGTCAGTGTTTAAGTGTTTAAGTTAGTTTGGCTAAACAAGTTCAGTATGCTACAGATGAGGGTGCATTCCTTTCTCTCTACATTGCTTTTGGTAGTCATCATCGGCCCGGGTCTACGCGAGATATCGATGCCCCGGTGTATCGAAAGCAACCATCTCTTTCCCGTACATTGCCTACGTTTTTTTGTGAAGATGGGACACTGGCTAGTAGCAATCCTTTCCTTCTCATTGTCCTGCCTTTTTTTGATTTTATATATACACAATATACTACGTTTCATTATCATTTTCACTTTACGTTGTTGTGCAATTATATCCTTTTCCTTCAAGGAGAGCTACCATTTCCTGCTGGCCTGTTGTTTTCTGCTTCCAGTTACTGGCGCCCACTTGATCGTCTCGCCCGTTTTATATTATCCAAGGGCGACGTTATTGATTCCACGCGCTTGGATCCCCGCAGCAACTCTTCGACCGAAGTAGCCGATTCCCTTTTCTCGGTCCACATCAATTATTCTCGCATAACTCTCAGTTCTTGCTCACTTTCATCTGCCTTCTGACCTTATTCACGATTCGTTTCTCAAGGGTTTCCCTCTACGATTAGGAAACGTGTTCTTCAAGCGACTGCAGCGTCCACATCCTGGCCACTTCACCCCACGACCTAGCAACCTGCGCGTCCTTCTCTGGCATTGGTCGAAACTGCGGATCGTTTGATATACTATCTTTTTGCACGACTTATCGACCTCAATAACTATATAGTCCGATAGCATCACCCCTTAGTTCTTAGAGCGTCTCAGTACCAAGGGCAATTGTACTTTTTTGTGTGAGCCGCCCAAGCTGTGGGTTTCCCTTTTTACGCTCTCCACCATAGACGCACTCTGTCACGCCAACTCCATTTCTCTCTTCCTTTTATTTCGAACATACATTTTTGTTGCTATCTTCCTCTCTCTCTCTCTTTCCCATTTGGTTCCTTCGTCCTCTCTTTCTTCGCTTCGTACTACTATCGGTTTTTCTGCTCTCCCCTTGGAATCTGCCTTACTTGCATCCTCATCCCATTACAGTCTTTTTCTCGCTGAATCGCGTTCAGATCTCACCCTGCACTACGCCTTCTACATTGCGTACCCTAGTCCTTGAAGGCTGTCCTACCGTACGTTTCCTTATTGGTTGATTCATGCACGCGTTCGAGCACTGCACACAGCCACACTACATAGCGCGCACACACAAGGCCACGCGCACCCCTACACACGATCATGCATATATACACATACACATGTATACATACACACGCACGCTGTCAATCCCCGGCTCTACCTTGAAAGGATCTACCTTCAAATTTACTCACCCACCTCGTAGCTGTTCTCTTGGTCCCTTAGCGCCCCTAATCCTTTTGTCGCTGCTTACATAACACGTCTTTTTATCAGGCGTAGATTTAGCGACCAAATCCCTACACGTTCTCAAACAATAGCCCTCTCCGGCGTACTGCTTCAGCTTCAACGACATCAAATTCCCCTTCTTTAGGTATGGCTGACTGCCAGATGACAGCTTACATGAACCAAATATCGCCAACCTCGCCTGCTCCTCCGGCAGAAAATACAGTGCCTGAGAAAAGGATGGAAGAGAATTGTATCTGGAGTACGATCACCAGCTACTACGGCGAAACCAGGTACAACGGGACACCAGAATCCATTCAACGCGACAAGACAATACTAAAAAGACCGTTCAAGAGATGGTACATCGCTCCGGCAGCCATGGCCTTCCAGGCCATCTGTGGATCTGTTTACGCCTGGTCAGTCTTCAATCGGCCTGTGGACATAGCTATTTATGGCACTGATCAGGTATAATGCGCAACCACTTGCATCCAAGGGGTCCTGATAGCGGTGACCGAAAAAAGGAGTTCCCGCCATGGAAACAGGGACCCAGAGTTGTATGCACCTGAATTAACCATCCCCGTCTCCCGTCTTTAATATCTATTCCTTTTTTCGCTGCTTTTTCTTCGCTCATTGAAACGCGAAAATGACTATTGCCCCCTATAGAAAGTAGCACCCATTACCTTCTACATCAACATTGGATGTCTAGGAGTCGCCGCCTCTTTGCTTGGGCCATGGCTTGAGAGAAATGGGCCTAGGAAAGCGGGCATCATTGGGGGCTCGATGTTCTGCTTTGGTCACTGGGTTGCCGCTTTGGGCATCTACCTCAAGGTAAATCGAAGACATAGGCTATGCACCCTACATGCCACTATTACAATTACGATACTCCTAGTCTCTGTTGACAAGCCATTAGTTAAAACCGCTGTTGCATCGCTGTCCTCCTGTAACGCGACTACATGAGCCACAATTGTCATTGTTGAGGCCCCCTCCCTTTTCCCCTTTTCACACTTCTCCTGGGCACAAACGTCATATTTACTTTTGACTATAGGCTTGAACGTTGTCCTTTCTACGCCCCTTCCTTGCCTTTCTCCTCCTTCTCCTCTCTCCCTAAGAAAATTTGAAAGCATCTGTGCAATATACAACTCACTATTGACCTAGTGCATTACTCATTGCAATGTAAAACCAAAACGCGCTGCAGTCCATGGCCCTGGTCTTTTTTGGCTATGGAGTCATCTCTGGGCTCGGGCTCGGGCTTTGCTACATCAGGTACAGTATGCTTGACCACTTGAGTCCAATTGCTTTTTCATTCTTCAGTTCTTCTGTGTCTTCGCAAAATGATGCTAACCACACCATTTTTAAATGACATAGTCCAATTTCAGCTCTCCAAAAATGGTTCCCTGAGCGAAAGGGTTTCGGTGCTGGATTGTCTGTCTGTGGTAAGACTTGGACCTGAACTCGAAAACCATTCAAACTGGCGTTCTACAAAAGTCCTCACATATCCACGTATCTTGTAAAAACATATTTTCCATCCGCATGGCTAGGGTTTGGTATCGGTGGTTTAATCTGTGCCAAGATTCCCCTGCCTCTGATCGAGGCTATTGGACTCTCTCTGACATTCGTCGTCATCGGTGCCACGTACTGGGTCATCCTCATGATCTGTGCTTTCGTCTTTCGGTTCCCTACTCCCGAGCGCACCAAGACCCGCGGTCCGGTTTTCCGTAATGGCACTGTGTTCATCACCCGTAAACAGCAAAAACATGGCTCTGCATACGACGACAAGTCGATGCCTCCTGTCATTGCCGATTCCAAGGCCCCACCGCAGAACAGGATCGTCTATGAACCTGCGATTGACCTGACTCTCCGTGAAGCCTTGAGCACCTATGAGTATCTAGGCATGTACATGATGTTCTTGGCCAACCTAGTCTCGGGTCTGGTCATCCTGTCACGTCTTGCGGATATGTGCATCAACGTCTTTGAGAAGAGTGCCGATACGGCCTCGACCGTCGTCGCCATCAACGGTGGTTTCAACTTCTTTGGTCGCCTAATGTTCTCATCGCTCTCGGACGTGATTGGCCGCAAACCTTCGTATCTAGTCATGTTGGGCACCCAAGTGGTCATCCTCGCGGTCCTGCCACTGATCTTTGTCACCAAGAATTATTGGGCATTCCTCTTGGCCATCTGGACCCTGACTTGTGCCTATGGCGGTGGGTTCGGTACCATCCCGGCATTTATCCATGACCTGTTTGGCATGCACAATATCTCAGGCTTGCATGGAATCCTCCTGACGGCTTGGAGTATCGCCGGTGTGGGTGGTGGTATCCTGTTCACATTGATTTACAACCACTTGATCCATGTTCGCGGCTATAGTCCCTCGTCACCCGAAGTGTACAACATCAATTTCTACTGGCTGTGCGCGTGTGCGGCGATCGGATTCGTGGTTCTGTTGTTCGTGCGATCGACCGTCAGGGACCGACTGTTGCCACGCGTGGGTGGCGAGGTGACGAGGCTACGTGTCTTTGGAAGGATCCTGCGATTTGAAAAGAACGGGACCTTCAAGTTCAAAGTCAAGTACCTCAGACAAGACGAGGAAGAGAAGGAGTGGGCTTCATTCTGGCAGGCAAGTTTTAAAATGGATCTCAAGGTAAGTATTAGATGATTTTTCTTTTATCTAACCCGTTTAACATCTTCCTTCCTTCATTAACCCTATGCCACAGAACATCGAAGTTCGTGAAGAGACTACGGTTGTGACGACGACGGGATCCATGGGCGGTGTCGTAGGAGGTACCGAACGCTCTGGAGGAAGCGTTGCTGCTGAGGGGAACGGAGGCATCAGTATGGGCGTCGGTGTGGATATGGGCCTAGGTGATAATTCGTGGACGGACCTGACCAGACTTGATACTCCACGCCAGGATGTCCCACGCAACGGTATCCTCCGCAACAATATCCCTCGTGGTGACATCCCCAGGGGCGAAGTAAGATCCGATCTTGTTTAAAATGGACAGAAAGATCGGGATCACGACAAAAAAAAAGAAAAAGACACACAAAAAGGTGGAATCCCGATGTCTCTTTTCCTTTTACTATTCTTCCTGCTATTTGAGCCACATTAATTAACCACAAATACACATCTAATTTTCATCGCATCTCTACTCCCATTGTTTGGTTACGCATTCATGCGTTCAAAGTTAACTAATATTCATAGACGTTTCGACAAAGATTCTTGACGTCAACATGGATTTTTTTTATTTTATTATATTCCCTAATCCTCTGTTGACACTAAATTGCAGCGCCACGCTGTGCCTTGTGTGCCATTGGCAGGGGCGAAGCAATCATGCTAAATTCGGGAGATCCACTATTGCAGGATAAGGCCTGTTGCTCAAATATCTGCATCTGCTGGTCCCAGACGGCTTGCAGCCTCTCGTAAATTATCTTCAGCGTCGAGTTCGCACCTTGTTGTTGATGCAACGTCACCTTGACCGTCCTTCTTGGCAGTGTTGAAGGATGTGGCAGTGGTGGATATGCGCCTGCACCTTGTCCCACCGGGCTGGAAGCTGCAGCGGAGGGATGATGGTGCGGGGGATGATGGTGGACACCTGCGCCGCTGCTGTGTTGGAGGTGATGGTGATGGAGGAAGGGATCCCTAGCAGCGGCCAAACTGGTCGACATAGCCGCTGCAGCGCTTGAGAGAATCGAACCGCCATCGCTAGCACGACGTCCTACTATACCCTCCTGAGACATAACTGTGGCAGGGACACCGCCTGGAGGGAGATGGCTCTGACTATGGTTGCCGTGGTGGTGGTGATCTACCGTGGCCAAAATAGTGGCGACCGCGGACGACGATGAGACATGGCTACTCGTGTTGCTGGCGCTGCTGTTGTTGCTCATGCCACTGGTGCCCGATGCCAGGAACCCAGCTTTCTCGTTCACTTCAACCTTGAACTTGACTGCCTTGGCTGGTTGTTCATTAATGACTAATAATAATAAAAAAGAAAAAGAAAAGGTAAGGGCCATCGAACCAGTGATGGCTATTAGCCGAATTTAAACGACTGGTTTATCACTTACCCCCGCCTTCATACCGACACTTGATCCCATAAGATGGTTTCTTATAGCACTCCGTCTGAATGCTGTTTTGGAACAAGTTCTTGAGAATGCCTTCGAGTCGCTCCTGGGTTTCAGCCGCAGACCAGTTGCTTCGGAATGTCAAGGGCTGTGGCTTAAAGTCAAAGAGCCTTGCGAACCAGGGTCGTTTAGGCCCGCTTGGTGACATGGATGTAACCGGTTGAACACTAGTGGTACCATCCGAAGCTGTACAAAAGCGTGATGGTTGTGAGATACACGATCCTATACATATATTGTCCCATACAATAGTCGACCAAGAACTGACTTACATTTCCGAGAGTGCTGAGAAACGCAAACGCTCATAGTCGTTATTCCCGCAGATGCCTTGACATCCAGCAGATGCAGGATTGGCCTTTGCATTTTCTTGCTTGCTGTAGACTTTTTAAACGTTGCATCCACTGAGGATCCCATGCCCGGGCTTGCTCCTGCCCTGGCTTCTGTTTCCGAAACTGCTCGGCGGTCCAGCAGAGGAGGTGAAACTGCATCAGCGATTTGTGTCGATAATACCTGGCTTTCAATAGAAGTCGTTGCAGATGCACCTTGGTCGTTATCCGTCATAGACTGGGACTCCATCGTCTTGGCAGTGTCATGTTGACCTCGTTCAAACTCCATAACGGTATGCGCAGCCGACGCTGCAGCGCTAGCGAGGCTGTTATTTTTATAGACGACGGAACTGCGTTGCACGATGGGCGAGATAGGTTTGGGAGCGATGACCAACGGATGACAGGGTGCTGGTACCTCTGCAGATGTCATCTTTTCCGCTCCTGAGATAGGTTCGGGAGCTTCGCCTTGGACGACACCTTCTTTGTTACTCTCCGCCTTGAGAGTCGGCGTAGCAATTTCGACTGCAGGAGTTGGGTTGACAGAATGTCGTCTTCCTTGTTCTTTTGATGATCCCCTAGACGTGGATAGGGCATCACTCGCCAATGAGCCCACCTTGACCTCTCCAAGTGCCTCGCCCTGCCTTGGTTTCGTTATCGTGGACGCTTCGAGAGTCTTTAGGGTTGGAGAAGGAGATCTTGCCGCAATTTTTGCAGCACTGGCAGCCCGAGCGACTGCAGCTTCCAGAGGATTGAGCGTCAGCGGGGATGGCTCGATTGGTGAAGTTTTAATCATGGGTGAAAGAGGAGATCCAGGCGAGGTCAGGGGGGAATCGCGAGGTGAGCGAGAAGCCCGAATGAAGTCTGGTGTATGAGAGCGAACACTGACAGCAGAACTAGGGAAGGAGTCTGCACGACGTCGAGGGGCATCTATATCAACAATAGTATCGTATCCGTCAACAAATGTGGTCCAGGCCCAACGATGCACCATAGAGTTAATCCTCAATGTCCGTGACATTACCTGGTACCGATCCATTGTCGTCGCCAGAGTAATTCTCGAGGAGCTCTGTCTTGTGCTGGCACAGCAGATGGTAAAAGAGTTTCTCCATGTTTTCTTCATCGTTGGTAACCTTGTCCTCGATCTCGCGCAGTAGTGCCTCTTCATCAAATACCTCCTTGGCCTCTGGATCGCTATGAGAAGGTCCTGGAGCAAAGAGCCAGCGCATGTGAACTATGATCTCGGCATCCAGCTCTTCAGGCAACAGTAGTCGACTGCTCTCGGGATCCTCTGCTGGTTCTCCTAGAGTATTGCGGTCAGGGTTGACCATTCTGAACCATGGGTGCATCATGACTCCTTGCATCTATTACATGCATGATTCAAATATGATCGGGGTGTGAGACAGTTGGTAAAACGATTCGTGAGTTGTCGAGGAAATAAGGCAGCAATCGATTCCTTACGGTGATTCTCCGCTTGGGATTAACCGTGAGCATACGACTAATGAGATCGCGTGCTCCAGGCGAGATATCTGTCGGCATGTGGAACTTTCCTGCCTTGACCTTACTCAGCAACTGACGGATGTTTTCGTCGTCAAAAGGAAGATGTCCTGTCAGAAGGGCATAGAGGATAATACCACAGGACCAGATGTCAGATGAGGATCCGTCGTATTTCAATCCCTGGGGAGTGGGATCCATAGGTTAGCCATAGATATTTTGGAGTAGGGAGTTGTTGTATTTTGCTTAAGTGATACCGACTTTGGGTTTAAGGCACTTACAGTAACCACTTCTGGACTTGCATAGTGCGGAGAACCACAGCTCGTTTCTAAGAGACGACCAGTCTTTTGCAACGACGCCATGCCGAAATCAGCAATCTTGACATTCATACGGTCGTCCAAAAGTAAATTCTCGGGCTTCAGATCGCGATGACTTTATACATACATATAAAAAGAAAGGAATTAGAGATAACCCTGTTAAGACACTGTTGTTCCATATCTGAATGCTGGTAGAGTGCAGATGCTTACCAGATCTTTCTCTTGTGGCAGAATGCGAGACCGACTATAATTTGTTGAAAAAACCTTAGAGCCTCAGCTTCCTCCAGCCTTCCTTTGTTGACGAGGTATTCAAAAAGCTCGCCTCCTGACACGTACTCCATGACCAAAAACCTATAAATTTGGTGACAGGAGTCGAATGGGCGGATAGAGTTCGGATTAAATTTGGTGGCAATCTCGTCGCGTGGCGATGAAACCAAACCACAGCGAACTTACAATTCTTTCTCGGTCTCATATACATCGTATAGTCGGATGACATGGGGGTGGTTGATAAGCTTCATGATGGCTATCTCGCGCTCTATACCGCGATTGACAGCAGCCTTGTTGGCCAGAGAGGCCTTCGAGATGATCTTGACGGCCACCTGCTCGCCCGTCTTTCGGTGACGGGCGAGTTTGACGCAGCCTGTGGGAGGTGGACGGGTGCAGATGCGGCTGTTAGTATACAGTTCAAACGAGGGAGCACAGGCGGCGGAGTTGATGTGAGCGTGATGGATCTAGTGTTCTCAGCTGGATGCTGAGATAAAAAAAAGGGGGTCGATGTTGACATAAGGGATCTAAAGTAGCACAAATCGATGCATGTGCAAGAGGGAAATATTGCCAGTACGACCTTGGGCAAAGAAGACGCGGCAGGTGATGTGAAGGCGATGACGAGAGTTGCAGTAAATAGTACTACCAGGGGGGAGAGCGCGGGAAAAAGTTAAAAGCGCGACGGAGGGAGCATATTTTAGGGCACATGTCCATGAAATGGCCGATGAATGTATGTGGTCTGACAGGGTGTGTCTGTGTGTACTTTCATTATGTCGCACCAAACAACCACTACAATCAGAGGACATGTTCTGTGTAATCTCCAGAATCCATATCCCATCTTCGGACCCGCCGTACGATTCTTGTTCCTCCCGGTGATGATGGATATTGATAGAGTCTTCAGTGTGGCAGACAGAGATCGAAACCACATCGACCTAACCCAACTGAACCCTCGTCTCTAGCCCATTTTAGCGTCCCTGCGAGTAGTGCAGGCAGGGCAATAGGAGCAAATTGTTTGGATCTGGGGATATACTACAGTGAAAAATCAGAAATGGCTTTTTTTTTTTTTTGTACAAGGGAGGGCCGTACCTGAAGAACCTTTGCCCAGAGTCCTTCCCAAAAGATAAGGTCCCACATGCTCAGGTGCGGCCTTGGGTGTCGTCGACCTCGTCTTGATAGAGTCTTTGGTTCCTCGGTCCGTAGAATCTCGTCTTGAGCGAGTTGCAGGGACCTTTTGCGCCTGCTGTTGAGATGTATGAGGATGGTGCGAGGATTGATGATACGAATGTTGTGGGTGATGATGCCCAGAGTTTTGTTGCGGTTGCGGCGAAGCAGGAACATTGGCGTCACGAAATTCCCTAGCCAAGGGCTTGGTGGCCGTCTTGGGTGCAGGGGAGCTCGGAATATGAGGTGGGGTCTCCATAGTGAGAGGATGAGGACGCTTTCTTTCGGCCAGCATTACTATAGTGGCGTTGGAGCTCACTAACTAGGAAGATGAGGGGAGAGAAGTAGGGCTCAAGGAGGAAAGAAAAGGAGAGAGGAGGAATAGGTGTGGACGAGGAATCAAGTCGCTCGTGCTCGTGGCTGTAGTATATCTATGGGATGTGGGTATATTGGATGATGGAGGGATCGAGCGAGGGAGTTCAGGAAGGGAGAGGAGGGGAAGAGCGAGAGTTTGAAAGAGAGAGAAGAGGGAAGTGAAAAGAGGGGCGGAGGGGGAAGGGAGGAGTGAAAAGAAGCGGAGGGAGGAAGAGTGCACACAGCTACTGGATGAAGTAGAAAGCGGAAAAGAAGAAAGGAGTCCTTTGTAACTTTGTATCGCGGATGGATCGCAGGGCGGGAGGGTTCACGCGGTCGCAGTCGAGACGCAGAGATGGAATCGTGGTATGGGACGAGGACGAAGCGATGCTGGCTTGAGGTTTCGGCCAGTGGTGACAGGAAGGAGGATCTAATCCAAACACGAATCACTAGGGAAATGAAAAGGAGGCAGAGGAGAGATAGGAAGGGAAAAGTGGAGGAGGGGCAAGGGAGGAAGGCGTGAGTGCCTTTTGTCCTAGCCTTCATTTTCTGTAGACATGCTTGACGTGTTGTAACAATGGGTGTCTGTTAATTCACCCCAGAAGTGTAAAGTGTGCGGAAATGGAGGGGGAAAGGAATTTGTCCTCCATAAAATCCGGTGTGGCCGCACGAGGAAGCATGCAGCGGTGGGATGAGCAGGGCGGTGATCACCAGGCAGCACAGTATAGGGAAAAGGAATCATTGAGCGCGTCTATCTATCTGACCAAGGAAAGGAGCGAGCCAAATTTGCGCCTAAACACATAATCTACACACGACGAGATTCTTTCGCATAGAAACACGAACCACCAGGCTGTTGCTAACGAGGTCGATGATGCTGGCGATGATGGTGATGACGATGATGATGATGATGATGATGGTACTAATAGCAATAGCATCGAAAATGATGGTGCGGAGTACACACAGGGGCTCACCGCACACAGCAGAGAAGAAGGGGAAAGGGGACAGAAGGTGGTTCAAAATACAATAAATAATACCGAAATGAGTGTCGCCACGATCAGTAGCCTGGATGCAGCTTACGACTACAGATGATAAGCTCAGCGCCAACAGTATAAGGCAAAACAGCGGGCCAAACGCGTCTGAGCGAATTTTGGATGTGTCGATGGGATCAGAGGGCAATCGAGTGTGGTCAAGGTGGTGAATTCGTGAAGGTGGTGCAATCGATTAGATGGGAGACAAAGGGGGAAAGAAACAGAAAACGAGAAGCAGGTTTAAATCGGAATGGGTGGAATGGCAGGTAAGGCGAAGCCCAATGGTATCGTCCAAGCGCTGTGCCAGTACCTGTGCCGGTACCTGTGCTTGCGCTCGTGCTCATGTTGTCCCCCCATATCCTCTGTCACTGCGTAGTACGTCGGCCATGGTGTCCCAACGCCCCATGGGAAGTGTAATGATGTGCAAAGAGAGGGCGGCAGCACGCATGGATCTTTTCCTCTACTCTTTGAATTCATATGCACCCATCCGTAAGCCAATGCACGAGTATGCATGCAAGAAGTAGGGGACAAAAAAAGGAGGACACTCTTATCATGTAATGCATGATTCTCGTGGAAATCCAAGGTGTATACCAGGCCCTCTTGATGCGTTTTTGTGCTCTTGTCGCAAAGTCCTCAAAATGAGATAGATATGGCGTTTAGTAACGCGTCTAAAGTGTGTGGCCATATGATATTCACTGCGCAACGCCTTGAAAAACTGTGGCATAGTGCAAACTCATGGATGAGGGATAGATGGCCGAGACTGACGGGAGCGACGGGGGACATTTTATTTCAGGATTGGGGGGAGGGGGTTTACTGCTTCGTGAAGAAAGTAAGTTGAAGCGAGGATTTGCTCCTTATTTCCATAGCGCCGATTGAGGCGGCGTACAATTACCGTTACTCCCTTAGACGGATGCGAAGAAACGGTAAAGTACACTTCAGCCGAGACTGCCGAGTGTCATACCTGTAGTAACGCGATCACTTCTTCGTGCGTTGATGTTCTGAGACAATTTTCTTGGTAGTCGGAGCTCACTTGGGTAGGCAGTGAAACGTGACGGGCCGACAACCAGAACGAAGTCAAGGGAGCTTGGACGTACACAGCGCGGTGGGATAGAATAAGTCGAGTCAAAGAGCAAGTAGGCGATAATAGCGGCGAGGAATTGACGTGAAGGCCCGTTTGAGGACAGTAGTTGTATTTCCCACAAGGGGTGTATATATGCCGATTCGTATGAAAAAGAAGTGAGAGAGCAAGAGAGAGGCAGTAGCGAGGGGTTTTTGACGAGATCGTCTACTGTATATATGTCGTTCAACGTGGATAACCGATCTCTTTCAGGAGTGAGCAGCGGTGTTGCTGATAGAGACTACGTCTTAATATTCTGTTCAGGTCCCTCCCTCCTTGCTAGATGATCGGATGATCATGAGGCCTATAGATCATAATCCCCCAAGTTCTGGAGATCTAAGGAATAGCAGGATAGGATTCAGTCAGTGTCCGTGGAGTGCGTGCTTTCTGCCTACCCTCTGGCTGGAATGAGGCCATCTTGGTGGATCTGTACGAAGGGCTAAAGTCCAATAGACTGATGAACTCCTAAAAAAAAAAAAAAAAGGCGTCTTTTGAATTCTCACGTTGTTCGTACGTTTATAATGCCTCCATAGGAGCGCATATAGTATTGCCTAGGACATGTAGGTGACACTGTTTAACATCAAGGCATCACAATGAAAGCGCCTCGTCTGGTTGTAGGAAGACAAGCTCTGAGATGCGCCTTTCTTCCTCGTTTTATGTGTAGTATCCTTGGCTCATCCGCATGCTGAACTTCTGCAATTTTCCATAACCCGGATTTTAATTACCACAGTACTTCCCTTCACCAAAAAGGACAACACTATGATTGTTGCTGACATATCGAGTAAAGAGCAGGCGCCTCATAGAGGCCTATAGGGAAAAAATCATGATGCAAGTTAGTGTTAGCATGCTCGAAGCCGCTTCAAAATCTTGCCCGCGCGACCATCTCGCATCCGATCCTGATATTGCCAAATCACAGTTGTTGCAAGGTATAACCACAGTTACAGGAGCAGATTGTTTTGTGTAGTGTTTGGCGCAATACTCGCTGGTTAAATTGTCATTTGATCGTTGCCTTTGCTCATATCAATCCACATTACGGCGACATACAAGCCTGAGGATCGCAAAGAAGAACCTCAATGTTTGACATTTCTAGTACACAAGAAGCTGTTCGCTCCCTTCTCTCAAGACAATATCCTGTCCCATTTTGACCTGTCCCTCACAGTGGAGAAGGAGGAAAAAAATAATATATATAGAAGCTCAAAAACTCCTTGGCCAAGCCAATGCAGTCAAGCAAGCAATTAACTGCACTATCACCATAATCAACGACATAAAAACAACAGGCAGATTCACATCGCAAAAGCAAAAGCTTATTATCCTCAGCATTAAACTAGCAATTGCTGCCTAGAGGAATCTCAGACGGATGGATGTTGAAACTAAAGGTGCTCTTCGCGGACTATAATGCTCAGGATGGAGTGCGTGCCAGTGTTGCCAGTGTCGAGGCGGACCCGATAACTGCATCTCGGAGCAGCAAAATGCAGTCGTGGTTTGACGGATAAGGATTATTTTTTTCAGGATGTATCCATGCTGGTCCACAAGGTCCCAAGAGACGTACAGAGTTAGCTCTATTCACCATCGCAGGAGTTACCAAGGCCTTTGGAGCCTACATGGAATGGAGAATTGTCGGTATCGTCAATGGGCATGACTATGCCAATAAAATCTGCTCAGGAACGAAGTTACCGCCAATTACATTCTTGCCGAATCCTTAGCTGTCAAAGGTACACAAGGACATGGCCGGCATACAGGACGAGTGCTGTCTTTGTCAACTACAAGTGTATGACACAGAAGAACTTTGCTAAATCCATTCGAATCAGCATTAAACGAGTTCGGTGCGATCATTGAGAGCATTGTCTTACACCAGCGAAATCGACGCCGACTGCAAGCCATGGTCGATTCTTCGAGCAACGTGTCGGATGTGTGTTGGTATATCTGTTTGGATCATGCAGACATCGTTCGCCTGCCGCGACACCTCTAGCAACTACATTACCTTCCATGTTATTTTTGGTTGCAATAGATGCATAGAACAGGACGGGTTCAAAGGGGTTCCTACTCAGAAGAAGGCGGCTGATAATGTGAAGCAACATCCTGGCGACCTGCACCGTTCACGGTTCCCTACGACGTATATACGGCCAAAAATAATATGTAGTGAGCGCCTTGCATTACAAGTTAACCTGCAAAACAAGTTACGATCGGGTTTTCTTACGGGCACTGAGCAAGCTGTCGGGAAGTGATACCTAGTCTGTCTTATTATTAAGGAACGAAGTTATACGATAAGGTACGAACGATTGGACGTCGAAAGGCTGCATAGCTTGATGAATACCAACTGTGATATGCTGCGCCTAAGGGCTACTTAATAGTTTGTACAACTTGACGTAAACAGGGGTAGAATGGCTGGGGACAGGGGCAGACAACCTGAAGAATTTATCATTCCTTGGCGGTACCGCAGGTCGCTTCCTTACGAGCTACAGCATTGCATTGGGACGGAAAGGCAGTTGAGATCCACTGTCTCGGGGGGGTGCTGAGATAAAAGAGACAATGGCATGAAGAAAGGTACTGGCCACAAGAATGGGCAACAATGTAGCGCCTGTACTTCCACTTAGCGCGTTGCTGTAATATGTTCATGTATTCAGTTCGTATGAACTATTAGTCCAAAAACAAAACACCAAGAGCCTGCGTTGGCAAGCCCCGCTGAGAAAATTTTCGTCCCCGCATCTGTATCTGAGGGTATATAACTAAGTGCCGCACTATTTCCTTGCGCTCTTTTCTCCCTCTCTCCTCCCTCTCTTTGCACACATATCCTCCCTCCACCACTTCTCGGCTGCATACTTTCATACACACATACACACACAGACACACACACAGGCACACAGGCACACACACACGCACAACATGCCCAAGGAACCCAAGGCCAAGGCTGCAAAGCCCCAAAAGAAGAGTAAGCACGCCCTCTCACTCTCCATCACCATCACCATCATCATCTTCATTCTCCCTCCCCCTCCACCCTCTTCCTCCCCCTCCATCCTCATCCTCCCCCTTCCCCTCCTCACCACTCCTCACTTCCCCCCCCCCCCCCCCCCCCGCCGCTCCTCCTTCTTGACACCCACCGTGTCATATATCCTGTCTATGCTTCTTTCACTCTTCTCTTTTGTTCCAAACAAATACCCGACTGATCCACTGGGGCACGCCATCACTTGATCCGAACCATGACCTGAGCAGATCGTATGGCCACTGCAACCTAAGACATTTTCAGGCACATAAAGACAATCCCCCTTTGTGTACATCTCTTTTGCTCTTTTTTTTTTGTGGTTGAAGATCAAGCTCGCGTCTTGACGATCCAAAACTCGATCTGTCGATCCGAAAGGCACACCCATGGTGTTAAGTCTGGTTTGCAAACGCGTTTTTGTTATTATAAGCTCGCAATCGTCTTTGAGCCGTGGACAGGAACGCGTTTTTTTATATTTTTGTATTTATTTTTATCTTTCTACGCTGTTACTTCATAAACAGCTCATGGATATCAGCCAAAAAAAAAAAAGGAAAACGCGTTAAAGCATTGAAAATTAACCTCAATCTCAATGACGATATTATCTAGTCCCTGCCCTTGATATGCCCAAGCGGCCCGGCACTTCCTGGAACATGTTCTTCAGGGAGCACATGGAGAGGGTTAAGGCTTCCGGAAAGCCCGTTGTTCCCACTGTTGAGGGTGTAGTTGCCGCGCAAATGTGGAAGAACCTCAGCCCTGAGGAGAAGCAGGTATGTCAACGGACGGTTGATGGAGCGTGCGTGCCTCCCTACCGTAGGATCATGCATCAATGCCTCTCGATATGGACATATACTGATATCGATACTGTTCGTGCTTGTCGACATCTAGGTCTACCAAGACAGATACAAGACAAACTTTGAGGAATTCAAGCAGCAAACTAAGGACCGTCTTCAGGAAATGACCCCTGCAGAGTACAAGCAGGAGAACCAGCGCCGCCAGGCTTTGCGTGATGCCGGCAAGAAGGGTCTGCCCGCGCTCAAGGACCCTAACGCTCCTAAGAGGCCCTTGTCCAACTTTTTCCTGTTTGCCAAGGATCTCCGTGAGTCTGGCAAGTACTCTCATTTGTCACTCAAGGAACAATCCAGGGCCTTCGCCGATGCCTGGTCCACCCTTCCCGAGGCTGAGAAGACCAAATACACGGAAAAGAACAGGACTGCGATGGAGGCCTACAAGATTCAGAAGGCTACCTACGATGCCCAGACTTGAACAAGCACAACAGCCGCATCTTGCAATTGCTCTCCTTTCTGCTCTGCCTACTGTCTTTATCCATTTAATACTTTTCCTGCTTTGATGCGTTTACGAATAAAAGAGAACAATCATCTTTTCCTTGAATGCATCAAAATAGGGTATATTTCATTACGAATACAGGATGTGTGTGTTGTGTGCATAGATAGGATCTCGCTCCATTAAATGTTTGGACTTGCACCTCATATCGTTGGTATCCTGACGAGTGAGGATCGCTCTTGATCTTGATGCTCTGCTTGCGCTGCATAATTCTCTGCAGAAAAAAAAAAAAGAACACGGGCCATGTAGACATGGGCGTTAGATTTGCTTGAGGGCTTGTAAGTGTAGAACGCGTGTCCTGCGTGCAACGGTCGGTCGCTCTCATACGTACCCGTCAGGTCAATCGTTCGAAACACATCGGCCCAGTTCTTGAGGACATTCGATGAGGCTAGGAAGGTGGATCAAAAAGACACAGCGATGGAGATTCAGGATGAGATTCCGGACTTGATCTGTCTTTGTTTTTCGATAGGCTGCAGGCGATTACCCTGGTTGCCCTGAACAAGTCCATCGAACTTCTCAGACAGCTCATCAAAGTGTGTCCGCAGATGACTAGCGAGTTGTCTCAACACGAGGAGGTGCTCCAGTTCCTGTTTCTTCTCCTCCTTGCGCTGCAATAGATGCGGTGGTACTGTTGACGAAGACATGTTCCTGAGTCGCTAGTGTTCCTGTTCCTGTTCGTGTCCGTGTTCGTGTTCGTCCTCGGTCGTGTTGTGAAGCCGCAGTGTCGCGTCTAGACAAAGGGATGCGAAGCCACTCTTTTTTGGACCCTGTTATTGCTTTGCCTTGCGAGAGGGAATATCCAGGGGCACGGCAGGCCCCTCACCTAGCGTTTTGGGTCTGCGGGCATTTGGCTCATCCTTGTTTGATTGGTCCACGACTGGAAGGGCACTCACTCACTCGACCAAACACATCCACTCCTTTTGCATACAAATTACAATACTGCCGTTGCTTCTGTTGTTGCTGCTGCTGCTTCTGTTGTTGCTGCCGCTGCTTCTGTTGTTGCTGCCGCTGCTGCGAGCAGGCAACAAAGCGCCTAGTAGCAGTAAACTATTTCAGATCTCGAGTACTGACGGGTATGCTGGTAATGAAAAAAAATAAAAAAAAATGGCGTCGTGTGCACGATGACCTCTAGCCTGCTTTGTGCGTTTGTGTGTTTATGTGTTTGTGTGGAGAAGGAATAAAGAAATATACGAGTGGATTTGTACACACAACTGCACCGGGCGTTCGAGCCAAGAGTAGCACACTTGCGGTTTCGACATGCACCGTGTAGAGCTTTTTCTTGGCTGCTCCTCTACCATGTAAGGCATACGTTCTCTACGGAGGCACTTTTATTGACATCCTCATTACCAAGAAAAAAAAAAGAGTGAAAGCAGGCAGCGTTGTGGTATTGTAGGAGCATCTGCAGCTGCTCTCAATTGACCTTCCAAGACAGGCCTCTTCAAAGTAGGGTTGAAGTAGCTACATGTGGCTCTCTTTTGTCTTCAACCTTTTTAGGCCTGGACTTGCGACAGATAGACAGCAAACAGGGACATGGAGAACAAAGAGGACACTCAGGGAGGAGGATAGAAGATGGCGGTAGGAGGGTGACCAAAACAAACAACGAACGGACACACACCCCCACTCCCCCCTCTTCTTCTTCTTATTCTTCTTCTTCCTCTTCTTCTACGTCTTGGTCTTCGTCTTCTTCCTTTCATTCGAAAACTCCCCCAAGGCTTCTTTCTTCTTCTTTTCCCTTTTTCTACTCTCGCCATTTCACTTGCCATTCCGTTGCATTCGCCTCTTCTTTCACCCTCCCCCTGACCTGTTTACCCCGCTTGTCTCATAATACCTTATTTCACTTTTGCTCACTTCTCCATACCACACACTCCGAAGGCATAAGCTAATTGAACCGTGTCCGCCGCCTGTCCATACTATCCATATCATCCGCATCGTCCATGGGGAACCAGCTCAGCAAACGTCCGACTGCAAAGGGAGGCAGTAGGGCATTTTCCGATGACAGCTCTGCTGAATACGCGACTGCTAACCACATCGGTCGTCCTGCGCCCAGTGGTGACAACCCGACCAGTATCGGCAACAGCGTCAATGGCACATTACACCAGAAAGAGACTCCCGCTGTGAACCAGGGCCTGCACACAATGGACGTAGGCAGTAACGAGGACGCTGGTGATCCTATCCCGGCCCATGACACAGGTAGCCGTGGCCTGCCTACCTCTTCCCTCCCTCCTAGGCCTTCTCAAGAGGTGTCCCAGAGCCCCATTGCCGGCAGCAACGACGCAAGCCCAGCCTCTCTCCTAAGGACTCTTTCTAGGGACGTCAGTCCTATGCACGTTGACGCCTCTGTGGCCTCGGGCACCATCCTTCCGAGCCAGGGCCTGGAGTCATCTGAGAAACGACTAAAGTCGTCCGTGATTGGCTGCGACGTGATCCAGCCCCCGCCTCTGGCACATACGCAGGACAGTTCGCAGCACCATCACCATCACCACAATGTGAGCCAGTACCAACAGCAGACCCCGCACACAGCAAGCCAGGCAGGTGTGGGTCCAAGCTCAGGGTCCAGTGGTCCACTGTCAGTTGGCCAAAATGGACTAGCGTCTTCTGGCGATTTGGTCTCACCTGCAGCACCTGCAGCATCAGCAACAGTTGCTTCGATAAGATCCAAAGGGGAAACAGCGGCCGCAAAGACAATGCAACAGCACTACGACCACATTAAAAACAGCATTCTCGGCAATAGCAATGACAGTCTTAACAGCAACAACGACGATGGTCATGGTACATCTCTTAATAGCCATGACGACCATCAGCAAGCGCACCAGCAATGTCATAGCAGCAATGATAGCAAAGACACACTAACGGAGCCAGTGCCTGATGGAAACCAGCAACAGCAAGAGTCTTTACCGCCTCCCCCACCGGAACCCAGCATCCCCTTTGCAGTTTCGGAGCCAGGCGAACCCATCTTAATTAAGAAACCTAGTCTCACGCCCCTGACCATACCTCCCTCGGGCATGGCCTCGACACGGGCTTCGCCCCCGCTCTCACCAAAGTCTGGCAGCCATTCCAGGTCTTTAGAGCTCTCCCCGACATCACGTCTACCATTTTTGGGATCGGTAGCGGACAAAAATAAGGCCATGGATTTAGACGACATCATCTCGCGATTGTTGGATGCAGGGTATTCGGGCAAAGTATCCAAGAACATATGCCTGCGGAACAACGAGATTGTATACATCTGCCAGACTGCACGGGAGGTGTTTTTGTCACAACCGACTCTCATCGAACTGAATGCGCCGGTCAAGATTGTGGGGGACATTCATGGGCAGTACACGGATCTATTACGGATGTTTGAGATGTGTGGATTCCCACCGTCGGCCAACTTTTTGTTCCTGGGGGATTATGTGGATCGTGGCAAGCAGAGCCTGGAGACAATTCTTTTGCTGTTTTGTTACAAAATCAAGTATCCAGAGAACTTTTTCCTGTTGCGCGGCAACCACGAGTGCGCAAATGTTACCAAAGGTACGTCTTGCACTCTGAAAAACAATAACCACACTGAAAAAAATTAGGGAGGGGGGAGGGGGTATGCACTTACTCTGGAGATCTGCTGCTGCTTGTTTGTCATAGCCTGCTGCAACTGCTGTGCAGATGTTTAAGGCTGAAAATGATGGACCTCGAACCCTCTTTTGGTAGCTGGTTGCTTGGTGTAGAGGTGTGTTTACAGGAGCGTGTTTACAAGAGTGTGTTTACAGGGGCATGCACCAAGTGGGGAGTGTGCATTTCAGCGCACGCTACCCTCCCTTGTGTCACAGACATCTAGACAAATGCCTTCTTGTTCTTTTGTGGGGATGAATGAATAGTGTCTGTCGATGACTATCCATTGCTCATCTATTTCTGCTCTTACTCGTATGATCTCGCATACAGTCTACGGATTCTATGACGAGTGCAAGCGTAGGGCGAGCGTGAAAATGTGGAAGGCATTCGTGGACGTTTTCAACTGTTTGCCTCTTGCCGGCATTGTTGCCAACAAGATTTTTTGTGTACACGGAGGGCTCTCGCCGTCTTTGGGCACAATGGACGACATTCGCATCTTGCAGCGACCTACTGACGTACCGGATTATGGTCTACTAAACGACCTGCTTTGGTCTGACCCTTCAGAGACAGCTCTGGACTGGGAGGATAACGAGCGCGGTGTGTCTTATTGCTTTGGGCGGAGCATTATCCAGAAGTTTTTGAACAAGCACGATTTCGATCTCGTTTGCCGGGCACACATGGTAGTCGAGGATGGGTACGAGTTCTTCAACGAGCGGACGCTGGTCACGGTGTTTTCGGCACCAAATTACTGTGGGGAATTTGATAACTTTGGCGCGGTGATGAGCGTGAGCGAGGAGCTACTTTGTAGCTTTGAGCTGCTGAAGCCAATCGATCAGGCCACTGCCCTGGCACAGATGCAAAGTCTGGCTGCCACCAACGGCGGCTGGAGAGTCAACAAACAGCGGTTAAGGTGAGCGACGGCTGGATGTCCTGTGTTTTATTGGCCGTATGGGTCCTTCCTTGACTGACCTTGTGCTTCTCCTTACCTTTGTGTGCCTGAAAACAGCATTCCCGACAGCAACTCACTATATGGGACATCCCAAAACAGCGCTTTGGGCACATAGGCCTCGTTCCCTTCCCACTCTGTCTTATGTAATTCGTTTTCCTAGTGTGTTTTTGTGTAATTGTAGATGTGCCTGTAAAGAAGAGTCGAAACAAAAAAAATGGATGTGAAGCGCCCAAGGCGACAAATGACATCAAACGCGTCTCCATCATTGCTATCCAGCTGCTCTCCAGTTTCCTTTCCAAGGAAAAGGGAGGAAGGCTTCTTTCGCATGCACTGATTTGTACAAAAACAGCGCGGAGGGCAAAACGCTGCTTATCCAATGGAGAGAGAGTAAGGCAAGGGCCTATCATGTGCAGGACAAAAGATAATCCCTACCGGGTTATTCATAGGCGCCGAGCGTTGTACCACCGCACCCACAGTGCCATTCAACGGCATGACCCGGATTTACACCCTCCGCCACAGGAGAGACCACTCGGTAGAAGATACACATGAAAGGCCAGCGCCAGTGCTCTAGACTCGAGTATGTAGTTCTTTTACTGACTGCCCCCCGCCACATCAGGGGGTGTGCTCCCCTGTAGTGCCGTGCCCTACTCCGCGGCACTCCCCCTCCTGTCTCGCGCCCGGTAGGGGTTGGACTTCCGCAAGACTTTCACAGACGCTATCTTTTTTCTTTTTTCTTCTTTCTTCTTTCTTCTCTTCATCCTCTCCCCACACTCTCATTCCACTTCATTCCAACCCGAGCATTCAACATCGCCATGCTTCATTCCATGCATGAAAAGATCTCCTCTCTGGTGCACCACCACCGGAACAAGCAAGCCGAAGAGGCTGTCGAGACCACCGCTGTCGACGAGGCCGTTGGCAGCTCCAACCCCAGCAAGAACTGGGACTACGATATCGTCTTCAAGGGCGCACAGGTACGGCAGAATAGAAGAATACGTCCTTTTGTTCCTGAGCGTCTCTTCCGGCAAGCATGAGCATACATGCATGGACCGCGATAGGGCTAGGTCTGACCATTCGACGCGTCCTTTTGCTTTGTCAGGATGTACCTGTAGGGGACGTGTTTTCCTCTGACCCTTTCCTGGAGGCCTACCTTGGACCCCCCGAAGACCCTCAGACCTTGACATTCATGTGAGTCCTGGCTTTGTACTTGGTCGTGGTTATTGTCTCTGATAGTCATTTCAACCGCAGAGCGTTCAACTATTTTCCCAGGCTGACAGCCTCATGTACTCACATTCTCTTTATTTCATTTTTTTCAGCACCGGCGTCCAATGGAATACCTTGAATCCTGTATGGAACGCCAAGTGGGACCTGATGAATGTCTCGGACGGAACTGAGATGCATATTGCGATCATGGACAAGGACAAGCTGAAAGAGGATACCCTTCTCGGTAGAGCCACCTTGACGCTCGGAGCTCAACTCGAAGGAGCCCAGGAACATGCTCTTGATATCGTTAGATCAGATGGGCGCACAAAGGGCAAGATCCTCATTCAGGTATGTACAGCGCAGTTGTAGTCCTCTGACCAGCGTCTTGCAGGTTAGCACTGTGATTCTTTTGCTAATTTTTGATGGTGAAATTTTGCAGACGACGGCGATCAGGAGTGCTGGGAAATCGGCGACCTTGACAAAGGTCTCGACGAGGGGGCCTGCACGCTTCTCGCGCCATACCAGCTATGCTGCTGGTGTGTTGACCCGGGAGAGCAAATACGAATTTTACGCGTACCGTATCCGTCTTTATCATCTTTTGGATGTCTTTGGCTCCGACCCTCACCAATACCAACACTGGAACACCGAATACGATGCCGCCAAGCGCATCTTTGCCGACAATCTCGAGGGACTCAATATTCGCAATGCCCTCCATTCCCAGCACTCGTACTTGTACCGCCACGGCCGTACGACTGTCTATGGCGATTTGAGGACAGCGAGTGATTTGGGCAACCTGCTGCATGGTGACCGATTGAAGAAGAATCCCGACCAGGACCTGAAGACCGTTGTCTTCACCTACAGTCTGGTTCCCAAAGGAATGTACTTTTCCGAAACCGGTGTAGCCTTCTTCCAGGACTTCATGTCCAAACATGCTATGCACGCCAACCGTGCGACCGAGGTTCTATACTCTGGCGAATTCCGTTTCTTTAGGGACGAGGAGCATCGCAATGACTGGACGCTTTTGATCGACAACAACTCGGGCACATACGCCCCAAAGAAGGAAGACCTTCACAAGGTAAAGAAGGTTTTTGAGCTCAATTTCCCGGACCTGGTCGTTGTTGCCCTTGACCACGATGATCCTTACCTCAAGGAGATCCGCGCGGAGACCAAGAAGATCGAGGCCCAAGTGGCTTCCCAACAGAGCCAGCGCTTCCAACTCTTTGGCGGTATGGGCAGCTCGACTGAAGATATCCCTCGTGAGGGCTAAGCTGCAGGACCTAACAGAAACCCCATCTTCGATCCGTCCGTATCTCGTCTCTTTCGATTGAATACAATAAAATATGTCTATCACGTGTATAGTTCGCGAAGGAAAAAAAAAGGACGAGTGCAAGCATGAGTACCATCTGTCGTTTTTTTTTTCAGCGCTTTCCTGCAAATGCATCGTTCTCGCCTGGCCCAGCAGCTTTTATTTCGTACCTTAAAAGAGCAAGAACACGTATAAAATAAAAAGCAAGGTCTGCCACGGCACAGCGTCCTTGTTTTGAACCCCTCAGCACTCCGACTCCGCTCACTTCTCTCGGTATCTTACACATTCAACACCCTGAACACACCCATCCATTCTCATGTCACAAGGTGCAGGAGGAGATAGCACTAACGGAGCAGGAATCGCCAACGGAGGAGGACGCAGGGCCAGTGCAAGCGGAAGCACTAGTGGCGACTTGATGAGTCTCATTAGAGAGCGACAGGGTGCTGCTGGCAGCACTCAGATTCTGGACCTCTCCTACGCCAACTTGGACACATTCCCCGCAGAGATTGAGTTCCTCCGAGACGTGCTTGAAAAGTAGGTCAATCTTCCTTCTCTCGTTTGGTACTCAGAGACACCACTGTCCAGAGGAAGCACGCGGCCAATGCTGGGATCCATTATTCAAGGAGGAAAATTATTATACAAGATGGCGAGGATTGCACCGTTGAGGATGGGTATTGTCCACCTTAGCGCGGCAAGGATTGACAATTACTCAAGCAAAGTTGCCAAGAAGCACAATATCGCATTTCATGGATGGGACAGCTCATGAATGTATACTCGAGACATGGACACTTTTATTATGCGACGTTGCCAAGGATTATACATGGATCGGCTCATACGCTGTAACTGACCATTGAGAAACAGGAAAAGTAACTGGACATGTGTGCGTGCGTGCGTGTGTGGTTTATTTCACTATTGCTATTCTTATCTGGCACATCTTTCTTGTGCGAGGTGTCGGAAGGGTCAACTGCTCTCGCTTGCCGCTTTTCTTGTGGTTGGACATAGTAATATGGAACACGAGTTTTACACGGCCCTGACAACGACTAATCCAATGTCCCCTTGAAATAAATAAATAATATCGATCCTTTACTAGGTTGACCATGAGCCATAACTCCATCAGGACGCTTCCCCTGCAGCTGAACATGTTTACGAGCCTACGCTACCTCAACATTCGAGCAAACTCGATCAGGATATTTCCAGCCGTGGTATGGTGCAGTACTTTAGCCATATTTTCTGTCCAACCCAACGTCCTCACTTCATTTACTGAGCTTTTTTTTTTTTTTTTTTTTTTTATTGTTTTTTCTCTCCGGTAGTTATGTCATCTGTCGAGCCTAGAGATCCTGGATATGAGTCGCAACAAGATTTCGAGATTTCCTGATAACTTTGGGAACTTGATGAACCTACGAGTAAGGCGGCGAACAAGAGTGCTCTTTATCAAGAAATAATTTTATGAGTGTCGGTTATTATGTTTACGCAATCTTTGCTTATTCATTTATGCCCTTCTCTAGGTGCTGAGCATATCGAGGAACAGAATCGAGACGATACCATCGTACGTGGGAGAGATGAACCAGCTCCAGTTCTTGAAAATCGAACAGAACCCCATCGAATATCCGCCACCAGAGGTCGTGGACTTTTCGGGACAGGACATGGAGGGATGGCTCTATCGGCTCAAGTCTTTCCTTGTTACTCACAAGAGTAGGTGACATCAGATATCTATATTTGTAGCTTTGCCGAGCATTCCTACAGAGAACTGACAGAATTACCTGTTATTTATACAAATAGAAGAACACGAGGTTCAGCCTATCCACATACAGGGCGAAGCGGCGGCGGCTGCAGTAACAAAAGAGGGCGCGTCCATATTGCAACAACGAGGCGCCCGGTCAGCCTCTCTGGACAGTCTATCTATCTCCCCTATCCACCACCAGAGCAAGAGCGAGAATGGATTGCGGCTCAACTTACTCACTACATCCGAACGACCAGGACAGCAGCCCTTAAACATCTCACCAGATCCCATCTCACACAAACTTGCACGGACGAGTAGTCAACATGGAGGTCCTGGAGAAGACCATTATCGCTTCATTAGTCACTCCAGAGGTGTTTCTGGAGACTCGACAAGTTCATTTTGCAGCACCAACTCGAACGATTGCGAAAAGTACAGCGAGATCTATTTCCAGAGACTTGCTACTTATCCTCCACTTCTGCACCCATTGCCCAGTGAGCGGATGCGCTTAGTAGAGGCGGCTCGTGGAATCCTATTTGCGCTCTCGCAGATTTACAGGGCTGTCAAACAGGTTATCGGCTGCTCCACCGACGAAAAATTCAGCCTCATGTTCACTCGCCTCTTGCAGAGCGCCAATGGCGCCATGGCCCAGCTCATTCAGTCACTCGACCGCTTCGACAGCTCTGCACAGGTTCAGGTGCCAGACCAAAGCATTTGCTCCGAGATTATGCGGTGTTGTGAGTCAAATGTAGCGGCGTTTCGAAAGCTCGTTCATATGGTCCAGGCGCAGATCAGGAACATTAGCGTATTGGCAGATGCGAGGCTGGTCAGGAATTTGGTTCTGATGCTTCATGGGGCACTGGCAGAGATTCGAGTGGCATGGGACTCGCTGCTGCCTCTCCTTCAGGGTTATGGGGAGGGCACCTTGGAGGTGTTTGAGCCCAGCCTTCATTCACAGAAGGACCAGCTGCAGCAACAGCAACATCATCAGACGGGCATGACCGCTACCAGCACGGGTCAGGGGCAACATTATCTATCCACAAGTATACCGACGAGCCTTCAGACGCATCCTTTCCAACTATCGCCGACAATTCCAACATCTTCCACCTGGCTCCCAGTCCAGATTCCGCAACGCAGTCAGAATATGTCTCGTGCTAGCAATCATAGCGCCCAGTCGACCAACAATCAATATCATGATGATGAAGAGGATGCTCAGCTTCTGGTGACGGTAGAACATGCCATAGAGGCTGCACGGCGAGTGATCCAATGCCTGACGGAAACCTGCATGACACGCGTCGAGAACCTGTTGGCTAGTCCTCAGCACAGACCCACCCATCGGGCACGATCTGTCTCTGCATCTCCTCCGAGGAGTGTTGGGAGTAACGGAAGTAACGGAAGTAACGGAAGCACTGGAAATGGCAACGGCAATCCCAACGGAAAGAACGCATCACAGGACCAGCAGGGTCGTGGTGTGTCCATGAGCCCTCTACAACTCGCCACAGACACGTCCGCATCCGGCGCTTCGGCAGCGGCATCTTCATTGTTGATAAGCAATAGCGGCATACACGGCAGCAGTAGCAAGTCTGAGGGTGGTCTGGTTAGGTCGCCGTTGTTCTCGCCTGACTCAGATACGGTCCCTTATTCTAACGGAATGTGCGTCGCTTTGCCCATTGACCAGCCATCTAACAGTTCGACAGAATCAGCACCACTTACTGCGTCTGCAACATCAGGCAACCCATCAGGGCAAGGGGAGGATAATAACGCTCGATATGAACGGCGATTGGGATCCCACTCCAAAGGATCATCAAAGACGTCGTTCGATCCAGCTTTGCCCTCTATCCCGCAGGATGAGGATCACGAGATCAGTGCCCAGGACCCGATCACAGCAAAACCTCCAACACCACAGTACCAGCCAATCATGACTGCCAGATCGGCAAGTGTTTCTGGATTGCCCTCTAGCACTCACCATGGGCTGTCCTCAAGCAGCACGCCTTTTGCCGCAGCTTCTTCACTTCCATCGCAAGGGTTTATGGGTGTTACTTCCATTCATCCACACTTACCAGTAGGACATCCGCAGGCTACATTGACTGGGCTTTATCCTTCGTCCATGTCTTTCCCATTCGCCTCAGGAGCTATCGCGCCCTTACCGGCTTCACAACTTTGGCGAGAGATGAAGGACTGCCTATTGCAGATGACGGAAATTGTCAAGCGACTGGACTTGGACTTGACTATGCTTCGGACTGACGACTACTCGTTTCATCCTCACCATCAGCATCTCTCACAACAGTATCAGCACGGACAGTTATCACAGTACTCTCAAATCCATCACCAGAACCATGTCCCTCATCCTCATCAACAGCAACCGCAGCAATCCCAACAGCTGAGCCAACAGCAGCAGTTCCATCATGGGTCCGCTCCGCATCAACAATACAGTGGCATTCAACCGGGATATGGCGCTGATGATCCCAACATCCTCAAAAGGCGTTTCGGAATGGGTATCAGTGATTTCGTGAAGTCAGTGGTGGTGATATCGACACTGGTTCGACAGCTGTCGACGAGTTCCGCCAGCACATCCCGGTCGGGTTCAGGGTCAGCCGCGGCTGGAGATACGTCGTCTAAAATCACAGCAAACGCCACAGCAGGTGTTGCGAGTTCATCATCGTCTACGGCCTTGTCCACTTCACCGTCCGCACCAAGAGCTAGATCCGAATCTGGAGCTGATGGTTCCAATCTCAGTACTCCAACTGCTGCAGCAGTATCCTCAGCTATTACTACAGATGTATCGCTGAATCCAACGGCTGCAACGCCGTCTTACGTATCTATTTCGGCCTCGTCTTCTGCATCGGGAGCGGGTATTATATCCTCGCCTGAGAAATCAGCCCAGTTACAGAGTCATAGTGGGTCGTCGCATCAGTTAAATCATCGTCAACCGCAGAGTCAATCCTCGAAACACTCACAACCACATCAGCAGCAGCAGCCGCATCAACAATCAGAGATCTTTTCACGACTTGTCATGACTAATGTTTCGAACCTAACGAAAATCACCAAGGAACTGACGGTGCGCATGCCGAGGTCTTCATTCCGGGATTATCTTTTGTCGTCCTCTGCTGGCGGAGGGCTCGGAGGAGGACCTGGCGGAGCACCTGGAGGGGGTACTGCGGTGCCTAATGGCGGCAATGGCTCGTATGGCGTTACATATGGACCCGCAGGCTCGTCGATCTTAGCCATGCGGAAGGGCAGCTTGATCTGAGAATTTTGAGCCGCGCATCTTTTTGCATGATAGTCACCTTCATTTATGATATACCTTGAACGAATAAATGATCGCCTTGCAATTACACGCGCCGTGGGAGGGGTGTTCAGGGCGCACTCGACCTGATCGGTGGGATCGGTGGTGACTGTTTTGCTTAGTCTCAGCGACGCTGTCGAAGAAAGTGATGAACCATCCTTCTTCGCTATTCATGGTGTTCATTCCTTTTTCTTTTTTTGCATCGCTTTATGTTCAAACCCATAGACACGTCTTTCTTTTGTACACTATACTCTGCTATTCCAGCCTCTCATCCTAATAGAGCTATTCTCTTAGCGCTCATTCATGCAGATCAGTTTTTTTTTTTTTTCTGAGCGCTCCGCACTCTCTTGACTTAACTTTCATTCTTATACTATCCCACTGTCTGAAACTGTAGACCGCGTTTCGGACCTCAATAATTTCCTCCGCACCAAGGAGCCCTTGTGGACAGCTCAATTGAAGTGAATAGTTTTCGATGCCTACCTGTGTAGAGTGTGGGGCAGCCGTGTCCTCATTGTACACTGAGTACAGTAAAGGCAACATCCGACTTACATACTGTGTAAGCCAGCGATCTTTCTATGGAAGAACGCATAGTACCTTTTTTCAGGAATTCGGGGGGGAAAGGGAGTATCCATGCTATTAACTCAGAACAACACTGCCTAACGTATTTTTTTTCTTTTCTTTTTTTTTTTTCCCCCGGTCGTTGTGCGGCAATGTCGATCATACTAGGAACATTGCAAGAATTTGGCGGATAAATATGTGGAGCATGATTTCGTGATCATCTTTGTGGACATGATCTTGCACAAGAAACCCGTCTACAGGCACCTGCTGTTCAATCGGTTACCGTACCGAGATCTGGGAATCGATGTATGAAAGTTATCTCACTTCAGTGATAAAAAAAATGGAAACAGACATGGAATTTGCGGAGCAGGTTATTTTTGTCGAGGAAATGTGACGATCCAGAGTTGACAGGACATTTCTGATCATCGCAAGAGTTAAAGGCGCAGGATCGGCAACAGATCAGGGAATATCATATCAGAAGCCAAGGACCGGAAAAAGGAAGAAAATGTCGATGATACTGGCACTCACGAGAGGCATGTTTTGATAACCGTATGTCCTTATAGCCGAACGTCTTCAAGTTTGGAGTACTATTGATCTTATTTGACGTCTGTAAGCGAGTCGCGTTGTCTTCCAATGATGCTATTATCATGAATCGCGGGTTACCCTGCTAATCACTGTCCTTTTTTTTTTTTTTTTTTTTTTTTACGCTGTGATAGATATCAAATGGTTCAGACTGGAGCAGGAACCCACGGTGATCGATGCAGGGTTTGCACAGCACGCGCTCGTCTTTCAGTACCTATACATCCTTTTCCTATGCATCATCGGTATGGAGACAGAGGCGCCGCAAAAAAAAAAAAAAAAAAAAAAAAAAAAACTACAGGAGACAAATGATTTTGAGCTCAATACTCAATTATTTAATCAAACCCCTTCCTTTCTTTTATTTTGGCTGAATTAGAGTTCTTATCATTTCACTTTGGAGTGCGGCTAATTGTCAGTCTATGGTATGGTGGCCGGTACGCCATCCTCAAGTAAGTGCCTTTACCGTTTTTTTCGAACTTGAGATGTTATACGGCTGAAAGAGAACGTGGATCCCATTGTCCGGACCACTTATATCCCTACTTTCGCTATCTTTTTTTTTTTTTTTTTTTTTTTTTTTTCATTACAGATATAACTATATCACAACGACCCTCATCATATCAAGCTTCGGCAAGATGCTATTAATCCTGATGGTCATCTGGGATTATACAGAACTGGAGCATTCGTGGCATCTCGTCAACCTCATAGTCCTGACGTCCAATGTCGAAGCCCTATCAGGTAAATATGACCGACGTTTCAACATTAAGTATTCAGGCCCCAACTGTTTTTCTTTCTCTTTTGAAATCGAATATTTATCACTCGCTATTTTGTCTTTGGATACGTATTATAGTATTTTTGGACACCGGATATCTGCAGACAACGCTAGTCATCGCATTTGGACTCATGTGCAGGATCTTGATGCAGATTGCGTTCACGAGTATCACGGGTGATTCTGCCCTAGTGACCATGGCCAGCATGTAGTAGTGCACTTGTTCCTCCAGCTTAGCTTTCACAACAAAGAATAAATACTGTTCACAGAGGAGGGGGGGAGGGGGTTTTTTTTTTGAAGATCATCAAACATGGAGGCATTATTATTAATGGTGAGCTTTAAAATATGAAATGTAGTAAAGGCGAAGAAAGAGGTATCTACGAAAAAGAGAGAACGAAACATAATAATAACAATGATTCGGATATCTGCTGTTCTTAGATGACAAAGAATTGGTCCTGCTCCTTCTTGAGCTTGCGTTTGCCGCAGAGAAGGTAGCCGAGTGACGCGAGTTTATCACCCCATTCCCTCACAAGAGCCGGCTTGAAGAAGACAATGAAGATGACAGCTCCGATCGAGGAGACAACGCTCTCGGCAGCGATCATGAGTCCATAGGGCGGCAGGTACGGGGACAGCTCGTCTGCGCAGGTATCGTGAGCCTTACCGACCTTGAGACAGTACACGAACATGATGATATGCTCACGCAGGGCACTGGGGTCGATCTTGCGAAGCTGGATAAAGTAGAAAAGCCAGTACATCATGACACTGACAATGGCGCAGATAGCCATCAGAGCCGCGCGCCACTGGATGCGGATGGCCATCATGACATGGCGACGATGCGAGATCACGGCGGCAGCACCGGCCGAGAGGGTGGACCGAGACATGGTCTCGGAGTTCTCGCTGGACATGACAGAGATCCTGGCAATGTGGATAAAGGTCGCGATGTGGATCAAGAACGCAGGGAAGACCATAGCGGCCAAAGGATAGAAGAAGATCTGGGAGGCCTTAGCCTGAGAGACTAGACAGAGGGTCGCATACTCCCATTTGATCTCGCCCATGCCCAAAGCAACGCCCGCGACGGCAAAAGAGAAGCCCCAGCAGAGGATGTGGAGGAGCCAGTACTTCTTCGCGAACCAGGCAGAGTTCCAGACAGTGTGAAAGTGCAGGTTAAGAATCAGGGCTGTGCACCAGGCGCAGGTGGCAACCGAAGCAAAAACCAGTATTGCTCCTAATAGACAATAGTAACAAGGGAGATGATCGGGTTAGTGTGTCCGTCAGGTATTGAAAACTGTGCATTATATCGTGTGTATTGTCTCTCCATTTCGTGGAGAGAGAGAGAGAGAGAGAGAGAGGGGGGGGGGAGGCTTACCTTGAATTGCACACTTGAGATTGTTTTGCTGAGTACTCGGGTTGATCAGATCCGCGCATTGCATAGCCCTGGTGTCAACCAAGGGGAAGACGATCACGACCGAGAACAAGAAGACACAGATCGAGAAGAAGAGAATCAAGGCACTTGGATGCGACCGCTTATCGTCCAAGCACAGATAGGTCATCATCAAGAGGAAGCCGAGGACCGCAGAGATGGCACGGATAATGTTCGTGATTCTGAATCCAGTGTCCAGGGCACCTTCGCGGTATAAATAGTATTGGGCCGGGCAGGGAATGCAGCATCCGTTCATGCAAAACTGTGGGTTGGTCGTCGTGCCTCCTGGTCCCGTCATAGGATCCGTCACAAACGGGGCATCGCATGTGGTAGTGCGGTTGCCGATTCCAGCTGGGCCACCGTTAACGCTCAGGGCATGGACCGCGTTACAGGTGCCGTCGGGCTGGTACATAATGCCATTAGGTGGCGCGAATGCCGTGGTGCCGGGAATAGCGGCATCACACTGTGGGATCTGGCTCTGCATGCCAAAGACTGTGAATAGCTGCGAGCACTGCGTGAACGCGTCCTGGCAAGTTGATGTGCAGGCGAACCTGACGTTGAATGTGTTGGCTGTATCATGATAAAGAAAAAATATGATGAGTTAAGCCTGTGGTACCAAGGGCTTGAAAGACTGAAGGCGCGTATCTCGAACATCAAAAAGTACCTTGTCCAGGGACAGCCTCGATTCTGGGGAAGGACGAGGAGCAGACGTACTCCATAAAGGGCTCGTAGCACTCCGCAGTCAGTTGAGTGAGCGAGGACTGGTTCATTCCTTTGGCAGCCAGGACGCCCTCGATGGAAGCCACGGTCTGGGTGGGTGGGAGCCAGACATCATAATCAATATAGTTCTTGCAGAGCGTGCCGTTGTATTGTGCAGCTAAGAGACGTAAGGTTTCCAATATGAGCGGTTAGATTAGTTTCTTTCTGGGATCCAATTTTGTGTAATGAGTTGGAGACACGGGCAATGACTACACACGTGCAATTTAGCCATATCATGTACTCGGCGTATTATATTAACCCTTATCGCCTTCACCCACACCACATCCTTCTGGTCGTCTGCGCCATGGAAGAGTAAGGGCTCAGATCCAGGTGAATCTGGTACCTGACATTTGCATGTGGGGGAAGAGAGGAGTGGGAGCGCTTTGAGACATTCCACGCATGCACATGTTCCCAGGAACGCACGGGTGTTTATCACCTCCCCCCCTTCCCCCCCTCCCCAGAGAGGGCATCCGCCTTTTTTTCACTGTGAAATTCCACTCTCTGGATAGTCTCCCGTAGGAGACCACAGGGGAAGGGAGGAAAATAACAAGCCTGGCCGTATATGGAAAAACGGAGGCCGTTGTTCCTTCCCACATGAAAAAAAAATGATCGGTGATCGAAGGGTCTAGTCCATGTACCACAAACAATAGAAGGAGAGCCGTAACCACCACCAATCAACCTCTCCTGATATCCTGATGCTCCTTTCTGTGAACACGGATACGGACACGAACTAGACCACGATTTGCTTATTCACAGCCACCATGCCGAGATCATCCACAAACAAAACTGTGAGGTACGAACGTTGCTGCATGGAGCTCCATGGTGCCACAAAGAACGGACGTTGATCTCACACCATGTTTGGAAGATGGAAGGATGGAAGGGTGGTGGGGGGACGGAAGAAATTATCGAATGGTGATAAAGGAAGAAAGGGAGTAAAGTACTTACATGAGCCAAGGGCCTCAGTTGTGGATCCAAGCAGAGCCAAGGCCAATGTTGTCACTGCGACAACTTTGGAGAAGAGTCGGGTCATGACAGTAAGTGGAAAAGCTATATGCGCCTTCGTATGTGTTTTTCACAGATGATTGAGAGTCGAGTGGAGTCGTGAAAATAGAGTGATGTTGTAGGGAGAGGAAGGACGACGTAGGTCCGAGTGGAGGAGTGAAGTGAGCGAGTAAGGAGTGTCGGAATTAGGATGAATGCACCGGTGTCTTGGTGAGGTTGGAAGGGGTACAGCAGTAGGGGGCAGAGAAGAGTGTGAGGGTGGGTGGGAGTGAGAGAGAGGAGAGGATGGCAAGGCGGAGCAAAGACGATCAAAAGAGAAGAAGGAGAGAGAAGAAAGAAGGGCAATAAATGAGAGAATCTTTTCAGAGTGGTTGGTGGTGCTAACGCTCAGCTCATCCTTCCTGCCGGTCTTACCTACTCCAGTGGAGGAAAAAAAACATACGAACGTTGAGTACATTGTAAATTCAATCTTATTTCAGGAATACATGAAGAGGAGTACCGGCGATGGAGACACTATTTTTTTTTCTTTTTTTGCCTTAGTAGTTTTCTCCGCCGAATCAACGCTTAGACATGTCAGACGAGGCCATGTCCTCTAAAAGGTCGTGCTCCCGATCTCTAGCCTAACCCGGAAATAAATCGCCCCCTTCGAACGTTTATTTTCTAACATGGAGTAGCCTGTCTGCTTGGCCAATGCAATTAACCAACGTCTTACATTACATGTACCTTGATGCTGCTAGCATGGCAAGCCTTTCCCTGCATTGGCTTAGTTCTTCACTAGCGTAGCCTGCACAATTACTATATCTGCAAGCAGCAGGTCATGTTTAATGAGCGAAGGCTCTCGTATGGATCCAGATTGGGATCCGTTGCCGAGCTGGTAAAGCTGCGTTGGCCAAAAGTCCCTTGGTCCAGCTTTGTGGAGAAGCAAAGACCGCCTCCACATCTGCATCCTATAGTTCCTTCTGTTCTTTTAACGCAAGGACCTTGTCTCTTGTAGAGTCGCCAGCTTGGCTTCGCCGGTATCTTTTTTTTTCTCCGCGCAACGTACCTTGCCAGACTAAAAAGCGAGCGCTCCTCAGTTGCCAAACAGCCACAGCGGAGCCGACCCTGACAGGTCGTCTTTCGTGAAGGAGAATTTTTCTACGCTTTTTTTTTTTTTAGATATTGTACTTGCTCAGATCTAAAACAGTGTTAGCTTTCTACGTTCATTCCATCTAATTATAAGACTTGACTTTTTTTTATACATCCTTCCTTGTAGCGCTTTGATCTTGAGCGCGGTATCCCACATCAGTGTATTCATTCGAATAAGCACTTCGCGGGCGAAAAGAGGACCAAGCGTAACAACTTGCTCTTTCAGGGCTTTGAGGGGGGAGGACATCAGGAGGCCTCCGCAACGCACTACTGTGGACTGAGCCAGGACGGATGACAAACATAAAGAGCAGATTCAGCTCGGGCATGGACAGGACTGGTCGAAAGGCTAAAAAAAATAAGGTTCTGCTAGAGGTTGAAATGAAGGACCGGGGCCAACTCAATTAGCTGCCTTTTACGTGGAGCAGCATGACCTCGGCCTGCTAGGAATACATTTGTCTCTGGATGCAGGACAACGCGTTTTTGGGGTCCACAACTAAATAATCCCTTGGTTTTCCACTGCGGCCTGTTTAGACATTGATGTTCGTATGATGAACACAAGGAGGAAATAAAATAGTAGTAGTCTAACAACAATAACAAAGAAGCGCGCGCGATGAGCCCTTTCCGCCATCCTCATTCTGTCACGCCATCTTCACTCCATCAACAAAAGAGCCAGCGGACGACTAGGACGTGAATAGAGATACATTCAAGATGCCAGTGAAGACAATAACACTCTCCACGGACCCAGACTTGGTGCAGCAGCATACGCTGTCGACAGCCTTGGACACGAGTGCCAGAGTCCTATCTGCGACCATCCTGACATACGGCGCCACGCTGACCCATCTGACCTTCCCAGACCGATGGAACCAGCCTCAGGATTTGGTCTTAGGCTTTGACCACTGGCAGGATTATCCTGCGCAAGCACAGCCAAGAGCATTGAACCCTTACTTTGGAGCAGCCATCGGACGTACTGCCAGTCGGTATGTTTGCCACAGCAGCCAGCAGCATAGTATGACCTCAAAATACATTGCCTATATACATCAAAGTACTGACAATGAATACATCTGCCTCGCAGCATCGCGTATGCGTCCTTTGAGCTTGAGAGCAAGCATGCATCCGCGTCTGCAGGTGCGTCTGCAGGCGCGGTCTCAAAGGATCCTAGCGCCACTCACGCCCACACCCTAAACGTCTCCAATGGCCTCGACTGCCTTCATGGAGGTCCTCTCGGGTTCGATAAACAGCACTGGACCACAGTCGACACCGATCAGGAAAACATATCCGCTACTTTGCAATTGGTTTCGCCACACGGACAGAGCGGCTACCCTGGACGACTGGTCACCCGGGTCAAGTACCAACTAACGCAGCAAGGTGAACTCGTAGTGGAATATTGGGCACAGTTAGAGGAGGACCCGGAGAAGCATTCAGTCAATGATTTGCACAGCACCATCGTCAGCCTGACAAACCATACATACTGGAATCTGGATGGAGTGCTGAACCCCCCTGGGGACCAGGACCAGGATCAGGGTATTCTGTCAAACATCCTCACAATGGATGAGAGCCCAGTAGTGCATAATCATTGCTCAATCAAGGACCATACCTTATGGTTGAGTTCCTCAAAACTAGTAGAACTAGGCGACCCGCATCCGGTTCCTACTGGCAACATTCTAGATCTTTCTGCAGATACCCCGGTTAGTGTCCAGGGATATAGGGACCTTCTTAACTTTACATCCGCAACCGGAGCCGGCAAAGAATTGGGTCCAGGACTGAACCATATCCCTGGAGGATACGGATACGACCATGTCTATGCCCTCGATCCTTCTCCGTCGTCCTCAGCGCCTGCCTCCGTTTCGAACATCGGCATCCATGGCTACTTCCCTTCGACACCTCATGTGGCGACCTTGGTTTCGCCGAGGACAGGAATTCGTCTGGACCTGTCCACTTCGGAGCCAGCACTCATCCTCTACACAGCTGGGTATCTCGACAACAAGTTGCTACCACGCACCAAATCAAGGCCCCTAGATTTACCCACGTCCGCCTTCTTCATCTCGCCCACCTCATCGCCGCTCCAGAGTGATCCTGAACCAAGAAACACATCGCAGCAAAAAATTTTGACCATCAAAGCAGACATGGACAAGTTCGCAGGAATTTGCCTGGAGCCCATCCGGTATCCCGATGCGATCCATCATCGTGAGTGGGCCAACATGGTGATATTGCACCATGACCAAGTCTACCGTCAAAGATCGGTCTACAAGTTTGGTGTGGAGCATTAGCAGAAGGAAAGGAGAAGTAGAGTCTTGATCGTGATTTGCAGCTTTTTTATTATTGTGCTTCACAAGAAAACTGCCAGAAAACTGCTAGAAAACTGCTAAGAACGCGCGATTAACAGAGAATGGTGTAAATAAAGAGAGCACGATTTCCTAAGAGTGATGTATAGTCACATCCTCATCCGTAGTCATCCCATCGTCTTCTCCTTGAGCTGCAGCCGTTGAGGGTTCCAAAAATGACGGTCCTTGCGACGTCGGTATATCTTCGTCCATTCCAACATCCACTTCCGAGTCATGATCCTCGATATCAATCACCTCCGAGTCACCCGAGGCCGCCATCGCAATAAACGGCTGATTTTGCTCCGACATCGCAACGAAGTGGGGTGGTGCCGATGCGGATTTGGAGTGCAAGCCTTCCCGATCTTCAGGTCCAGTCTCAAAGTGCGTTTCGTCTCCGTTGGCATCATCATCCATGACTGGATGCGGTCCATTGCTGGCGCTCATTACCCCTTGTTCACCTTCGGATTTTACACTCGGCAACACAAACCCAGCATGTCGAATTTGGGGCGAAGATGCTCGTACTTTCTTCTTTCCTGGCGTGCCCAAAGATGCATATTCGTCGTCGTCCACATCATCATCGCCATCATCTTCGCCCGCCCCTTGTTCCTTTTCCTCTTCCTGATCCCCTGACTTGGAGGGCGGACCAAGCGCAGAGGCCTTCCTCTTCTCCTGGCTTCCTGTCTTTGTGGACGATGTTGTTGCTGCAGAGGGCTCCTCGAATCGTTGCATGATATAGCTCTCGCACTTGTCTGCGTTTGGCAGGTCTTGGATCATTTTCGCAATGGTTGCGTTGGAGAAACCAAAATAGTCGGGTCCCGATGCCGAATTGGAGTGATCGCGTTTCCGGATGGCGTTTGCGGCCTTAACTACGTGTGTCCAGGCACCAGTGGCAGTTCCGGCAATAATGGGCTTTCCTGGCTGGTCTTCAGCGTCGATTTGGAACTGTGAAAGGAAGCGAGCATTCGGTTTAGTACGCGGAGCGAAATGAAACGAACAATAAAACAGCGAGACCTGTTGCGGCTATTTACCTTTGGTGCCTCTCCATCATCGATGACACTGCAGGTATACGTCGTCTGGTTGTGCGGGTCGATCATGCTGTTATACAACCGCGACATCTTATATCCGACGGGCCAAATGTAACGATCATTATGGAACGCCTCGCGATCGTAGACCACGTGGCCGATACTCTGGATGGTAATGATTCCTACAGTCACCGGCAATTTGATATTTCCAGCCTCATCCCTTTCCAACGCTTGTACTTTACGGACCTTGGCTACTGCCGGCCTCTGTTTGTTGGTTTGATGGATGCGCTTGGGCTTTTGTGTTGCTGATCCCACGTTCGTAATAGTCGAAGGTGTTGATGCAGGTATCTTTGGCTCCTTTACTGATATGGCAGTCTTTCCTGTCGCCTTCTTGGGATGTTGAGTCGTGGCTGCTGTTGCCACAGTAGATGAGGGCGCTCTGGCGTTCTTGCCTCCATTCATCTTTCCTGCTGTCTGTGAAGAGAATAGTCGCCTTGGCTGGATTTCATCCGTTATTGAAGAGTCGGAGACATCACTGTCGCTGCTGAGGGAGGAAACGGTGTCCGATCCAGAATCCGAGTCCTGTTGCTCCAACGTGTTTAAACGATCCAGCAGCAGGCTATGAGGGAAGGTGAGATGATATCCATCCGTTAGATCGCTTGCTTGTGTTTGAATGCAATATACGACCGCTTTCCAATCTGTAGACAGCTTACTGTTTTTCACGCCGCAAATTCCTGACACGCCTGTGAGACTTGTTCAAGTCCCGGCTCATCTGCTCATTTTCCTACATACAGACAAAAGCAATTGTGAGAATGAAATTCAAGAATGAGGAAGCAGCGTCATATTCAACACAGAGCTTGACATACCTCCAAAACCTCTCTCAGCTTCTGCTTGAGCCGCCTGTACTTGTCATCGGAAATACGGTAGGCATCTTCCTCCGGTTCCATGTCTGCCTCCTCATGGTCCTCGTCCTCCTCTAGTTCCTCATCAGTAATCCGCTGTTCTGGCTTCTGACTGCTTCTATCGCTGATCCTACTAGGCGAGGTCGGGGTGAGGTGCTGATCATCATGACCAGCCACGAGGTGGTTTCCAACCGTGGCATTTTTAGGTGAGGTGATCTGAGTGTGGTTGAGACCCTGTTGTCCACTGTCTGGATAAGCGGTCTCTTTGTTGGCAGACAGAATTTCAGCCTTGAGTTGCTGTGGTTGCTGGGCCTTCTTGAATCCGTTCGTACTTTCTACAGGCATAGAGGCTGCGGTGATACTGACAATTCCTTCCATGGACGAATCCTGTCCAGAGCTGTGACCAAGTAGTTTTGGTGGCGTTTTTTGATCCTTGTCCTGAAACAGATCTTTAATCTTGTCCTTGAATTCGCCTGCAGAGAAGGATGGTGAGGCTGATGGGGTTGGAGTCTTGTTGATGTTGGCGTTGGAAGGGGTCATGGCCTCCAGTGAAGATGTGAGTGCGTGTGTCTTGATGAAGATCTAATCGGCGTACCTTTCTGTAGAGAGCATCAGTCGCTGGTTAGGTCTCTGTGAGAGTACAACCTGATATCAACCAGAAGTCGATGGGTCCTCACCTACAGGGCAACACAAGAAGGGCGGATATCAGGGAGTGAGGAACTGGTGGTCAAGAAGCAGGAAAGCGATCAAGACGGTGGAGGAGTGGAAGAGGGGGGATTTTAAAGAGGATCCAAAAAAAAGGGAATGGATGAGCCGAGTGTGATCCCCTCACAAAGACCAACAGCCAATACGGGCCCGCCCACTGGCGGTGGATTTTTTTCTGTTTGGAAGTTGATAGGCCGACTTGGACTTGGCTGTGCTTTCCAATTTTCAGAACCTCTGCAGCTCGCTGACGGCGCCTATATTACCCGCCATAACAGCCAGTTGGAAGAAAGACTCCTTCGCAGCTTCAAGGCGTCTCCAGAAGATCCATTGAAGCAAGTGTCGTGGATGTAGATTGGTTTTAATGATTTCTTGAACCAGGAAACATATTTTCTATCATGGGCCAACTCAACACGGCCTGTTAGTGAGGACAATCAGCGTCAATGTTTTATTTTAATAGCAATGTGTCTCTCGAGTCGATGGACCCTGCGAATCTGTCAAGCCCAGCTACCAACGATCTACTACAGTCGTCCTTGCCACCAAAGCAGAGCCGATCCACAGTCGCCTAATGACAGGTCACATTCCTCGAGTCTCCTCGCACTCCTTCATACATTTTCCCTTCCGTGTGCCTGAAGACGAATTGACATTTTCCCGGTCACACACTCACACTCCTTTGTCCCCTGTGTGCGTGTATACAAGGAGGGTTCTTCAAGAACGCATGCTTCATCTCCATTCTTTGCTCTTCCTTTGCTCTCTCTGATTCCTCCCTTCTCCAACTCTCGCTAAACTCTTTGACACCCCTCATTCCATTTCACACCCAGACATCATGAGCAGCTTCTTCAACATCAGGTAACACAAGACATTCCTCCTGTTTCGTTCGAGGTCAAGCGCACCTCGGACGCCCTTTTGCCCTCCACTCCGTGCTACGATGCCGATACTCTACCACAGCCATATTAACGACCCATGATTCTTACCAATCGACGAAATATAGTGGAAAGTTTGGTGGCAAAACAAAGCCCAAGCGATCCGCCTCAGCAGTGCGTCCCTTGTTTCTGTGTCAGCCCTACTGTAACAACTCGATCGTTAAAGGCAACTTCAAAACCATTGTCCAATTGCCCAAGTATGTGGATGGCAACGAATGGCTTGCAGTCAATGGTAAGAGCCAGACGATATCAATGATCCATTACGGACGCTAGCTTTTTTTTTTGGGTTTTTTGGGTTTTTTGGGTTTTTGGGTTTTGGTTTTTTTACACAGATCGATCTGTGGCCATTTGATGCATAATCATATTGTCTTGCACTCTTCCCAGTCCTTCGTGCCCTGAGTAGCTCGTCAAAGGAGAGCTGAGATGTGCTTGCATATCCATTTCAGCGGAACAGACACAGGCATCAAAGCCCTGCATCGGCAAGATGGAGCCCCAAGGGGGTTTCGCGAAGGGGGCACATCCTTGTTTTACTGCTTTTTTTATTTAAATGCTTAGATTACTGCAAATTATCAAACGCGTTTCATGTCGCACAACCCAACCCATGTCCGAGATGGTTACTTCGAGCTTTTTTTTTTTTTTTTTTTTTCTTGTGCTGTCCCCTCGTTCACTCCCTGAAGTGGTTATAATTAGCGAGAGGTTTGAGGGGACCCGAAAAAATACTAACCTGCCTGTGGCATCGCTCACACTTACTGTAGTCTTTGACTTTTACAGCTATATCAACATGTTCTACGGCTCCATATCCGACTTTTGCACCGCTCGCAATTGCCCAAGCATGTCCGCAGGGGCAGGGTGAGACTTCAATCTTGTTCAATTGCTCATGCACACACATACACACACCTACGGCGATAACAGGATACACTGACGCATCCTATCTGACCTATCGGCATTAGATTCGAATACCTCTGGATGGACGGACAAAAAAAGACGAGTAAAGTGCCGGCACCGCAATATATCGACTTTGTCATGAGCTGGATCCGGACTCTGATCAACGACGAAAATACGTTCCCTACGAAGGACGGTACGGTGTCTCTTTTTTTTCCTTTCTACAGTGTCTGTAGTGTCCATAATGCAGCGATTGATTTCTGATCCTGAGATGTATCCTTTTTACGTTTGCGATTCTGTAATAGGACGCGAGTTCCCGCCTACGTTCCAGCAGACGGTGCGCGCTATTTTCAAACAGCTGATCCGGGTGTTTGCACATATGTACCATTCCCATTATGATAAAATGCTTTCGCTCTGTCAGGAGGGGCACTTCAACTCGCTCTTTGCGCACTTTGTCAGTTTCGGTAGAGAGTTCGATCTGCTGGACAAGAAGGACATTGTACCGTTGCAGGAACTGATCGACATTATGGACAATAACGGAATTCTGTGTTGAGATAGCGCTCATAAATAGAAAAGAAGTACTCCGCTCTTTTTTTTTTTTTTTTTTTTTTTTGGTCTACAACGCCCTGCTTCGTTGCTACATCAGCTCTTTATTTACCCTCGATCCTGCCCGATGCTTTGCTGGCAGTGTACTTTACTTTACGCGTTTCTTTTTCTGTGATAAGTGTATATACCATTATTGAAATGAACAGTAATATGATTTTTTTTTGAATCGGAGTGTGTTTTTATTCAAATTTCAAAGTTCTTTGAACGCATTGACATTGATTGCCCTTATTAGTTCACTTCGTATGTCTCCAAGGCCTGGACGGCCTCTTCGTATTCCTTGGACGACTTGACATCAGGGCTGGCTTTTGTCTATAATAATAAACAGCAACGTTTGTCAAGCTATCAATGCTACCATCCATATTGCTCCTTGCGGAAAAAAAAAGCCAATAAATCAGGTACCACCATACCACAACATTGGCGAGATCCTGATGAGCGGCCTTCGATCGCCTCTCGACATCGGGCAGCATATCCAGTGTCTCTTCAAGCACCTCGCGCTAGGACGAGGAAAAAATATAGACAATTTGTCATTGGTTCGAGTTCAGTTGCTCGAGATCTTTGGTCCATTATCCCAGAAAGGGCCATGTAGGCCTTACCTGTTTCTTGATCTCATAGTCTTCAGGGTCCTTGGCCACCATAGCATCAATGCGCTTCTGCTGCCTCATCTTTTCCTCGTTATAAAAGATTCGCTCCTTGGCCAATCTATTGCAGAAGCAGGAATAGAAAAGGAGCAAAGGAAAAAAAAGAAATGGGGCAGGTCAGTCCCTGTCGAGAACCAGGAACCACCGGCGACAGAGCCCCAGCAGCTGTCCAAAAAGCGCGCGTGTTCACAAAGGCGATCCTGCCGCTTACCTCTTGAGGACGTTGGTCTTGATGGAAAGATCTCTGGTGGACATGGTGTTTGTTGAGTCGAAGGGGTTTCTTGTGGATGCTTGATGCTCGTGGAGGGTGGGGTGGAATGATTCGGTGGCAAAAGGAATGAATGAGGCGTGTTGGAGATGAGACGATTAGACCAAAAAAAAAGACCTTTTTAAGTTTGGTGACGATGAATTGGGAAATGCGCGTCGTTCGTTGTTTTTACACGTCCGCGGCAGATCGCGTTGGAGAAGCTGAAAGGATTTTTTTTTTTCATTCGTGTCAAAAATGCGCAACTGCTCTTTGAAGGGAGCAAATACTACCTCTTTTTTTTTTAAAATATCTCTTTCTTTATTATTATTAGGATTAAGTAGAGAATTATCCTTTCCGTCAAGGATTAGGGGAAAGAAAAAACCAATCAACCAACGCATTTACATATATATATATTCACAAGGAAGTCCATTTCGGTAAAAACTGATCCACCGCCAATGGGGTTTCCGTGGGCCGACAAATGCTCGCGGATCGCTGCGCGCCTTTTGCTCACAGTGTTGGCAGAGTTGTGGAAATCACTTTTTTAGACGACGCCGTTGCGGGGCTGGGTCGAGTAACCGCCGGCAGTGGTAGAAGTGGGGTTGGTGTTGACGCCGCCGGTGTTGTAGTTGTTCGCACCAGCACCAGGGGCTGTGGTGTTGTGGTAGCCGCCGGCGCCGGCTCCGGCGGGAGCAGCAGTTGAGGAACCAGCGTTAGGACCAGACTTGACGACGACAGGCTCAATCTTCTCCGTTACAACCGTGCGGCTGGGTGAACGATGGGCGTCGTTGCCGTAGCCGCCGGTGTTGCCGTAGCCGCCGTTGTTACCGTAGCCGCCGGTGTTACCATAGTTGTCGTAGTGGAAAGCCCTGTGGTTGTGGCGCCTCTTTCTCCAGCAGAGACCCAAGAGGGCAGCAAGAGCCGTGAGAGCCAAGATTCCGAGAACGATACCGGCGATGGAGCCCCTGGAGATGTGGTGGTCATCGTACACAGGGACGGGGGAGCCACTGGGTCCGACAGCGAGATCGGCGGTTTGAGAAGCAGCACCGGCAGGAATGGCCGAGGCAGTGGTAGCCACTGCGAGGAAAGCGAGGATGAGCGAGGATTGCATGGCTATGTTGTCGCGCTGGGATGAGAGAGAGAGAGAGAGAGAGAGAGAGAGAGAGAGAGTAGAGGCAGGAGCAGGGGGGGATTAGGGATAGCGATAGTGATAGTTGAGAGAAGGGTGTCGGCAGGGAAATCGAATGGGTTATATATGATCTATAGATCGCGATGACGAACACCCGATGCGCGCACTCCGCCCTTATCCCCGGTCTGACATAACGAAGGAAGGAAAATAATGTAAGACCTCGTAAAAAAAGCTGTCTGATTCACCGTCCAACCAGAGGGGGCGTCTCACGCGCTACGAAAGCAGCCCGTGCATGAATGGGGATGGGCCCCTCCCCTGCCCTAGAAACACTACGTGCCGGCGCCCAGACGAAGCATCATCAAGCATCATCACCCATCATCATCTATACTATTTAACTTTTTCTGCGAAACCTGTCTCAATGGAATGGTAACACAAACACGCGAAACGCGTAATAACTTATTTTTCCGGTAACGATCGTTGCCTCCCCATGCTGGGGCCATGATGGACCATGATGGACCATGATACGTCCGCCGGGAATATAATAAGCGAGGCTAACGAATGCCACAATGTCCACGATGTACGGGATATCCCCCTTCGGACGCCTTTGCGCACTCTCCTTCCTTTCCTCCTTTATGCTGTCATCGCCGCTTATTGGAGCCCCATCTTCATCATGGCGCTTTCCCATATCACCCAATGTCCCTATTCGCAGTATTGTTGTAACTGTCCACGGACTCAACGTCCTTCTCCTTGCCATTTCCTGTGTCACTGTCACCCATCAGGCGTTCTTACCGTTGACGCCCTTGTCATCACCATGACGCTATGTCCAAGCCGCCCTTCACACTAACTGCGCTTAATTCCGCTGCGCTTGTTATAGTTCACAATCCTAAACCGAGTGGCTGTCACAGTTCCGACAACGGAAATCGTCGAGGCACCATGCCAGCCTCTCATATGACTAACCGTACTTTTCATGCTCTCCATACTCGTTAACCATGCGAACCATAGGGACAGAGGAGGAGAAAGCGTGGATGGCAACCGTGGCGGCGAGAACGGTCAGGATGGCGAAGATCATCTTTGAGTAACAAACAATGGCAGGGAACATGGTCCATGCTCGTATAACCAGTGAGGAATGGTCCTTCCCCCTCTTGGTTTACACTTAGTCTAGATTAGCATGAATGGATTCAATGGATCCGAACGCGCGATAGTTCTCATCTCTCTCTCCATCAGAGCTGCCAACTATCTATAGATGATTCAACAAATCCGGGTTTCCCGCTCCCTCCCTTATCTTCGTAATGCCTCGCGATCAGGAGAAAGAGAGACAGGGGAGGACATAGTCTAGGAAGCACCATGGTTACCCTCCTCATCACATTATTACACGCTGATGCATCTGCATGCCGAACTAATAAGCTAGGGAACTAGCCAGCTTATTTACCCGCCATTTCTCATGTTCCTCTGTGCTGTTTCGCGCGCTGCGCTGCCCGGCATTTGTATAATGTCCTAGCCTTTGAGCTTTGAGGAGGTGGGGGGCAGAAGGAAAAAAAATGACACAATTTTGTGGAAATATGCGCAACTTTTCATCACCCAATGTTAATCGTCTGCAAGAGACAGGTCTTTTTCCTCTTCTGTGTCGTCACGCCCGGTGGGTGGGTTACAGACGCTAGCAGACGCTGTCTTTATTTTTATTATGTTTTCTTTTTTTTTTTTTTCGACAGCATGGGCCCTTTGCCCTTGGTGGTCTACTTCTTCCCGCGTTCCCGCATATTACGCGAGCAATGGAAGGGAATAAGCGTCGGGATCGTTGTCCGCCACATCCTTGCAGCGATTTCATCTTCCGTCCGAACCAAGTAACTAGTGCTGCTCGTGTTCACGGAAGTACACATGAAGATATTATCTACACACCAAAAAAAAAAAAAAAAGCACGTTAGTGCGCGCTGGTACGGAAAACAAAAAGGGCAGGGAACAGATCCAGGAATAGTGTCGCGTAATAACCATACCTTCGGACGTATTGCACACACTTGTTAGCCTCGAGACCGGCTCGACCAGCTTGAAGTTCCAGGGGGTGCCCTCCTTGCGATGATAACGACTCATGACCCGTTTAGTCCACAGAACAATGTCTGTGAAAATAAACACATGGTACTCTGCCTCCACATCTGTCGAGTTCTTGATGATGCTGGGTAGATACAGGGCTGATGAAGACACGTTTTTGGGATGTCCGTTTCCTGTGAGATTCGAAAAGCTGGAGGAGAGACTGAGATTGTACTGCGAGACGAGTTGCGACACCGTCGACTGTTGCTTTGAGGAAAAGGGGGAGGAAGAAGTTGGGGCCGAGCTTGCGATAGGAATCGGACTAGGAGTGGAGGAGAGCGTGTGTAAGGTCGTAGAGGATGGTGGTGATGACGCACAGACCGAGTAGAAGCTCGTCCTTTTCGGGTTGCCACGAGAATCAAAGAGATTCCTTGATCGGGAGAAGGGAGTACTTGAAAACGGCGTTGTGGGTGATGTCGGTCCTGACGATGATGATGTAGTCGGGAAAGCAGGTTTGGCATGTAGGTGGTGATAATCTAGCTGACGAGGCCGATGAATAAGCACCGGAGGGTCATCATCAGAGGACGGGGTCGTTATTGGTGACCGAAATCCGTCTCGCCACTCTAAAGATCCGTTCGACACATAGCTCTCCGATTTGCTGTTGATGCCGTGTTTTCCAAAAGCGAATTTGCTGGGCTGCCGTACTGTGATCCGGTGCACGGGCCCATCCAGGATCAAGTACCGGTGTCGTTCGACAAGGGAAAAATTCTATTAAAACGTCAAGGAATTAGCTTCGAGTGAAGTGGCTCGGCGTTTTGTCGGAAGCACACACGGCCTGGGGACCTACCGATGGCAGACCCTTGATGCGCTGCTGCAGATCCATTAACATCTCGTTATGCTCTTCGATCCATATCCGGTCGTCAATCTTTGTGAGCTCTCGCTGATGCTTGTTCAGTGCCTGTTCCAGTTGCGCATAATCGGGATCGTCTGGTGGTGTCAAGTTCAGTAGGTCCTACAAGAGATAATTGGTGTTGGTGGTTAGTCCAGTGTCAAGTCGGCTGCCTGTTATGATCCTGCTTATTTGTTCTTGCCTACCTTGAAGAAGAGAGGATATTTCTGTAGCCGTTGGATGGGCTTGAGAAATATACCCTCCATTGTCAAAAACTTGCAGCGTGGCGACTTTAGTAAATCCTATGAAGCAGCAGAGAATAGAGAGAGAAAAACAACAATTCTTAGTTACATTTACATCTCTTAGATATTCATGCACATTATAATAAAGAATGAGGAAAGCATGAAGGTTACTTTGATGATCAGGCAAAGTTCCGAGTTGCCTGCTGCGATCTGTTGGAAATCCCGTGAAGTTGACGTGTACTGCGTAAAGTACGAGTCGTAGATCGAGAACATGTAAAACTGCCAAGCGGCGGAGAGACAAGCCTGGTTATTTCCAGGTCCTTGAACCAAGCATAGTGTAGCAAAAAAGAAAAGAGAAAAACAATGACTCTCGGGTCTACTTACACTTTCAAAGACGCTCCCAATGTTCTCGACAATCGGTGTTTCTTGCTGCTGTTTGTTCTGTAACGACTGCAGGTTCATTGTTTTAATAGGTGTCACAAGAGTATAAGAGAGACAAAAGCACAGCGCAGTGAGTAACCTACCCTGAGTAGCGATTGGTGGCCATTCCACAGGTCTTTGATATGGGACAGAAGTCGAGCAAGCCGTTCATACAGCTTCACGTCTGCTTTATCGGGACTGAAGCGCTTTTTCCGCCTTGACTCTGCCATCTTGACATTCAGCTCCTCAACAAATATCTATCATCCACACATGTTCAACATACATCGAAGCTGAGTAAATATCAATAGGCACGTCCAGAATACAAGCGCAACCCACGGATTGTTTTTGCGGCATTACCTTGTGTATGCTTTTGAGGTCATCTAAATATTCAGATTCCGTGTAGATAAGCTCAAAGATGGTCTCCTGCTTCTGGATTTGCTCTGGACTGAGTCCGAGCCCTTGAATCTGGTCCGCGTTCGTCATTGTGTGCTGCCAAAGTGGTTTACATGGCCCAGCGTTAATTGCTGCGATGGTGGCCTTGGGGATAAAGGATGTCGGAGATGTGGTTGATATAGAGAGCACCGGCGCAGCTTCTGGTTGAGCTGGGATCGGTTTCTCAGTGTCTGGTGCTGTTTTTTGCTGGCCACCCAACCACCGCGAGGCGAGCCTTTGTTGAGATTGAATGCCGTTGTGGTGTTTCGTAAGGTCGTCCAACATATTTCGGTCCTTGACGCCTGAGTTGAACACATCCATGGGCTTATTCGGCTGAGGGTTTGAGCTTTTCTGATCGTTGTTGTAAAAGGGAGTGAAGCGCTCCGTCCGCAGCGCGTTCTCGGTGTCCATGGCTACAAAGGGTCCTGTCGTCTTGACTTTCATTGATTTTGATCGGCCCACAAGTCGCCTGAAGGGCGTCAGCGTCTCCTTTCGTTGCAGACGATTGGTACTGGATCTTTTGAGTGAGGAAGGATGGGAGATAGAGGAGGAGGCTGCAGAGGCGTATGAGGATGGGTGAGACGAGGTGGAGGAGGGCGCTCTGTCGAAAGTCCTTTGAAAGGTAGTAAGCGTAAATCCTTTTGAGTAATAGCCTTCTGGAATGGGTTGCGAGGGGCTCCAGCAGACCTGACGATCGTCGGCGGTCTTATTGGGGATGCTGAGTGCTGGGTAATGGATGGTGGAGGCGCTGTTGCAGGGCTCACAGAACCTGGCGGTGGTATCTGGGACCTGGAGGTTGAGTTTAGGGAGCTTTGGCTGTCTTGGGGAGGATATACGGAGGTGTGCCAGAGTCGATAAACCTGGGAAATGAAATACGGCAGAACAATAGAACAAAAAAATAAGAGCGGGAATCAGAGGAATGAGGAGGAAGAAGGAAAGGAATGCATGGCGTTCTCGATGAACCGATGAGCTAGTAGAGGCGACTTGCACTGCTTCTTCCTATCACTAGCAAGCTAGCACTCCCAAGCATCCGTCCCCCAGCCCTGCATTACAAAGTGCTGGAGTGTCGCTGGGCAGGGGCAGGGGTAGGGTCGGCCTGTCAGTTGCCCCAAAAGTTAAAAAAAGGGGGGGAGATACACTGTAGGCAGACAGGTGGTCGCGTAGTTTCGCCGATGACCAGCAGTGGTTCGCAGAGATGACGGATCAAATACAACAAACGGGAGCACAAAGAAACAAAAAAGGGAGACTATCGTCATGGTTGCAAATAGCTCCTTTCCCTCATGAGCGGAGATGACAACCCAGCGCGCCCATAAAAACTACTCACCCTGCACAGCACTACTGCTCCTTATCGGCGTCGAAGGCTGCGACATGTCCCGACCAAAGACTGTGGACCCTTCTAGGGTTCCATCGACCTGGGAAGGCTTGACGGAGGAGGCAATTGTGGAGGAAGCAGTTGCTGAGGGTGAGGGTGACCCATTCAAGGTAGGCTGCAGCTGAAAACACGCGGCCGAACTCTGGATGGTGATGGGTGTGCGTGCAATTGGCAGGTTTAACTGAGTCCTGGTTAGACGTTTCAGGTCTATTGGTTGTTGTTGCTGCTCGATGGCTGTTCTCATGATACAATTGCTACAGGAGGTAGGGCTCTCTGCATGGGGCTTTTGTTGCTGTCGTAGTGTGCTATTACGTTGTTTGACCAGTAATGAAATGAAGCGATGATAACAGTAAAAGGGTGAAGGTAAAGTAGCTGGTTGAGCACATCCGCGCAGCAGCAACAGAGATAGCAGGAAGCAGCAATAGCATCATTCATCAAATGCAGAAAAGGGAATACAAGAAAGAACGAAGCAGACGAGATTCCCATCCAACGGCTACTGTGGTCGACAACAAGACAGACAGACAAAAGCACCATCCTGGTCCATCCTAAACAAAAAGATGTCTGTAAACGCATCGAATGTGGATCGACATTGTGCTCCTTCTGTGTAGTCCAGTCTAGATACGTGCTCCTCCCTTCTTCTTTCAAGAAAGTATCATCGCGCATGGGGTATGTGGACCTGTGTGCAGACAAGGAATATATACATACAGCATACGTATTTGATTGGTGCAGAGTTCAGGAACCGTTTCAAAAAGGTTGCTTGGACATGTTCCGCCAGTGTGTTGGAGGTGCGTGCAAATAGGGAGGGAGAAGTATGCATTTACAAAGAGTTGTTGCGTCGTATGCCCATCCTCCTCCGTTCATCGCCCTTTGACAAGGAGGCAGCTTCTCCATCGCACTGCCATCGCTTATCCCTTCCTTCCTTCCTTCCTTCCTTCCTTTCTTTCTTCATTTCATTATCGCTTTCTCGCTGTTGGTGCACAGCCTACCACTGCGGCAATACTCCTTTTTGTTATATTGCACTATTGCACTCCTGTCCAATCGTGTCTACTCCAGTCGACCTTTAGCGTGCAGGTGTTTCAACTACCTTGGCTTGTTTGTGCATCAATTGACCGATCGGATATTCCCCAGCATTGCCGCCTTATCCTTTGTGAGTTTGAATGTGAGTGCTCTGTCTTCTCCGCGGTGCACTTATTGAACCTCCTTCGCTCCCCCGCCTGCGTGTACCACCCAATTGGAAAGTCTTCCTAGTGGTATAAAAGGGTTCCCCCTTCCCTCACTTTTCTCATCCCCACACAACTCCCGCTGCTAAAACCCCTCAATTCTCATCTTTTCTTATCGTCTCGACTTGTTTTTTCTCATCATCACCATCCCACTCTTTTGCTCACTCTCACTCACACTCACTCACACTCTCTTGATCCACACCCACAGCAACCACCATGTCCCTGGCACGATCCCATGCCCGCAAGATGAAGCCTGCACTGCATGTGCAGCTTAACTCTCCCTCCGCCGGCTCTGTCACACCATCCCCAGCACCGCTCATGAACGTAAGGATCTCTTTGTGAGCACTTTTCTACAGTGCGCCAAAAAAAAAACTAGCTGTTCGCATTGTTGGTCAAATTGAACATTTTTCACACTCCCTCCTGGATACTTCGCTGCCATGGTCCCGGATGGATGATGAACAGTCTCTTATAACTTTGGAAATATGTGCAAAGTCTGGGTACCAATGTTTTTGATCTTGGCTCCTAATTGCTCATCAGAATGTGGAGGTTTATTTGAATTCGTTCTTCGCTTATCGACACCTTGTGCACTTCCAATTGCTGCCATTCTGCGCAATACATTCCACTTCAGTTTCTTAACAACCTCTATGAAGTTGTTTTATCTTCTCAATCCAAGTCCTTCTGCAACATCAAATATACGTGATCTTACATGGGATTACCGTACAAAAGTGAAAAGAGTGTCCGTGTTTCCTTGGAGCAGCTGTGCTTGTTCTATAGGAACAACAAGTTGATAATCCTGGGTGAAGTATGGATTGAATCCTTTACTAAAAGGCCTGACATGATGTAGGCAGATAGCGAGGTGCAGCCACTCAAAGAGTTCCATGCACGCCCCAATCCAATGTACGCAAAACGATTGCTGAGATTGGTATCGCTGACCATCCGCACCTACCCGACATCTTTTGAGGAGTGTTCAAGATCACAAGAGTTGCAATTTACATAATTTGAGGATGATTGGAGGTGGATTTTGCACCAATCGTCAAAAAAGTCCATATCGACCTCCTACTTTTAATGAGCAATTGAGGATCGTGGTTCTACATGGGCTTCAGGACTTTGCACTCAGGTTTCAGCAATTTGGCAGACCATACATCATCATTCCCGGGGTCATGTCAGTAAAGTATTTCAAGAGATGTCAAAAGTAGCCGATTTGATCCAATATGCAGACGGCTTTTTATTTTACTTTTTTATTTTTTTTGATGCAGTGTAATCGCAGCATGTCTTGAGAGAACGGCTCGGTCAATAACACCTTGCTCACTTCTATTTATAATAGAGACCTCTCATGGAGTATCTTGAGCGTAACCCCCGGGACCCATCACGGGAGGCCCAGTACTCAATGGTCACAGGATCAGATAAGGAGACACAGTCGATCAGAAGCATTCCTGAGACGCCAGGAGGAACCCGGGGACCGGATCCTCTGATGAATTATACCCTCCGTCCAGAGGATATGGTCACGATCAAAAAATTGGGCGAAGGTTCTGCAGGAACCGTAAGCAAAGTCAAGCATGTTCCCACAGGATTTGTCATGGCGAGAAAAGTACGTTGTCATCTAGGCTGGAATGGCCTGGTTGCCATACACGGAGTTAGCGCGACACATCTTGAAACGAAGGGTTTGTCCTAACCTATCCCTGCGTCTTCTTTTGTTTAGCACGTTCGATGTGATCCCAACCCTGATTTTCAGAGACTGCTTCAGCGCGAACTAAAAACTCTGGACAGGTGTCATTCCCCATGGATAGTCACCTTTTATGGCGCTTACATGGAGGACGACGAATTGGCGATCTGCATGGAGTATTGCGAGGGAGGAAGTATGGAGGCGGTCTATAAGCGGGTGCTAGAGAAGGGACAGACAATATCGGAGAGCATCCTCGGCAAGATCAGCGAGGCCGTTCTCAACGGTCTGGTTTATCTGCACAAGATGCACCATGTCATCCACAGAGGTGAGCATACCTTTGCGTATTTGCTCGCAGATTGGGTTGTTAGAAGAGAGCTGCTCCTTAAAATAACTCTTCTCATTGTTTTTTGAACTGTAGACTTGAAGCCGTCCAACATTGTGGTCACTATGGAGGGTCGGATCAAACTCTGCGACTTTGGTGTCAGTGGCGATCTTGTTAACTCACTTGCAGAGACATTCGTCGGAACAAGTTATTATATGGCTGTATGTATTAGCAAAACAGGACAATGACAATACTTGTTTACAGACACACTGCGCTTTGAACATATGGAACTAACAACTGTACGTTTGGGTTCATTCAAATTATGCAATGCTGATTAGCCTGAACGAATCCAAGGAGGAAAGTATCCTGTGCAGTCGGATGTGTGGTCGCTAGGACTGACTATGGTGGAGATCGCCCAGATGAAGAACCCGTTCCCAACAAATCTGGCAGCCTTTGAGCTGTTGCATTACATCGTCAACCAGCCTGTTCCTTCGCTGCCAGAGGATGAGCCATGGTCAAAAGATTTCAGGGACTTCTTGAACCAATGGTATGGGCGTCACTTTTAACAAAAATATCTTCATTAACTACCGCAGAATGTTTCTCCCTTCCCCCAGCATGACATTAATATCTCGACTTCTACCCTCGTTTCTAATTTCTTTTGATAGTTTCATCAAGGACTTTATGAAGCGGCCAACACCGGAGCAAATCATGGACCACCCATTCATTATCGACTCGTCAAAACGGACAGACGAGGAGGTCGACATGAAATCGTGGATCCAGCACGTTTGGGATTTCGAAAGTCCCTCGGTCCAAACCCCCAAAGTCGTCTAAGCCCCGCTCAACAACACGACGCTCTGTAATGAAACCTATATTTCAGGCGCAAGTTCAACAGCATACGTAGAGAGAGAATCATAAAGCATCATATCCATACCTTCATTCTGGTTTTCTACAACAATTATGTATGCTATGAGCGTCTAAAAGACCAGTTTACTTCTGTGTGGTGAACTCCTCTAGCATAAAGAAAAGCTTGGACGCAGGGAGGCCAATCACGTTCCACGAGCAACCATTGATGCCCTTGACCAGTAAACAGCCTGTAGTTTGATAACCGTACCCTCCAGCCTTGTCCATGGGCTCCTTTGTCTCAACGTACGCCTCAATGATCTCGCGCGTAAGGTTCTGCATCTTGACCTCGGTGCCCTCAACTTCTGTCAAAATTCTGGGCTCATCTGATCCGTCCGTTGATGGGGCGATCAAGGTGACACCGGTGTAGACCATATGCGTCGATCCAGACAAACTGGTCAACATCTCCACTGCGCCTTGCTCAGATCGGGGCTTTTCAAGGATCTGGGAGTTATGAGCGACCACAGTATCGGCACCAATGACCAGGTCTGGAGTATTACCTGAGGCCTACATTAAGGATGCATGGCGTCAAGGGCTGTGTTAGCACCGTAAAAAACGCAAGCAATCGAGTCCCAATGGCAGGGCCGTGATTGCAGCACAGGGGTCAAGATGACTCACAATTACTTAGTACAGGAAACTAAGTTTCTTACTGCGGCGGACATACCTTCAAGCGCTCATACACTTCAAGCGCCTTTTGAAGCGCATTCTCCTTGACGTATTCGGAGGGATGGCTGAACAGCGACTTGTCCAGGGTTTCTGGGAAGGTGCTGGGCACGACCGTGTAGTTGATTCCTAGCTGAGAGAGAATATCCTTGCGACGTGGCGAAGTCGAGGCGAGGACGACCTTCTTGGCGTTAAGTGTGTTGAGCCACTTGATGTTGAGATGTTGAGGCGTCATGGCTGCTGCTGCTGTGGGGAATGGAGGGAAGGGAGGAGGAGGAATGTTGACAACTTTGAATGCATTTCTAAGAGCTGACATTAGTCGCACGTGATGGAGGGAGACTTTGTGTGAACCTTATTTGCCCCGCCCCACCTTTTGAGGTCGTTGTTCTCCATCGTTCTTTTTTTGCATCATCATCCTTGCCCTTCATACGACGAGCATCACCAGGTAAAGACGGATTCACTCTTCATCATACCACCTGCAGAGAACTTTGAACATCATCCATCGACGGCGACCAGCAACAGCAACACTAACCTAATGCTTCCGTCTTGGTCCTACCCTGATCGTATCTTACTCTTGCCCCTGGCAGCTTCATAGTTTGTGCTGCAGTCTGTACGTTTGACAAGAACTCGACCGCTGAAATGTAAGCGCAGCGTTGCATCATTCACCTGCGAGAAGTCCATCAATGCTCTGTTGTACTGAGCAATGAGCGAGACGGCATCAAGATCCATCCCCCTTCTCTAACAATGCTTGTCTCTCCTGATCTGCTCCTTTCGAAAATCTATGACCTCAGGGCTCCGACCTCACTTGTCCAGACAAAGCTGGTCGCAGCCTCGTCGTTGCACTCCCGCTTGCCTCGGATTCAGCACACCTACGTCTGGCCTTTCTTTTTTCTGTATCCCGCCTGGTCCTTCGTCTATTTTTACCACTACGAAGAGTGGATCAAGTCTGAAGAAATCACCTTTGTTACTCTTGGCCTGCTCCTCACCATCAACGCGCTTTTGTTCTTGACCTGTCAATGGAGCGTATCGATCAAGGCATCACTGACCTGCAAGAAGGTAAGCTAATAATACTTGATGCTTACCGGGCCTTGCTGTTCATGTGCGTTGACGGGAATTCATAAAGAAAAAAAAACTGACTGTTATATGCATACGATCGTTGACTGTAACACCAATCGCTGTCAGGAAACCGACCCCGCAAAGGCAACTGTTATCCGAATCATCCCTGACAAGCACCGTGGGCTGGGCGCACTCTGCGATCTTCATCATGAGGTACGTATACTAAAGGCGAGGCCGTAAAACCTGATCGGGAAAAAACAAGTTGGGCTTGCGTGGCAGCTCTTGACTGGTCCGGATCTAATTTTCTATTTGGATTTCGTATTCTCAAATTTCCCTTATAGAATGGATCTATTTTCTTCTTCTTCCAGAAGAAAAAGTATGTGTACAATGCCGACAAGAAGTTGTTTGTCAAGATCAAGTACCCCAGTGACATTGGACTGACCATGGGCGAGCTTCAGAAGGCTCGCGGAATGAATGAGGACCAGGTTAAGACCTCGACTGCCGCTTATGGAATGAACAGGTTTGACATTCCCAAGCCAGCTTTCATGGAGCTCTTCAAGGAGCATGCCGTGGCCCCGTTCTTCATCTTCCAGATCTTCTGTGTCGCTCTCTGGTGCTTGGATGAATACTGGTACTACTCGCTTTTCACTTTGGTCATGTTGGTCATCTTCGAGTCCACCGTTGTTTGGCAGGTGCGTATCAACGCCGACCGCTTCGTTCTGATCCTGCTTCGAATGCTGCCTACTTATAGACGACACTTTAGACTGACATATTTCCTTCTTACAGCGCCTTAGAACCATTGGCGAATTCCAAGCCATGTCGATCAAACCGTTCCATGTCAACGTTCGCCGTAACGGCTCATGGACCAGCATCATGTCCGACGAACTCTTGCCTGGAGATCTCGTTTCGATCATGCGCACCAAGGAGGAGTCTGGCGTTCCTTGTGATATGGTCATTGTGGATGGATCCTGCATTGTCAACGAAGCCATGTTGTCTGGAGAATCTACACCATTGCTGAAGGAGGGCATCATGCTTCGTGAGACGGACGATGTGCTCGAGTTGAATGGCGCTGACAAGCTGAACGTGCTCTATGGAGGAACCAAGGTCCTTCAGGTTACTCCTCCTACCACTTCTTTGAAAGCCCCTGACGGTGGATGCATTTGCTACGTCGCCCGCACGGGTTTCGGAACTGCTCAAGGAAAATTGGTCCGCACCATGGTCTATTCCACCGAGCGCGTCACTGCTAATAACTTGGAGGCGCTTCTGTTCATCCTGTTCCTCCTTATCTTCGCCATCGTCGCTGCATACTATGTCTGGGTTGTCGGGACTGAAAGCGGACGTAAGCGTGGAAAGCTGTTGCTGGACTGCATCTTGATTATCACCTCAGTCGTTCCTCCAGAGCTCCCCATGGAACTGTCTTTGGCCGTCAACACCTCCCTGATCGCTTTGGCGCGCTATCACATCTTTTGCGTTGAGCCGTTCCGTATCCCGTTTGCAGGAAAGGTCGATGTGTGCTGTTTTGACAAAACTGGAACTTTGACAGGAGAGGATCTTGTTGTTGAAGGTGTCTGCGGTATTGATGCCCATGAACCGGAAAAGCTCATCATGCCCGAACATGCCCCCACATCTTCGCGCCATGTCCTTGCGACTGCCCATGCCCTTGTTCAGCTGGAGGAGGGTCTTGTTGGTGATCCTATGGAACGTGTTACTCTTGAAGCCTTGAAGTGGAAGCTTGGCCGGAACGACAACGTGTATCCGGACAATCCCTACAACAAATCTGAGCACATGCTGATCCGTCGCCGCTTTCAGTTCTCCTCAGCCCTGAAGCGCATGTCGACTGTTTCAACACTGTCTAGCCCCGAGTTCAGGACCACCAAGCTGTTCGTCGCCGTCAAGGGTGCACCTGAGACCTTGAAGAATATGTACAGTCAGTTACCCAAGCATTACGAGGATACCTACAAGCAGTTCACACGCCGTGGTAGCCGTGTCTTGGCCCTTGGATACAAGTACTTGCCTGACGGACTGAACACCGATCAGATTAATGCCCTTCACCGCGACAATGTCGAGAGCCAACTCACGTTTGCAGGATTTTTGGTCTTCCATTGCCCGCTCAAGGATGACTCTGCCCAGGCTATCAAGATGTTGAACGAGTCCTCTCATCGCTGCGTCATGATTACTGGAGATAATCCATTGACCGCCTGCCATGTTGCCCGACAGGTCGATATTGTGAACCGCGACGTCTTGGTCATGGATGTCCGCGAAGACGGACGTGGCGCTGACGACCTTATCTGGAAATCGATTGACGAGACCAAGGTTATTGACCTTGACCCCTCCAAGCCTTTTGACCCGGCCATCTTCCGTGATTACGATATTTGTGTGACAGGACCCGCCATGGCTCAGTACGAAAACAAGTCGACTTTTGCAGAATTGATCCGTCACACTTGGGTCTATGCCCGCGTCTCGCCTGGACAGAAGGAAACCATTTTGACCACCTTGAAGGGCTGCGGCTACACGACTTTGATGTGTGGAGATGGTACTAACGATGTCGGAGCTTTGAAACAGGCCCACATCGGTGTGGCCCTCCTGGATGGAAAGCCCGAAGATTTGGCCAGGATCGCAGAGTACAACCAGATTCAACGCCTGAAGAACGTGTACGAGAACCAAATCAAGTTCACTGCCCGATTCAACATGCAGCCACCTCCACCCCACGCTAAGGTTGCTCATCTCTATCCTCCCGAGGTGATTGCTGCTAAACAACAGGCTGCCCGTGAGGCTGCTGGCATTGGTGCTGCGGACGAAAACGGTCGCCCTGTCCCCCCTCCCAGACCACAGATGGATATGGATGGCCTCGCCAACATGATGGAGGACTTGGACGAGGAGGCGCCCCCAACGATCAAGCTTGGCGATGCCTCTGCTGCTGCTCCCTTTACCTCGAAGCTGTCAACGCCCATGTCGATTGTCAACATTATCCGTCAAGGACGCTGCACGCTCGTTGCAACCATGCAAATGTACAAGATCCTCGCTCTGAACTGCTTGATCACGGCCTACTCGCTGAGTGTTTTGTATCTGGATGGCATCAAATTTGGCGATTTTCAAGTTACGATCACAGGAATGCTCATGGCCGTCTGCTTTATGTGTATCTCCAAGGCCACCCCACTCGAGGCCTTGTCGAAGGAGCGTCCCCAGCCCAATATCTTCAACTTTTACATCATTCTCTCGGTCTTGGGCCAGTTTGCTGTCCACATCTTTTCGCTGATCTACATCACGCGCGAGGCCAAGTTGATTGAGACGGATCGCACCATCGATCTGGAGCGCACTTTCGAGCCCGGTCTGCTGAACTCGGCCATTTACTTGATCTCGCTCTCGATGCAGGTGTCGACGTTTGCCATCAACTACAAGGGTCACCCCTTCCGCGAGAGTTTGAAGGAAAACACGTACTTGTACCGTGGATTGCTTGCTGTCGGAGGAGTGGCCGTGGCCGGTGCGACCGAGTTCATGCCCGAGTTCAACACGTGGCTTCAGTTGGTTCCCTTCCCCGCGGATTTCAAGACCAAGTTGATAGGCATCATGGCGTTCGATTATTTTGTGGCATGGGGTATCGAAATTGTGTGCAACGTGCTGTTCGGCAACTTTGCCGCCAAGGATATTGTTAGGAAATAGACGCCTCAACGCCTCACCCATCCTGTTTTTCGTACATACACATACACTTTTTAGTTTGTTGTTCTTTGAATAAATATGTAGCTCTTTTTATGATTTCTGCACGCCCGATAATACTGTGCCACTGCGCATGGACCATCATGAGAGCATCAAGAGGTTCTGTGGCTTGTTTACTATTAACCGCCTCTCGGACAGTGAGGTGGAGCTGGTGGCCCGAAACTGATCTCTCCACACAATTCGGAATCACGAACACGGGAACGCGCTCTCCTTTTTTTTTTTTTTCTTCGTCAACACACAGACCATGGGAAACTATCCAGGAAAAGCAAGCTCGAGTGCAAAGTCCGCCGCGCGTCATCTCCCCTCAAAGAATGTGATTCAGGAGCGGGCGACAAAGGCAGCTGCAGCTGCAGCGGCTGCAGCAGCGGCGGCTACGTCAGCAAAGTCCGGAGCGACAAAGGTAACAACCAGTTCACCAAGGCAGGATTACCTGGAGGAGCAGAGACGGTTGGAGGAAGAGGTCGCGAAATACGACGAGCAATTGGAGAAGTCAGGCAAGCTTGGTATGAGCCTTTTTTTCAGCATGGCCCGCCGACTCTGGGAGATTATTATTTTTTCTGCTAACTATTCGTCTGGTTGATTGTTTGATTGATTATATCTAGATGGCGAGAGCAGGCCACTGGAAGACACGCCGTCGGCAGCAGAACTCCAGTTCTTTGGAAATCTTAGGAACATTGGTCAGGTCAAAGTACCGAATCCCGACCAGATCAAGCATCATGAGGTAAGATACATCCCGGACGTATCATCATCTCAAGCCTTCAGAAGCGGCGGGGAGACTAATAACTAGTTATCGTCCCTTCTGGAACACTTTTTTTTTTTTTAGGCTGAAGAGATTTTGAAACGAAAGCTGCCCGCAAAACCGATCTCATCGTCCAATGCTGTGCCGTTTGCACAATCGACCCCCACCTTCCCAACCCCAGCATCGACCTCAACTTCGGTCTTGGACGGATCATCGGCCAGTTCTGGATCGAATCTGACGTCTCTCAAACTCATGAACCTACTTCAGCTCCGGAACCAGGACCCCTCAGTCTGGACAGTAAAAAGACTCGCCGAGGACTTTGAGATGAGGGAAGGGGACATCCAAGCGCTGACGAAATACATCAACACATATACTATCCTCCCCGGCAAGGACGCCAAGGGGCGGGAGGCCGGTGTGTGGTGCGAAGACTTGAGGGGCGTTGAGGTACTCGATAAACCTAGTTCGGTCAGGGACGCAGAGGAGGCAAGGTCCTTATCATCCGAAGCAACGACAGCAACAGGAAAGACTTTGGGGGTTGAACAAACCAAGGCCCCAGTATTAGATAGATAGAGACGAGAGACCTTCAGGAGTTATTACTAGATTATTATTTTTAAAAAAAGCTCTTCGAACAACATTACGGATGATAAAAGTCTTGTAGGATGCTATGCTATTATCGCCCTGTTCTTTATTTCAACGGCAAAGGGCGACGAATCTAAGAACAACCACTCTTGCTACCGACTAAATCCCCTGGAGCGAGAGCTCCACGATACTCTGGATCGCAGCATAGCTCTCATTGAAGGTGCAACGGCCATGGTACCAATCCACGACTTCGTTCAGCTCGCGCCGCCACCAGTCATCATCATGCATATTGAGCCCGATCAGTTGAGAAATCGGCTTCGGAAGGCCCTGTTCATCATACTGCGGCTGGAGAGGCCGGGGCTGATGAGGAAAGAATGGGCGGGTGTCGTTGAGCGCAAACCAGATTTCGTCCTTCATCACATCCCCTTGCAGGTAAGCGTTTCGGTCCCTCTCGACCGTGGTCCTGAACATCATGTCCGCATCGATTGTATGCTGGACCTGCTCGATGGTCAGGCTATCCAGGGGCGGGTCCTCAACGACGAACCAGCGGGAGAACGAGCGCATGTCGATAAAGCCCGGGAGGAGCGGGTCCCGGGCCTGCCACTCGATGAGGGGTGAGGTTCGAGCTCGGTAGAGGGACCAGGTCTTTTGCATGTACTCAAACATCGCTCGATGACCTCTGGACGAATACTGGTAAGGAGGGCAGCGGGGGAAAGATGCGATGTCGTACTCGTTGCGACGGCCCTGGACGGACGCGTGGATGGTCCAGGCAAGAAGGCGCTGGTGTTCGTCGTCTATGGATCGTAACTTGAGGAGAAGCTCATAAACCTGGTCACCAGGCTGTGGCAACACACTGGATTGGATCCACTGAAAGCACATCGGCATCGCTAGCGAGGGTCCAAAAATGAAAACAGTAATAAGACTCCAGTCATGAACGATCGACCGCTCCTGTGAACGGCAATGGTTATTTGTTACGATTCACACTTACTTTGGATAAGTCGCATGTACTCCATTCGAAAGTGTAGATAATGGTTCAGGGCCTCTGCCTCCTCAGCATTGCACAGCGCCAGGAAGCCGACCATATCCTGCATACTGATGTGTAACCAGTGCGCGACCTGGTCCGTGCGCAGGCGTGTGATCGTCGCCGCAGTCTCCCAGGGCTGTCCAACCTGTTTGAGCGGAATGGTCCAGTGGTTCAGCGGATCACCGCAAACGCGATGCACGCCTGCGTCAACTGGCGCGATCCTAGGCATCCAGTAGATGACAGTGGCGAGCGGGGTGCTATAGTGCTCAGGAGAGTTCATGAAAGCCTGGAGCATTCCCTTGATAGTGGCATGAATCCACTGCTCGGCCGTCATGGGCTGTTTAATAGTTGATGAATGAGAAAGCCATGGTGAGCTTCTGAGCTGCTGGAAGGTATGTTCTGTGTACCCGCAGTTCCTGACTCCATAGCCAATGGCCCAGGATCCACTCTGTCCCGCCACAAACGTGCCTCTCCGAGGGCACGCTTCCTCCCAATTGAAGTGATATATTCCAGTGGAGTCGATCCACCGTTTAAGAACTGGGGTGCTCCAATAACGTTGCCCATTGGACTGTATATGTACCTGACTTATGATCTTAGAGAGCGACACCCGAGGACGATAGGCCCTATGCCTAGCAGTGGTATGGCGTCGGTCGCGGTTGGCTCTGGAGGGATGCGAACTCCTCTGGTTTCTCTGTGTGCCTCTAGGACGGATATTGCCGCCTGGAGGGGCTTTTCCTGAAACGGTCTTTCTAGCCGGGCTACACATCTCTGTAGCGTCTTCATCAGAGATTCTGATGCGCTTGCGTGGTGTAATGACTTCAGGCTCGGATTCGGAGCCAGGCTCGGTGTTGGAGTCCGAGTCGCCTGACTCGTCTTCAGAATCACTGCTTGGCTCAGGCAAGGGCTCCCTCTTGGCCTTACGTTTGGTTCCAGCAACAGCGGGTGCAACTGTGGGCTTTGGGGCTGCATTTGCAACAGCGTTCCTCATAGGCTGCGAACGCGCCTTGACTGCAGTCGTGGCAGCATTAGCTTTTATAGCTACCCTTGCAGATGCCGCTGAAGCCTTGCTCACGGGCTGCGGCTTCTTCTTGGCCGCAGCTGCAGCTCGTGGGTTCTGGGGAGCTGTTTTGGCAGGGACCCTGGGAGTTATTTTAGCCGTAGTCTTTGGGGCCGGTTTGGCAGTAACCTTGGGAGCTGGCTTAGGTTCGGCCGTCGTCTTTGCTTGAGAAGCTAGTTTGATCGAGGATTTGTTATGTTTGGCCTCGGAAGCCTTAGATTCCCTCTGACTCGATTCAGCCTTGGTGGCCTCTTGGGCGACTTGAGCTGAGTGCTGTTCAGCTCGTGTTCGGATTCTCTCCGAGAAGCGCACAGCAGGTTCAGTCATGGCTAAAGCGGGCTAAAGCAGATTGAGTGGGTTGTTGTCAAGTACAAAAGCGTTTTCCGGTGAAGTTGTTGTTCTATGAGAAATGGGGAGAATTGAAAAGTGAGAGAAAGAAAAAGAGATAGAACGTGCAACTAGGGTTTTTGACTGTCCTTTATACGTTTTCATAGACTTTCCTTCTTCCTCCCCTCGATCGGCAGCCTTTCAGTGGAAGAGAATCTGATTACCTCCAAAGGAACAAGGCATTTTGGTGAATGAGGAGCGCTGTCGAAGACGTGTTTGCATATCTACGGCTTTTTCACTGTTCAGGAACGGGCACCAGTGATTTTGTGATCTATGCTTGAAATGAATAAAAAAAAAGGGGTCGACGGTCAGAGATGTCTGTCTACGCAAAGTAGAAATGTGTGTGATTGGCTGGCTGAGACGCGTGCAAAAAAGGCTTGCCTAGCACAAATATGAATTTTGAGCTGCTGTGCATCCGAACCTTGAGTCAAGGCCGAGTAGGTGCACTCCGCGACCCTTGGATGACCAGTGCAATGGGTCGTCTAAAAATATACCGGGAGACTTACCGATCATGGAGCATTATATAAAACTGTTGTGCTGCATAACGCTGAACCAAGTGGGTTACTCAGAGCCATTGTTCATTTGCCGGGAAACAAAGAAAAAAAAATGAACCAGGCGAAGCAGACGAAACTGGTCCGGGTGCCTGGGTCGCACGCCGCCACATTCGTCTTTTTTTCTTCTTTTTTTCTTTCCGTATAGGCAAGAGGGGGATGGAAGGTAAGCCATCCCTTTTTGCTCTTTATGCGCTGTAGGTGAGCGATATCCACACCTGTCAAGTCATCCTCTTGGACTAAACCCCGATGCTATCTGGATGGTTCAGACCGAGGTGATTGACTAACAATGCGGAAAGGATGAATTGATGAAAAACATTAATCCATAGGAAGAGGAGCGGGAGGAGTAGGGTGGTCGAGGGCGGCGTGACAGTCGGATGGCCAATCAAGCTTTGACCTTTGGTGTCATGCACCGTAGGAAGCAGGGTGTCCCCCGGCCAACACTCTGCAGGAGTGGCAAATAACCCAGGAAGAACTTACCTAGGACTATGTAGTCGCGTGAGTCGCTTTCGACTTTGGATGATTCCATCCGAGGCTCATTGTGCTGCTTGAGGAACTGCACAACAGCATCGGTAGAACAAAAAACAGGGGTGACGCTCACATATGGTCTGCATGTCGTCGTGCATGAGGGAGAGATACGTATCCCAATAAAGACTAAATTTGGCGCTGGACCCTCATATATGAACGCGCTTCAGCAGAAATTCAGATACCTTGCGCTATATTTTGGACACTGAGAGTACGGCTAGAACTGAACGAAAGGATGAGTATTAAAAGGTACACAAGTATTCGTTGCCATGGATTTCTTGCGACACAACTGCGGTGTAACATAGAAGACGCGCCAGCGCAACCTCACCTCCAAGAAGAAACCATTCACTAGAGCTCATTTGTCTCCTTGTGGAAAAACAGCGTAGCAAATTCACATAACCAATTTAATGTCCCTCAAATGCAGGCAAGTTGCAATGCCAGTTACTATCAGGTGCTTCTCCCATGGCAAGCGTCCGTAGCATAGTCTTCCGCCACAACCATTGCATGGGTTATGACAAAGGCCAAAAAAAAAAAAAAAAAAAAAAAAAAAGGAAATGCAGCAATTTGCGTGAAAGGCTTCAATTGCCACACACGCATAGTCTTTATAAAAGCGATTCCCTTTCTCTCTGCAATAAAGGTTCCTTTGGCCCTCCGCGCATTGAACTCGCTATATTTGGATAGCCCTGGACCCCGATCAAGTGATAACGTCTGCCATAGTGAGCTCAAACCATGGGTTGATGCAGTTTACCGTTGGCATAAAGAATTCTACGCTGCTTATCGGAAAAGAAACGGTATCAAGCAGCGATAGTTGGGTATAAGTAGCATGGCCCCTCCTTCCCGAGGGTTTCTTTTTTGTTTTTCCTCGCCTTTTTATCTTTATCAAACGCGTCTCTTCCAAACATACACAAACACTTCAGAAAACTACAGAACAAACAGCAACAGTAACAGCAGCAACAGCCACTTAACCCACAAAAAGAAATAAAAAAAAGGTACTTCTTAACACCGTGAATTATCCTCACAGTCAATCCCCATTGGAATCAGCTCCCACCATCTACCGATGAATTTCCTACCATCGTCCGGGCATACTTCATTCCAGGCCGTGACCAGCGACCATACGCTTTCCGCTGCCACCTCCGAGCCGGTCATGACTCACTTTCCCATCTGTCCTCTGACGTTCCAGGCTGTGCACGGTATCGAAAGCTTCGAGCTTGGTACTCAAGACGGCCTGTTCGACAAGGATACCACAATGGATCCAGAGAGCACCTTGATCTTCAACCTCGAAGGTTTCTCTGTCTCTGCTCAGCCCTCAAATGTCTCTCTGGCTCCTGCCTACGATGTCGGAGTGGCGCCTCAGCAGCAGCAGCAGCCACATCAAATTCAGGACATGTCTTTCCCCTTGCTATACCAGCAAGTGCATGCGAACCAATCGCAGCCGATGATGATCCAACAACAGCAGTTATTCCAGCTGCAGACGTTGCAAGTCGCGTCATCTCTCCCCACTTACCTGTCGCCTCAAGGTGTGCAGTGCCAGCAACAGCAGGCTCAGTATGCATCGCTGGAGCAGATTCAGTATCAGCTCCACGCCTCGCACCAGAACCAGCTCTTGAGTTCCTATCCGCACATGTTCACGCAGCCCGCTACGATCAGTTCCTCTGAGTACCGAACCCAAAGGTTTGGTCGGCTTTCGAGCCCCGAAGGTTCGGCCTCGGTGAGCTCCGAGAACGGCCATTTCGAGCTCACTGAGGGAGAACCTAGTTGTTCGACTGGGGTCGCGAGCGAGAGTTTTGTTAAGCCCTTTGACGAGCTTGAGATTTCAGAGGGTATCGTTCGGAGCATGCCAATGCCGGCGGGCGTCGACCGAAAGGATCCCCCCATGCAGATGTCGTCGGGCTCGTGCCCCCCAACGTTGACTCTCTCGTCCTTGGCGACTCCGGCTCACGCACTGTCCTTTGCCCCGATCCTCTCATTGTCATCGGCTCCGGTGCCGTATTTTGATGAGGGGTCAATCTCGGATGACTCGGACTTGGCTGATGCCCATACGGAGGTTTCCTCGGCCAAACGTAGAAATCGAGCCCGCAAGCCGACCAAGGCTCCTGTGAGCAAGCCCAGGGGACTCAGAGGACAGTTTCGTGTAAGTACTATGTTGTTTTCATTTTGCTGTTTGTCCAAGACGTTAATTTGTTCGTGTTGTGTGTGTGTGTTTTTTTTCTTCTTTTTTTTTCTTTTGCTTTTTCGATGATCCTTCTGACCTGAGACGAGCGCTTTATTTGTGGTAACAATTAATTATAATAATTAGTGCAACCACCCTGGTTGCAGCATCGCCTGCTCGAGCAGTCCCTCGCTTCTCCGCCACACCGCCGGGCACAAATGGCGAGGGAAGTACTCGCCCGTGCGCTGCGAGGCCTGCCAGACCTCGCTCTCGAACGAGTTCTCGGCCCAGCGACACATCACCCGGGCGGATCCCAGCTCGCGCTGTTTCCGGATGCGGATCTATAGCCTCATGAGTTCCGAAAACGAGATCGAGGTCACGGTCAGGTTCTACCCGACACGTCCGCATGGGAAGAAGACTATCCAGGTCGACCTCGAGAAGATGAGAGCAAAATACTTCCATAGTTGAAATGAGGAAGTATGGGAGAGGGAGGGGAGAGGAGACCGCGCGTGGGGGGTCAGAGAAAGAAAGGCCGATCTAGAGTGAGAAAATGGCTGGGGTTTCTTTCCCGTATTTTATTATAAAAATGAATAAATAAAAATAGGAAATAGAAAATAAGTGGACCTTCCACGTGTGTTGACAACAGCACCGCAATAATAGCGACACCCTTCCTTACATAATGGAATCGACATTCAATTCATCCCTCTGCCTTTGAGTCGCATGGCTCGGACCAAAAATTGCTTCTTCAGCTCCAAAAAAAAAAAAAAAAAAAAAAAGGCAAGTCTGCCATGTAGACCACAGCCTTATTACGTGTACCTTGCGTGTTTGCTGCGTGTTCACAACCCGATCGTCCAAACTTTATCTTGTTTCTAGAGATAGAGTTCGTACTGTCACACCCTTGTAAACTTCACAAAGTCAAATTCGGATCGATTGTTCAATTATACATATTTACTTCTTTTTTTTTTTGCGGACGACAGAACGATAAGCAACGAATGATAAAGACTGGCATGGTAATATAGACAAGAAATGTATGTAGGGTATAATGGAATGAGGAAGCAGGAGGAGAGGGGGGGGGGGGGGGTATAATATGATTATGAATTGATCTCTACTTCTTATTTGGTCCGAAGACATCGTCATATGCCATCAAGGACAGCTTGCGCTTCTTGCTAGCCCCATCCTCAAGAAAGCCGTTCTCCTCCATACTGCACATCTCCATTTCGCCGCCCGTGTTCAGCAGCACCTTCTCTTCCATTACGCTCTGCATAGCGACAGGGATCGCAGTAACGAGCGTGGGAGCGGAGGCTGCTGCTGTAGCTGCTGTAGCATTAGCATGTGCCTCCCTCATCCGCATAGCAGCCTTGGTCCTATCGATCTCCTTCCTCAAAGCCGCCGATATCTTCTTGCCCATACGGTTCATGACCTCATCCAGGGGCTTTGCACGATAGGAGCTGACCTCGTAATGGACCTCGATCCCATTCGATGTCTTGACCTGACCGATCGTGCCGACAGCACGGCAGATCGAATCCATGGGCGAGAGGTTGATATGGCGCGTTACTGCGTCCCTCCGAGAGAGATTTGACTTGCAGCCGACACAGTTCCAGAGCAGCTTTTCGTGGATGGACTCGATGTGTCGGACCAGCACTGCGGGCCCAGCAAAGCACTGACCACATTGCGGGCACTGGTGCGTGGGCGAAGTCGTCGACGTGATTTGGTTCATCTGTGGGGACGTGGGGCTTAAAATACCGCAAGCAGAGGGCTCACGAAGGTTGGACGTCCGCCTTTGAGAACCCATCGAGGACGTGGACGACGTGGAGGACTTGCGAGAGCGGATAATCGAACTGGACAAGCCATCGAATTCAACTCGTCTGATACGACGTTCGGATACAAACCCATCATATGCAGATGAGGGCGAGGCCGCTCGAGAGGACTGACATGAAGGAGTCATCTCCGAGTAAGTATAGGACGACGAGGGCGACGCGAAAGAGGGCGTAGACGATTCCGAGGAGAAGCTGGACTCGACAGGAGAGGACACAAAGCCCCATGAATAGTCTTGCTGGCCGGCCTGGACAATGTTACTGGCCGCAGACATGGACGGTGAGGCGACCGGAGCCGATGGTTGTGTCACCTCATAGACCAATGAATCCCATGGAGCGGACTGGGCGGAGAAACCAGAGGTGACGATGTTGACATTGGGGGCCATCACAGGGATCTGTTGGCCATGTTCATCGTCGATCACGATCTGGAGCTGAGGCTTTCGCTGACGTGGACGCTGGATTTGTCCCTGCCTTGGGTGGTACTGCAGAGGCGACATGAGCTTCTGCTGGGTCAAATGCTTCTCCTGCACTTGATGGGAGGGAGCGATCGCGACAGTATTTTGCTGCTGCTGTTGCACCCCATAGACTGCACTCATGAGCCCATTGTTCGCGAAAAGGGACTGAGCAGTGGGAAGATTGGTGCTTGAGGAGAATGCTGTCATGTTCCAGGAGTTGTTGGCATTCGAGGAGGATTGACTACTTCCGATCATCGAGGGCCCCTGAAGACTATTGGGCGAATATGCAGTGTAGTGCGCAGATGGGGCAGACGCGCTGGTCATAGTGTGCTGATTTTGTTGCTCGTTTTGGAGATACATACACTGGACATTGTTCAGGAGGTAGTCCATAGCATTGTTGGGCATGGAGGGTACGATGGGCGTAGATCCATCTGCAGCTGTGGAAGATGTAATGGATGACGGCGAAGAAAGGAAGACCGAAGAATCGCTGCTTTGAAGGCTGCCAAGGTTGTGTGCGGAGTGCCGTGGATGAGCTGTCACCTCTCCCTTGACTACCCTTCGATTAGAATTTGGGGACATGATATTCATTGAAAGCTCGTTCAGCGAGGAGTGTGCAAAGCCAGAATCCCTTCGAATACTAATAAGACTTGGAGGTTGGGTATTATCGCTAACAGGCATGACATCTTGTTTTAAACCAGAGGAGGGAGGCGAGGCGAGATCCATTCCGAGATTGTGGAGGTAGCTGGAATATCCGACGTCGATCGAGCTATCGCTACCGAGATTACTGCTTGTGTTGTTTCTGAGCATGCCGGAGGAGATGCCTAGCATCATTGGAATGTGTACAGTGTTGGAGTATGTCGCCGATTGTTGCTGTTTGCTAGGGTATATCTGATGGGATGGAGTGTATTGAAGGAGGTGTGACATTTTGAAAGGAAAGAGAAAGAGGGCGAGAAAAGGATAGAAGGTGAATGAGCCAGGTCGGGCAAGCACTAAAATGGACGCCGAGATGATGGTATGCAGGAAGACGGAGGTGCGGGGGGAGGGAACGGGGACTGATTTTCAGGATCCACTGCCGGTGCCTTTTCTTGTTTCGGTGTGGGTGTAGCGAGGGGATGAGCAGGGAGGAAGGGAGAGAGGGTATATATGTATGTAAATATGGTACAATGCGAATGTCGTAAGGGGGGAAGGAGATGAAGATGAAGAAGAAGAAGAGAAGAAGGCGGGGATGGAGAAGAAGAAGGGTGTGAAGAGAGGGTGTGGATGGGTACGGGTGCGAGAGCTTTCTTTTCTTTATTAAATCCTCGGGAGGGTTGAGCCATTGGAGGGGTGCCATTTATACGCAGTGAGGACGAGGGCGATCCTATATCAATTCCGGTGTTGTTACTCAGTCAATTCAGTCGCTGCACGGCCCCGCAAAAGTATCGCGCACAAACAAAACATTCACGCACATCCACACACACAAACACACACAAACACACAAACACCCATCCAGACACACCTGCGTAGTCTATCACACCATGGGCCCTATTCAATCGCCTATTGTATACACCCCCTCCTCCATCGTGCTTGCCTCTCTCTTTCTACTTTCTATTAGGCGAGCATGCATACATCGACCATACAATAGATCGCACAGCTCCTCTATCCTTCGACCGCAAACTGGAAGGGGATGCAAGGCAGTAATACCTGAAAGGGCCCTGTCTACTATTCTTCCTCTTTCAATCCCATGCACGCTACATAAGCACCTCCATCATGTGCCTTAGTACGTCTGAAGAGACTAGACCATTGGGATCCATTCACAACTATCTACATTGGACACGTCCATCTCTTGGTTCATCATGTATCCAGATGTTAGCTAGCTGGCTTTGGAGCACATACCGTCGATAAGCCGGAAGATGGACAAACACGTACCAGCATTGACCGCCATACTAAGAGGTCCTCAACCTTATCCGACCATTACGCCATTACAAAATCCAAGCAAGGGGGAAGGGAGGAGGAAGAGGAAGAAGAAGAAAGAAAAAGAAAATAAGGCTTCTTCGCTTATCACGCGGCCCCCGCCCATGGCACGCACACACAGCAGAGTACCTGGTGCTCTATACTCTGTGGTTCAACAATGGAGGCTGTCCCACAACACACAATGCATGGAAGGAATGTTGGCGTCGATGGTTGGACAAGATTGTCCACAAAGCGTGTGCGGGCGCGCTTGTCCCAGGAACGCGAGACGGTCGTAGTACCAGCCAAAAAGGAAATGCAGTAATGAGGACAGTACACTGTATACGGTACATCAGTCCGATCTGGCGATTCCTGCCCTGTGCTCATGACAGAATAAGAGCAGACCAACTGGACAAGAGACGTCCCTGAATTCTGGTAATAGTAATAAACAGGATGGGCGGGTTAATGGGGTCAGACAACTCCCTGCTCTTCCCCTTGCCTCCTTCGTGATCACCTTCGGTGTGCTGCAATGTTAAATTAAAGATGTGTAGTAGATTCTGCCCCCCGGCCCTTTTCAGCCCTGACTTCCTGTCATGCAGATGGCGATCTAGCGATCGACTTTCTCCAGCCATTGAAGTCTCGTGGCAGAAGTGAATCGGCAGAGAGGTAGAATCGTCGCCTGAGGCTAGCCAGAGATGACAAGATGCGCCGGTATTCACTGGCGAATGGATCTTGAGTAATCTCCGTTACGCGTATCCTCGACAGGCTGCTGCTGCTCGCACAACAGAAAGAGAACAGTAAACAAGGCTGAACGGAGCGGCTGTTCTGTTTGAGCGACTGCAGTCGAGGGAGGGACGGGGTGAAAGGGAGGGAGAGGAGAGAGGACTCTAGATTTCGGTATATCCACCCTAGTGGGCGAATGAATACATCCCAATTAAAAAACTGGTGTAGTTGCACAAAAAGGAGGACCCTCGCCCTTTGCCCTTAACCCTTTCTTTCTTTCTCAGGGCATCGTCCATATGGATATAATCGGGTAGAATTCATTCGACCTTCTGCTTGGTTGCTGTCTGAGCAGGGAGCACTGAGCATTCATAACACAGCTGCTATTCATTTTGCCCGCATCTCGGGCGTCAGCGCACTAGCAATCCGAATTTTGTCTCTCTCCCTTTCGCACACGCGCTATGAACCACGGCTTTGCCCTTCTCTTTAGTCCGAATTGAGCTGATCCGCGGTCTACATGCCATAGCTTTTACCTGCTTTGTTTGTCAAGTCCGCATGCATGCTTCTCGGTTGTTGTCTAGCCTGGACAGGGCCTCTACTCGTCTTCTTGCGCGTCATGTCTGGTATAGCTTTCTCTCTCATAGATTCATAGATTCTAGCCGATACCCTATCGCCAAGCGCATGCGGGAAAACAGGAGGAAAAAAAAGCCAGAGTATAGAATTAGTCTATCAGTAACCCTAGACCATGATCTGACCCATATCCAACTGCGCCACGATACCATAATAGGCATCGGGAAGGACCAAGATAGCATTACAGTAGTAGTGCTCGATGCCCCGCAAACCATCTGGAGGACCCCCGTTATGCATTCCCCTTCAGCGTCGCAAATGTTCGTTGTAATAATAGACGTTTGGTCCGGTGCAACCGGTAATGGTGCGAAACCGGCTGCAGCCATACCTCTTCATTTTGTCATAGAGCTGACCTGAACAAGTCGCGGGTCTACTGCTTCTGCCCTCCTAATGCGCTCGTTGTATTTTTTTTTTTTTACGGAGTTGATGTCGCAACCCCCTAAAAACCCATCAATGTCGACCCTTTATGCTGCCACCGCTTAGTTCCTTTACGCAAACTTGCAAGCAAGGATAGGTTCAGTCCAAGACTATATAGTACAAAGGGGGTGTTTGAGTTGAGGTGGAGAGCGATAGCGGACATAGCTGAAGAACTCAATAAGTCGCGGGAATTGATTCGGATACTTTAGTGTGCCAGTTGTTCAATTGAGCGGGGTGAGCCGAAATAGAGGATTCAAACCTCATTGGAGGCAAGGCTGACCATATCCAAGGATAGACGCGATTCTGGTGCTTTCGACTCGAGAGTGCCCGTATCCCGTTCAAAAGGCGCTCGGTTACGCGTTGTTCCGTTCTTTCACAACCAGGATTACGTTACATACAAATGTCTTTTGCATCAGTTACAGTCCCAGCTGTTTTTTTAAACGACGTGCAAGGATGTGATTCATGCAAAGCTAGAGGGTCTGATGGGTACGACGGAGAATCAAAGGGAGTACTGGTTGCTTGCTTTCCATAAACATTATCCCCTTCTTCTCCTGAAGGGGTTTCTGAACTGCTGAAAGCAGTTCAATATAGACTGTCAGGGTTACGTGTCGGGTTTACTAAGACCTCCCTTGGGCATGTCAGAAAAACCTGCGACCAGATTACATACAAGTTTCAAGTAGAAATCTCATATGCAATGCGTGCATTCCACCTGCGCATCAAAGGGTAGGTGAGCAAAGGAGCCTTGTTAATAGATCAGAGAAAGACTAGATGTGTCAGTATGTGTATTAAAGACTGATGCGTACCGCACACGTCTGCTCTGCATTGGCGTGCAGGTCAAAAGCTTAAGGACATTAACTATGCAAAGGGCACACACCACGCTTGTAGCTTGGACCAGAGCTGAGCGGAGTTGCTGCTTCATTCTCGACCCTCTTTTCATTGCTCTTTGCAGAGGCACGGGCACATGTGTCTGATGGAGAGCCCAAAGGTGACGGAAAGGCCACTTGGTCCAAGCTGTAGTGTGTAGCGCTCTCTTCATTTTGCGGAACCGAGAAAAAGAACGTTCTTTTCATATATGTGCCTCATCCCTTATCTCACTCTCTTACATAGACCCCCCTCTTCCCTTCCCCTCATAGACAGTGGCTCCTGATTGAATGGAAAATAGTGATGAGTGATGAAGAAGAGTGTCCTTGAGCACTTGGATCCGTTGTCGAACAGGATGGCCAACACCCTATGCTGGGGTGCCGTTTCTATTTGGACAGTTTTCCCATTTCAGCCGGATGCAGTCCATCTTAATTTCTATCATGTCTTCTTATCTTTTTTGCAACATGGATGGGCTCCATCCCATTCGAGATGATACAGCATTTGATATGTAGCTCGATCGAAGCATCGTCCCTCTCTACTCGGCTGGGTACACCAGATATCGCTAACCAGTGTAATTTTGAGAGTCCATTCACGACGTATTGTTCGGATGAACACAGTAGGCGTAATCGAGCAACACAAGAGAACGAAAGACCAGAACATCAATGAGAGCTCGAGACAATTGTAACTGAGCAGACGCCATGCTTACTGTTATTTCCGTGTACTACCAGAGGGGATTATTTTTATTTTTATTTTGCTCATCAACACATCACTATACAGCCCAGAGACGGGGACAACGTGTATGAGTTAAAGACCTGGGCACGTTGTTGAATCAAGCACATACATTCATACCAACCATTCATTGACCATGGTTTTTCCACACTCAAACATCCCCTATTTTCCGCTGCATGGCATTTAGCCTTTTTGTCCTTTTTTCCTTTTTTTCCTTTTTTTCCTAGTCTAGAAAGCACGCCCTTGACCTCTCACTATTCGTTTCTATCAAATCTCTCTTTTTTTTTTCTTTTTTTTTTTCTACTTTCAACCTGTGCCAGGTCCCCCAAGCGCATTTTTCATTTGCACATCTGTGAGGGTCTAGATGTGTCTCGACCCCGCATGCCTACCAAAGTAGAATGCAGGCTATCCAAAAGAAACAGACTATGCAATGCAGTGGTGTGCAAACTAGACTATATGTGCATTTTTATTTTTCTTCGCGAGTAGTTGCACAGCGCGTTCATTTTCTACGAAATCATCTTTCGTTTTTGGAGGATGATTTGTAGTAAAGACTGAACAGTTGTGATGGAGTGGGAGGGTGAGTGGATGGGTGGTGGCGCTCACTCATTGTGCCTTGATAATAGCGCGGTGATAGGATAGGAAAGAGAGCAGCAGCAGCAGCAGCAGATGGGTGCTGTATTGAAATCATCGCACACGATCGGCTTTGTTCCGATACCGAGAGCCTCGTGAAGGCAACATTACACCAAACAGGCGCAGCGAGCTGGTCTTTTTTTTCCCCGTAAAAAAACCACACGCGTCCTTTATTAGCTTGACAGATTTCTAGGGTGATCCTGCACGCGGCGGATGATGGGATAGCTCTACCTTCATTAGCACACACACTACCCTCAAAAAAAAAAAAAAAAAAAAAAAGCCGGGCGAAGCAGCAGCCCCGCCCCATCACGCTCGCTTGCTCTTGGTGACAAACAAATGCAACTGTGACATGGAATACATTCTATAATGGGTTCAGAGACCGAACGTTGTGTCGAAAATGGGGTTCTATCTTCCTCCCCGCACGCGACAGATTTTTTTTAGTTCGGGATATATACATCACGATCGAGTCTAAGGTTCGGACCGCTTCGCCTCCGCGACGCGAGTGCTGAGTTTTTTTTTTTTTTAAATTTTTTATTCCAAAAAGTACTTGCCTCGACCAGAAACCTCCCTTCACCACGCGTCCGCCTAGGGCTCATGGACTTTGGATGCCGTTGCGCTTTTTTTTTTTTTTTTTTTTTTTCGCTACCAGTCGGTGATATAAAAAAGCTCGATGGGTTCAAATCCGAGTCCCACTCAAGCGCAATGATGATGGTTGAATTCCATAGAAAATAGTTGAATGTTAAAAATGGTGAACAATAAGGTTGGCCAATAGATTACTTTCCATCGGTTGGTTTTCCCCAGCACATACGCCTTTCTCAGCATGAGGATGTCCGTCAAATTCCTTCTCATCAATACCCGATCAACAATGCCCTTGCATCCCCTGCTCCCTCGAACGCATCACCCCCTTCACCCCTTTTGAAATCTCATAATTCTTCCTTTTATCAGCCAGAAAACACTCAAAACCACCTTCGTCAACAACAACAATTTCTTTTCAATCACACTTTGTCCCCTCAGTGCAGTACTTCCCAACTGCCTCTTTCCAATACTCTCTGCCCAACGCGCTCCTGTTGCTTCGGAAAGATTCGTCAGATCTTGTTCGCCCACGATGACACGCGCGAGCAGTAGTCAGCTTCGACCTCTCCAACTTGCTCCACAACAGCAGTTACCTTCCTCTGTGGCTTCCTCTTCGTCGTCCGTTGCAACTTACTCACACAGTACACGAAATCGATACCAAAGACCAACTGGTGATGATGCTGTCGAAACGACCTCCAAGTTCTGGTCAAAGCCTGGCATGGACATTCTCGTCGACTGACTCACGGACCCTATCAACCATAATTCACTTAAAAACTTCAGGAAGGCCTCTGAAGGTAGCATCGTGGGCTTGCACAGAAAGATTCTGCAGTTGGTCACCAAGAAATATGGCCAAATCTGGACCCTCAAGCAAGTGAAAGCCAACATTCATTATGCACAGGACAAATACAAGAAGGCCAAGGATATGGCCAAACAGACAGGTCAATATACAGACGAGGATGGAACGTCGAGGAAGAAAATGCTCCAAGAGTGCCCCTTCTACGACCGACTCGATGCTGTCTATATGTCAAATGCCGTCATTAATGCCGATCCACCGATTGATACGTTCTCACTTCCTCGCGAGGAGCAGCCTGAGTACGAGTCGGAGGTAGAAGCTAGCGCCTTTGACGACGAACAGTTCGACTCTGACGAGTCTGATAATGGTGGGGGGCCTTTTTGTAGCTATGTGCAACTCTATCATGCTCGACACATGTTTCTAATACTCGCTGATCTTTCGTAGCTATAGACAGCGTCTCTGTTGAAAGCAGTTCGACCCCACGTAAAGCAAAAAGCAGTATGCCACCGTCAGCAAAGAGTCGAAAAAGGAAACAAGGCGAATCTATCGCGAGTATTCGTGAGCACCTTGCTGGAATCCGAGGCGCTTCATCTAAAGTAGCTGACAGTCAAAAGTCCTGGACTGATCAGCTTCTGCAACAGACAATAGTTCAGGAAGATCTTCTTTCTCGGCGCAGGAAAGACTTTGAAGCAGAGATGGCGGAACGCAAGGCGGCACTCAGGCAGGCAAGGCAGGAGTGGGAGGACGAGCGGCTGCGCTTGAGAAAGGGAATGGAGGAAGATCATGCGCGCTTGAGAAAGGAACTGGAGGAAGAAAGGGAGCGCTCGAGAAAGGGACTGGAGGAGGAAAAGGAACGCTCGAGAAAGGAACTGGAGGAAGAAAGGGAGCGCTCGAGAAAGGTACTGGAGGAAGAAAGGGAGCGCTCGAGAAAGAGACTGGAGGAAGAAAAGGAGCGCTTGAGAAAGGAACTGGAGGAAGTCAGGACGAAATACGAGATACTTCTGTGCGAGCTCGCTGCGGCGAAAAAAGAGCTGGAACTAAGGACTGGAAACAGTATCGGCACCATTACAACATAGATTGGTTCGCAATGTAATATACGTTTGAATCGCTTTAATGTCTACCCTGTCTACGCTTTAATCGCATAATAGCGTTATGGCTATTGAGCACCCATGCCTTCAATCTTTTTCTTCTTCTTTTTGCTACAGCTCCGTCCATTCCGTCCTCGTGAGGAGCTACTGCCTCGCCTGCTTTGCCTGCCTCGCCTACCTGTCCTTGACCTTCCTGCTGTTGATTCTCCCTGATCTTCCTGTGAACTTCCTCATCCACGATTTCCCCTTGTGCATCCTGGCGGATAAAATTGTTCATACTGATTTTGGTGTAGAAACACCAGCGCGTTGTAGTATGCCTTGAGCAATGCAGGTTCGGTGAATACACCCGCCATGATGGACCTGGCATGGTCTTCAGCAGCGTTGAGGAATGCCTCCTCGATATCCTTCATAAGGCGTTGCTTTGGGGTGCATCTTTCTCTGGGCATTTAGAAGAGGAACGAAGGAAGACAAGGAATGATAGCGCGTGGGAGCAACAGATAAAAAGGCCAATAGCAACGTGTTATTCGGAAGCAAGATTCAACTCGCCGTTGAAAAGATTTAACTCGGTTGAAAACTCATGCTTTTAGATTAGCCAATAAAACCATTTTCCACTGTTAAATTCAACTGGTTACCTTGTACTGGTTCGGGACCAAAGGCATATCCTCTCAGAAGGCGGTCTTCACAGTGGGTGTCGGGTAATAGTCAGTGAACCTCTCTATACATGGCGGTGTTTTCATGCAATCAACGAGCTTGAGCGCCAGTTCATTGTCTGGGTAGATCAAGCAAGGAGGGCCGAGATCTCCAGATGGTTCAAGCAAGTAAAGGGCTTTCCTAATGCAATTGATGCTGTAGACGGGGTACCATTTCCCTTTAAGTCAGCTCTAGCCTATGACACTACCTCATAGAATACCCGAAAGTGTGTCTATGCTATGGGCTGTACAGCTGTCTGCGGTCATCAAGGCCGCTTCACTTTTGTCTCGACCGGCTACGTTGGATCCATGAACGATTCCTTGACTTACAGGAACGGCCATCTTTATACCCGAAAAGAACGATTTTTTTTTTCAAGGAAAGGAGTATCTTTTGGGTGACGCGAGCTATGTGATACCCGCTACCGCCATTCCTCGATACAAGAGCGCGAACATCACGCGTGAAGAAGAACACTTCAACAGTCTCCACGGTTCAGCGCGAGTCAAGGTTGAGGATGCCGTTCGGGTGGCTCAAGCTCAAGTGGCAATCCCTTCAAAATCCACCAGTCAAGGTCGACAAGAAGAGGCACATTACCAAGGCGTCGAGTTTGATCATTGACTGCATGGTCTTACACAACCTTTGTCTCATGAATCCTGACGGCGGCGAGACCGACGACACAGAGAACAATTGGAACCAGTGTGCTCTTCACCCACCACTACAGATTGAGCAAAACGTCGCAGTAGTGGAGATAGATGGTGGGCCCGAGAACCTCGACAGGTAAGAGGCCAAAGCGAGGACGGACAAACTGAAGGCATGGGTGCTCAGGAACGAAATGACCGTAGTAATGAAAAAATAAAAAAAAAATAAAAAAATAAAAAAAATACGTTTATTTATAGTAGCCTGATATTTCTCACCTCGAGCTTCTTTCGTAATGCTGAATTCTGTGCTTTGATCTCGTCGCGCTCCTTCAAGAACTCGTCCCTCTCGCGCTTGAACTCAACTCTCTCTTTTCTTATCTCGGCCCTCTCATCAGCCATCTCCTTCCTGAAATCTGCCCTCTCTGCGGCGAGTTCCTTCCTGAGAAGTTCTCTGGACTCCCCGGCAACCCGTAACAGCTTCTCTGTCAATTCACGCTCCCGCTGCTCGACCGCTTGTTCCCGGTGCCTCAGTTCAGTCCTGGTCCCGTCATACGCCTGCTTTTGTTGATCTAAGGATCGCTCTACCCAGGCCATAATAGAAGAGGTCGCAGAACGGCTCAAAGGGGTGTTGCCTTTTCGGCGCTGGTTGGCCGGACCTAAGCTATGCCGATCTGTCTGCGTATCTAGAGCACAAATATCAAGGCAGTGGATCAGAGAGCTGTTTGTAGTAGATTCAAAAAAAGTCGACTACATACATGAAAAGACATCAGAGATGTCGTCAAGGAGCTCAACATCTCTGCTCACTTCATCCGTGTCTTCAGAGGAGACTGATTCGTGTTCCAGGCTGCTTGTCTGCCGAAGACCGGGGGGTCTGCCGCAAGGCTACTGCCATAGACTTCATGAAGTCTTGGGAACAATGGGCAAATCTCCAATTGCTTCAGGGCGACATTTTCTGCGCCGGTCGAATTCAACTTTGCCGCCTCGCGGTACTTAATCCTCGTATAGGCAATCTTTGACTTCACTTAGGCCCCCGTCCACTCGAGGTTGTGTTTTTTGTTGACTAAGGCCGCAATTTCCTTGTGGATGTCTTTGCTTTTCTGGCCCTGCAATTGAGTTCTTCTTGTAGAGCCGCTGGCGGTTGTGTGGATTGGTAATCCAGCCGAAAAATGTAACCATGCCGTTCTGCGTCCAGAGTACTCTTCAATGGCATTTTTTTTTTGAACAATGAGAGAGGAACATAGGCTTCTACTGAACAAAAGAAAAGGAGCGTCGTTTGTCCTTCCACCACTCTCAACAGAGACATGACCCCCCGACTTTCCATCCGCTCACGTGGAGAAAGTGTGCTCGTCCCCGCGTAAACGGTATCCATTCCACCTTGGGTATGGATTCAACAACTCGATCCAACATAATGTTCATATTCTCCATATTCATTGTTACACCAGTTATGAAGGTACCCGCACGTTTTTACATGCAGGGGTCGACTACATTGTTTCGTGTGGGAAAGATGAGGACGCGTTCCACCGCAGTCATGTACCCAACCATACGTGGCCGTTGCGCATAAGTGGTCCGTGCTGGGGGCTTAACTGGATAGATCCTGTACCGCAGCATTGGGCAGATCCACTTTGATGGTCGATGAAAAACAGATCCGTAACGAACCCCCTCCCCCCCCCCCCCCCCCCCACGCAGGAAAATAACGTTAAAATGCAAGGGAATACAGCGGCATCCCAAAGTTCTGGAGCTGTTTGGTGTTTGCAGAAACACTTTTTATTATTATCATTAGTATTTTTTATTTCTTATTTCTTTTTCTTTTTACGGCACAAGAAGTGTGTGGATCTAAAGATCTATGACAAAATCAGGGTTATTCTTCTTCAACTCGACGCGGACCAGATCACCAACCCAGCTCGCGACCTTGTCAACAGGATCAAGGTCTTTAATTCCTGCATGCTGGATTTTGTACTGTCCATTTGATTGCTGTGATGCCTTTAATGTCAACGCTGGGTCGTATTCGTACAAAATCGTGTCGTAAAACGACTGGTAGGACTCCAGAATGAACGACTATGAAGAGTAAACCATAAGATCGTGGCGTTAATGCACAGATAAAGAGCACAAACAACAACAGCAACCCCCCTCCCCCAGCATTGAATGTGATCTTACCTGGATAGGCCGCATAAGGATCATTTCCGTATTGGGGTCCTTGAGATACATAGACAGTTTTCTTACAGTCCACTGGATCCTTGGCGGCACCGTCTCCTTGAAATCCGTTATGATCCTTGCCAGCTCCTCCGGTCTCGCGAACGGCTTGTCCTTCAGCAACATCGGTGGTCTCTTCATCAGCCCACTAGAGACAGAAGGATCCTGTTCCCTCTGCGCTGCTTCCACATCTGCTCGGATCCTGAATCCTGCCACCTTGTTCATAAACTCGGTCAAGGAGTGGACTGCTGATTTGCCCATCTCCAGAATAAACGTCTCACAGACGAGCTTCAGGTCCCGATCGATCTCCTGTCTGGCATCCAGATAGCTGTCGACTAACGTGGGCGTTATCGTCTGAGAAACAGCGCCGAACCAAGATCCAAAACTGAGCAGGTTCGTTCGATCACGGAACAGCGATGTGATCGCGTCCGTCATCCGCGAAAAGTCAACCTCCTTGGACGAATGCACAAAATTGCCTTCGAATGGCGCGATCTGTTCCTTTAGGATCAGCAGGTGTTTGATTAAAAACAAGTGTCCGTCGACTGGATCCTTGGTTTCCTTGATGGTCATCGATGCCTGATTCAGCGATACAAGGCACTTCGACAATGCTTCCTGAGATAGGTCGTCAAAGATTGCTTGTTCGACGCACCTATAGATCTTTGTCAGCAGCCAAAGAGTCTTTTGTAGAGTCGGATACCATCCCTGGTACATCGCCGCTGATTCATCAAACTGCTGCAGTGTGGGTGATGAAAAATAGCCTCCAGCGATGCTGCTTGCCAGCGATGGAGTTGGCGATGATACTTCTGGTATAGAATCCGCAATGCTTTCAGCATCAGAAGCCCTGTAAATGTGTTGTGAAGACATAGATCTTGATAGCCCATCGGTGTTACTAGGAAGTGGTGGGGGTGCTAGAAAGAAGGTCAGAATATGTCAGTAATGTACACTCTTAACTATAGTTCCAACATTGATCAGCAGTGTGCGGTGACTCCCTTACCTTGAAGTCGAGCTGGATAATCGAGGACGTTTGGAGTTGGTTTGTAATTTTGAATCTCTGAACGGATGAAGGACTGTGCCCGATAGACAAGTCGATGCTGGGTATCCTGTAGCATATTGCGGATCAAATATCCGAATGCAAGATGCGAGTTTTCATCGACTATGGAAGAGTGTGATAATAACATATTAGAGAACTTGATGACGAGAAAAAAAGACAAAGCTATGGAAACAAAAACGAAAAAAAAAAAAGAGAATAGCTCCAGGTGGGCGCTTACTTGGAATGTCCGATTGCTGGATATTCATGATGACGCAGAGTTCCGAAAGAATATCGATCTTGTTTTCATGAATGATTCTGGGCCGCAGATAGTCATACAGGTATCCGATCAATGTATCCAGGTATCCACTGCGATGTAGATATCGGACGATACGTTCGTTAATTAAAGTTTTGCAAAAGCTAGCCGCATTATTATAAACACCAAGATAAGATCAGTGCGGCGACTTACTAAAGTTCAGACTCTCCAGTGTTGAAAAAGTTGTAAAAGAGCGAATATTCTTCCATGCACACTGAAGTCAAGTACGCCAGTCCATTTCGTGCCTAAAACACGGTTGAGATGTTAATGTCGATTTTCTAATACGAAAAATTTCAAGGTCCTTGTTCCTCAGAATCTATACTTACAAACCTAAGCTTATCCTGTTGACTGGGACCCATCTCTTGGATTTTAGAGACAATCATCGATGAAAGATGCTGCTGCCGGACCGAAAAGTAGCAGTTGTAGCAGTCATTCAGCAATGAGTTGTACCTAAGAAAAGATATGGTCAAGAATTAGGGGATGAGCGATGCCTGGAAAATGTGGTTTGGAAACCAGCCAATTGGCAGCAAACATGGCCTTACTCCTTGTGAGAAACACATCTCTTCTCCAGCTCAGCAACCAGGGATCGAAGTGGTGGGGCAATGGCCCTAAACTTGACATAGAACAAAGCTGTTGCCATGGCCGGCTTGATGGACTCTCCTTTGGCGAGCACAGGTTTCTTGGAGGTGATCTCAGCACTCAGCGCACGCAGCTTTGTGATAAGATGCATCTTGATGAGAGTCATGCCGCGCGTCATACATTGGCGGAAACGCATCTGGTATAGCTCTGAATCCTTGTATTTGATCTATCGTTTTTGTTTGTTTATCGGTCCGGTTAGTTACAATATCTGGTGTGGCTACTCAGTGGAAATTGCGATACAGTCTCCAGTGGTGAAGTTACGTTTTGCTGGACATAGTCTAAACACTCATCCAGTTTAGCGAGCATTGGAGCGAATTCTGGCCGAAGACAGACATCATCTCCGGGGGCGTTGAAGAGCCGCGTTACAGCCTCCAGTTGGTGGAAATATGACAATTTAGACGCCATAAGATCTGCCAATGTTTGCAGATTGGTCTGTAACATTCACAAACATACAATGGACGGCTATTAGTTGAAGACCATGTACGGAGCCAGTATCCTAATTCCCAAAGGCATTTAGCATGCACTGTGACACTACCTGTTCTTCCAGCAGTTTTTCGCAAGCAAGCTGCAATGCCCTTGTTTTCTCCTCCACAAAGGCATAGTGTCCCTCGAGACTCTTGAAACACTCGGATGTCTCGTCAATCTGCTGTAAGAATCCGTCGCACGCCTCTTTGTACAGTTCAACAACAGTCAGATAGTTCCTACGATGATCGGTATAAGCACATGAGGAGTTGAGAATGTTTCTTTGATCGTTGGACGATGCATACGATTAATAAAGCACACGCTGGTGACACATACCTGTAGACGTCCTCTTGATCCCGCTCCATCTCTCCTTCGATACCCGAGAACCAGTCCAAGAACTGCTGCGTGGTCTCGATCGGCACCAATTGCTCCTCGTCGTGCTCCTCGACATTGACACTGTCCTTGTTCGTAACATTTCCTAGCAACGACTTTGGAAGTGGACTCGGCTCTTTTGTGGCATTTGATTTCAATGAAAGCAATCCTGCTGGCTGCAAAGATGGTGAGGCGAGTAACTGGGACTGCTTGGTGGCGGCAGGGGAAGAGCCGGCCTGCTGCGAGAGGTCATTGAAAGAGCTGCTTGGCTTGCTAAAAGGTAACGGAGAGCTGTGTTCGGCTGCCAACTAGAAATGCCAATATCGCTGTCAGTCTGAGTTATCGAACGTAGTGTCGCGTGCGTAAAAGTGTCATGGATACACAGCATGCGAACTTGCATTTGGTGGCAAAGGCAACTCGGAGCATGCATCCTTGAGTTCAAGCACACTCTGTCGCTGTATCTCTGACAAAGGGGCGATGGCATCCCAGTCGAGGGTGCGATGGTGAGCTGGCCTTGCATGTGTCGTCATGGCGTTGTGGGTCCTGGTCGTCCTGGGGTGAGAGAGTGGTTGCTGGTACTGATGCTGGGCTGGACCTGCTCTGGAGATGACGCGAGGTTGGAGAGTTCCTTCGGCATGAACGACGGTCCTGGCGTCTTCTCCGCGTTGTTGTGGGTGGGGGTAGGCGAGGGTGAACCCTAAAGATGTATTAAGGGCCTTCCTGAGCCCTGTCCAAGTGTGTTTCCTCTATCATATGTTCTTGGCACTGACTCTGTGTGTGTGTGTGCCTGAATTTCTGGTTTCTGATCAGTTCCCAGGTGCAAGTCCAATTGCTGTGCGTCCATCATTCTAATCGCTTCATCGCCCTCATCACTCTCATCCCTCGTTCCATCCGCTTTCTTCTCTCATCCCTTCCTCCCCACCCTCGCTGCGCAGGCAGTTGTCACCCTTCCCTCGCTTACTGACCATCCTCACCGTTTACTGCCACTCCTCCGCTCACCCTCTCTACTCCCCTCGTGTTCTCCTCTTCTCTGTCCTTCAACACGACATCACACATCAGCAAACACACACCATGCCGCCACCAGCACTCGACCCATCCAAGAAAATCGACTTTTCAAAGTACTACTTCTACGGCACAGTCCTCAATGTCCCGCCCATCCTGCTCATGTACCCCGTGAGGACTGTGCGTCTACTGCAGCAGCGCAAGTCCTCAGTCCCTGTGTCGTCCTCCATCTACACAGTCCTCAAGGACGTCCACCAAAAGAACGGCTTCCGCGCCCTCTATGCTGGTGCAACCGTCTTCAGTCTGGGTCTTACTACCACCAAGATCCTACAGTTCGCGACGTACGACTATCTTGCCCAAAAGACCAAGGAGAACGATTACTTTAAGGTCGATCTTCTCAGAGACCCCAAGGTTCTCAGCGGAGCACTCGGCACCTTCTCCGCAGTGGTCACCACGTTCTTCGCAGTGCCCTTTGACATGGTAAGCCCCAAACGGATGATTTCTACTCCAGTCTGCTTCTCTCCCTCTTCGAGCGCTCTTTCCCTCTCCTATCAATTCTATTTTTTTTAGGGTTGTATGTTCTCCCTTTCCTTTTTATCTTTATATCTCTTTGTCCGTCCTCTACGATAAAGAAGGAAGAATGCGGGAGATGTGTTTATATTGCGATTATCAATCACGTCCGATGAGCCCTGTTCACATACAAAGACCGTATCGAGATGTCTGTGCCAGAGTCTGTACCCTTCTTGTGTCTCCAATGTGTTCCAACGCGCTATTGGAGATCAAAGTGCTTCTTTTTCTATTGTTCAACTGGACGGGGCCTTGTTGAAATTACAAATGGGTCGAGTTCCTGACTGTCCCCCTCTTCCTTTGTCATTGAATCCTTAGATCTCACAACAAATCACAATCGCCAAGGCTGGGGCTCAAGGAAAGGTCGTTCCCGCACCAGTTTCGACCACAGCTGCATCGGTCGCTCCACCACTCGTGCCCGAGGCAGTCGTTGCAGGATCAACAGCGTCAGCAACCAAAGCCCCCTTACACGTCCAAGGATCATTCGAACGTCTCCGCCCTGTGGAGATGCCGATCTCTGAATCGCTAAAGCTGCAGTTCAAACAGGAGGGCTTCCGGTTTTTGTTCCGTGGATATGTCGCCACGCTCATGTCCACCATCCCATTCTTTGCAGCGTACTTCCCTGCCTACGAAGTCACGAGAGTCTGGGTTAAGGATGGCATCCAGTACGTGCGCTCACTACAGTCGAACAGCGAGACTCCTTTCCCACCACCAGAGGTACATCAATTGATCATCTCCGCAGTCGCCGGAAGCATGGCCGCGTTTGTCGGCGTCCTGATCTCCTCACCCAGCGACATGGTCAAGACACGTATTCAGACGGAGCAGCGACTGCAGCCAACCAATGGATCGGGAGTCAAGCTGCCCTTGCCCTCGCTCAAGTGGAAGGATGTCTTTATGGAGATCTGGAAGAACGAAGGGTTCATGAAGTTCTTTGCAGGCACAAGGGCAAGGGCGATCCTTTCTGTCCCCGGAGGCGCTCTCAACTTCGTCATCTTTGATTTCGTTCGATCCATCAGTGCTTCCAAGCAGACGTCCGCGTCCCTGTCGCAAGTTCCGTTATCCGAAAGGAACAAGAAGGCCCTGTACTAGGGTCGCCTGACAAAACGCGGTGACTTTTATCATCTCCCCACTCAAAACCAATACACCTACATCTCATAGAACGACTTGTTTCACAATCATGAACCCCCTCCCCCAGCAAGAATGTACACATAGAATATCGTGCTTATCGACTAATCGACATATATCCATCCCATTCCGTAATAAAAGCAAAATTCCTCTTTGATTCCAAATGGTTCCCAATATTCTATTTGTATTGCGTTGAGGGACGATTGGCGTGATTGATAAGGTCGGGGGAGGGGGAGGTCTAGTGTGTCTGGTATAATGCATAGGGCAAGATGACTCGCCCTCTACTTTCTGTACCACATGGTCGTAACGCGGCTCCTGCGCATCTTCTTCTGCAGCTGAAGCACACCGTACAATAGAGCCTATGAACAAACAAATGCAGTTGGATGTCAATGCTGAATCCACTTGGGTCATATGATGCAGAGGCTGATAACGTAAAAAAAAAAAAAAAAAAAAACCATCCAAGATAATTACCTCAGAAGTTGGTGGGCATCCAGGAACATAGATATCGACGGGGACAATGCGGTCGCATCCACGAACAACAGAGTACGAGTAATGGTAGTATCCTCCTCCGTTAGCGCAAGATCCCATGGAGATCACCCAGCGTGGCTCGGGCATCTAAATCAAACAGCAAAAGGAGAAACGTAAAATTAAAAAAGATGGCCCTGTATCATTTTCATCAAATCCCGTTTTGAGAGGGGCAGACCGCACAAAGGTGTTTTGATGTCTAGGCATACCTGATCATAGACCTTACGGAGAGCAGGTGCCATCTTATTGGTCAAAGTTCCGGCAACGATCATAACATCGGACTGACGGGGCGAGGCACGGAAGACGATTCCGAGACGATCCTGATCGTAACGTCCGGCAGCCATGTGCATCATCTCGACAGCACAGCAGGCGAGACCGAATGTCATGGGCCAGATAGATCCCTCACGACCCCAGTTGATGATCTTGTCCACTGTCGAGAGAGCGTACTCTACAAGGTGGAGATACATTCCGTGTTAGAATCGCGTCTCGTCTTGATATTTATAGAGCATGCCCTGTATCAAAACGCCACTCTTCCGATCCAGTTTATCCAGTTCCCATGGTCCATACCGACTGCGTTGGAGGGCTGTTGAAGAGGTCCGGGATATGACTTTGTGACCGCAGTTGACATGGCACGGTTCTGAGACTGTGCAGCAGGAGCATTGGCTAGATATTTTTTTTTTTTGTTCGATTACAACGATGAGCGAGATGGAGTCAGTGATACAGCGTAGGTTTTCCAGCAGAGCATGTCGTTTGATATCCCGAATGTCATGTCCGAACCTTGCTCGTCCTTCTCGGAAACAAGTCCAAAGTGGCGAATCTGCTGGGTGGCCACGGGCTTGAGAGAGGCGCGGGCAGCTATACGATTGTAAACGATCGGACAGTGTGAGGAACATGGATGTGAGTTGCATGTGCTTTAAACTCGGATCCGACATTGACTTGGTGTTTCCGTAGATGCCGAAACGAGACAGGAAGAGAAGCAAACAGGTGCTGCAGTACCTGCGCCGATGACGGAAGCGCGCAATCCCAGGGTCGAGAGCATGGTGACCGTAGAGGGTTGCCTTGATTAGAGGGTGAGTGGAGAGGAGCGGAGAGAAATGAAGAGGGAGGGTTGTGGGGATGAGATGAGCGGTATCAAAACATCCGAGGGAGTTCCTTGGAAATGAAAGAGGGAGAAAGAATGAGATCAAGCCACCTGACATGCAATTGACAGTCGATCGACTAAGATCTGCAATTAGAGAGGGCATACCTACGTGTGATACTCAGTCCCCTCTTGCAGCTTGGAACGCGAGAAAAAAGAACGCCTTCGTGGGAAAATACTATCTTGCCCCAATGCCTTCAATCTCAGCGTGCATCGAGACGACTAAGAGATTCTGAGTGCCAGTCGGCGCATTCTGTTGAGGCTATATTTGCCTGCAATGGCTCGCAGAGCAGATCTTAGCCCCGATAGTATAAGAAAAATCTAGTGTGGTATGTACCCTACTCTGCATTATTTTTTTGGGCGACGCGTTTCGTGGAGCTAAAATTTGTTATTATTGTTTTTTTTTTTATTTGAGGTTCCCTGCCCATCCCGCTTTCTTTTTTTGTTATATGCTTTCTCATCTTGTGTTTGCTTGCTTCCCAACAATCAACCCTCCATGACCGTCCCTGCGGACTCACACAACCACAACTCAAGGCAGGACAAACTACGACCGTTGACAAGTCTGTCGCCGCCGATGCTGCCGACCGAACAGCAGCTCAAGGGCACAGCACATCAGCTTCCTGGGCCTCAACGCCCAAAGACCAGCAGCACACCCCAGAACTCGCTCATATCCTCCTGGCTCACACATCCCAGCCATTACAACAGCACCAATACCGGCAGCACCAGCGGCTACAACAATCGCGACGATATCGCTGGCAGCACCCGTAGTATCCCTCAAGGGAGCCATCACTTTGATAGAAGCACTCACAGTGTCACAAATCGACCATACCATCCCCCACCACACTACAGCAGTCAGGCATACGAACTCAACCGCTACGATCGTGCAGAAGGCATGGATATTGAAAGTGATGAACGTCGCCAGCAGCAGTACCACCACAACCAATACTATGGGGGCCAGCCTGAGCAAAGGCTGTTCTCACACGACTACCGACACAACCAGTCATATGCAGCCGCTGGTGCTTCGCCCATTGGCGCCACCGCAATTGGTCCACCCACTCCTCAGCCTTTTATCGACTTGACGGTCTCCTCAGACCCACCAGAGAAACGCAAGAGGGGGCGGAAGCCGAAGGTTAAGCCTGAGGAGGGTGCCGTCGATCCTGGAGCACGACCCGCCAAGGAAAAGAAGCCTAAGGAGCCTAAAGAGCCAAAACCACCCAAAGAAAAAAAACCCAAGGAGCCCAAGCCTCCCAAAGAATCGAAACAGAAAAAACTCAAGGGTGATGTATCAATGGGCGTCGGTCCTGCAGCCAAGGCGGAGCGATCCATCCTCAGTTTCTTTGACAGATCAGCGTCGTCCTCGTCCTCTAGACCAATTACCATACCCTTTGGAGAGGTAAGCATGCATGCATGCGTGATCGATTTGTTCTTGGCTATGAGACTCGAATAAGGACCGCGAGATGACTAATTATCTGCCTTGGATCAAATGGACAACTCCATAGGAGTATCGCAGCGATAGTAATGCATCCTCTGCTACCTCACCATCAAAGGGGGTAAGTCTCGGTCGTGAATCATACCCGATCATGTTTATTCATATAATAAAGGGTACTTACACGTATCTCTCTTTCCGCTGTGCCGCCTATAGTCCTTCAAACAGTCGTGCTTGTCATTCGACGTACTGGATCCTTCCAAGACCGACAGTTACTTTGCCAGTATGGCCGCAGCTTCCAAGGACGATGTCAGGCGATTTGGTGGCATCATGAGGGAACTGCCAAAACTGACTGGGCGTGCGCCGTACGAGGATTTGATGAGTGGGATGATTATGAGGAGTTCAAAGCTGCCCAACCTTAACAAGCTGAACCTCTATCACCCAGAGCTCAACATGGACATGCTAGCTGACATCAAGATGGTGCATGAATTCTTGAACACGTTTGGGACTCCTTTGGGATTGACCAAGGACTCTGGCGAGTGGATCACCTTTGGTAAGTGGGACCTACTTGGTATTCATCATCATCATCATTAATGTTCTTCTTTATTTACTCTTTGCTAACTTTGATATACATTATTTTATCTTCACTACGGCTCAGAACTGTTGCTCTCGATGATCAGAAATCCACGAATCGACAACCGCCTTCTGGATCTCAACTGCAAAATGATCATGGCAGCCTATGAGGACGGTCAGTCGCCACAGATTAACCAGTTCAACTTTCCGTACTTCCTCGCAGTCGGTCCGGAGGCAATATCGACACTGGAGGAAAAGAAGGAGGAGAAAAAGAACAAGTACTCGGCATCTTCCAGGAAAAGGCCCGCGACATTAGGACGACTTGGCGCAATCGAGTACTCTGTCTATACCATTGCAGATCGGATCGAGGCACTCGTCAAGGCACTGCACGACATCACGTCTTCGGATCGGTTTCATCGATTCATGAGGGATGAGGTCGAGGAAAACATCACGGCCCTGAAACGACAAAAGAGGAAACGCACAGAGATTCGCAAGGAGCTCGAGACCCAGACGCATGATCTGGAGCGGGAGATGAAGGCGATTGAACGTGAGGCTGCTGTGCTCGAGATCCAACGACAGGCCATCTTGGCGCCCGAACGAGAGCAGGGTCCACCAGAGGACGATACGGGAGCCACGAGGAGTGCGGCATCAAGGCTCCAGCGCCTTGCCCAAGCAAAGGACGCACGCTCCAAGGCGAATGACCTATTGAATCAGCAAAAATCGCTAGCAAATGAACTCAAGATCAAGGAAACAGCATGGGAGGCCAAAAAGGAGGAGCTTGAGGACATTTCCTTGGACGACATGGAGGTTCAGAAGGATCACAACGTACCTCTGACGCAGTTGCGTGGCGGGCAGGTCGTGAACACGGACGAGAAACTGCGGGTCATTTCTCTTGGAAGCGATCGCTGGGGACGCAAATACTGGTTCTGGAAAGAGTTTGGTGGTGTTATCGTCGAGGATCGAGGCCAGGTCGGTCCTCAGGTCGATCCCTCTGCGGCAGAGAAGGAGGCTACTACCGGCACAAAGCAGGAGGACAATGGTCAGGCGAATGTTCCCAGGATGGAAGGAATAGATTCAGCGGTAGCTCAAGGTGAGGACTCATCACCGACCAGCGATCCAGTCAACGATGTCACTCAGCGGATGAAAACTATGGCGGAGCCAGATTTGGCAGGCGACAACGTCCGAAAAGCGCGGGATGACCGTATGTCGATCAACAATTTGCTGTCGGATAAGAGCCCAATGGATGACATCCCATTTTTTGCGGCTCAGGATCGACCAGAGCCCGTCAAGCCTGTACTAGAAAAGGACCTCTTGGATTACGGACCGATTCAAAGCTGGAGTCTCATCTCGACCACGAAAGAACTAGCGTCTATCACCCGTGCACTAAACGCCAAGGGAACTCGGGAGCGCATTTTGAAGGCATCCTTGATCGCAATGCGAAAGGAGATTGAGGCGAGTTTCAGTCGAATCGCGAGTTGGGCTGGACAAGAGTTTGCGCCAAAGAACGAAAAGATCGTTTCTGTCATGGGAGCGGTTGGTCAACCGTTGAGCGAGATGGATCTCATGCTGCTGAAGAAGAAGAGGGGTAGGAAGAGCCGGCAGGAACTTGCGGATATTGCAGCGACCCAGAGGGAACTTGCTGCTCATGCCAATGGCGACAACAGATCGGTGGATATGGATGAGGATTCTTCCGCCGAGCCGCCCCTCCCGTATCATCAGGATGCTGACATGGACGAGGACGAATCCGATCACGAGCATCAGGCCCACGATGAAGACGCGGCTATTCAGGTCAACGGAGATGAAACCGAGCAAGGATTTTTGGCTGCGGTCCGTGATGCCGACTCTGGACCTCTGCCATCCGAATACTTTGAGAGGATTGTCCAAGCTGCGGAGGGAAAGATCGAGGAGCTCTCGCGCAAGATCTGCGGCGATAGCAAGGATGCAATTTCGGCCGCCGTTCGAGAAGTACAGGATATGGATGGCCATGAGCGCGATAGGCTGCTCAGCACGGTCAGGGTTTTGAGACATTGCCTTGAGGCCATGGACGAGGCTTCGGACGAAGAGATGGAAGAACAGGAACAGGAAGACGGCGACAAGCCCACTGACTCTTCCGACAAGGATGACAAGCAACAGGATGAGAGAATCGAAGGAGATGTTGCAATGGACAATGCCGAGACCGAGACTGCAGAAGCCTCGTCCGAAAAGCTATCGCTGACCATCCCTGTCACGGTCAACCCCCGACTCTTGGCTTGGCTGAGGACATGTCGGATCGACAGTATGTTGAAGAGCGTCAGGACATACGGAGCGTTGCATGCGTGGCTGGACGAATGCATAGTTGCGGTCGAGAGTGTTGTCTATGATAGCGATGATGAGGACGAGGACGAGGAGGAAGTGGATGATGCGCGGAAGAAAAAACAAAAGGATGAGGAGGCGGATGAGGATGAAGAGGAAGAGGACGACGACGAAGGCGAGGAGGAGGACGAGCGCGAGAACGAAGAAGAGGAAGGAGAGGATGCGGGTGATGAGAAGGCCCAGGATGAGGAGCACGAAGACGACGAGAGTGAAGACGAGGCTGAGGAGCATCGCGGCCGTCAGCGCAAGACGCGCCAGGAGGTAAGTCAAGGACATGGTTGAAGACGAGGACGTGGCTGCTTGTTGCCTTCCTCACTTTTCTCGATGTGTTCAATATGGTACAAAAGGAAATGTGTCCGACTCACACTTGATTTTGTTTCTTGACATGCTTGGTAGTCTCGCCTGAGGGTAACGACTGTCCACGGACGAGCGTTGCGGGCCAGGAATAACAGGACCGTGGTTTACAAGGAGGACGTGAAGGAGGACGAGGAAGAAGAGGGCAGCAACGGTGAGGAGGAAGAGGAGGAGGAGGAGGAAGAGGAAGAAGAGGAGGAGGAAGAGGAAGAAGAGAGTATCGCAAGTCGACTGAGACGATCAAAGCGGAGCAGGCATTAAATGGTATTCTACGAACACACCTAATACCCTGTGCGGGGGGAGAAGGGGGAGGTGATGACAGCATTATGATTAGAGTAATAAAAACGAAGACCATGCCCGGGACCCCGGATCCAGACATATATATCTTGATTCCCCCTGTCCCTGATGTCTCGTGCAGTGGTGAGGTCACTTTGGTGCAGACATATGATCAGTGATAGGGGAGCGCACCAGGTTCAGGTGTCCAGGGACGATCCATCAGTGACACACGTCCCTCCACACAGTCATCCATTTATAACGTGTTCGAGGCACCATGGCTCTTTTTTTTCTTCACACTGTCAGTTTCTTTGTTCAAAAACATCCCTTTCGGCGACTCTTCTTCATCCAGACCTCATATTTCATCTAAAATACCCTGCTGCAGCTATACAAACACGCTCTAACCCAACCTAACCCAACTTAACCCAACCCACAGCAAAAATGGCCCTCCTAATCCATCATGACGCTGTCCATGCAGCCACACCTTACTATGGACCAGCTCCAACCCCAGACTATGGCGGTACGGCTCCAGGAGCGCATCGCCCATCTCATTTCTTGGGCAGTCGCACTGTCCGCGACACCTGGATCGCGCTCTGGGTCATGTGGCTACTCTGGGCGTTGCTCTTGTAAGTGCCCTTCTTTATCTTTTTGTTCGAACGGTCAGAGCTGTTGATAATGCCAAGGCTAACAGATATACTTTTTTTTTCTGTCTCAATCCGTGCCAGTTTGACAAGGCACCTTCTTGGTCCTCCACTCGCAGTCGAAGCAGAGGGTGCCGAACGAGTGGTGACAGCCTCCAGTCAAGTGGTTCCCGAAGATGGTCCGTACGATATCACCAGGGATGGTGGTGGTGGTCTGCCTGGGGAAAGTGTTCCTGTGGCATCGCCTGCGCTTCGTCCTGCACCGCGACCAAAGAACTTTTTCGGACGCGCTGTTGACAACATTGTAAGTTCAAGCGCATCTTTGTGCACGGATGGTTGCGAATTCTGTTGGATGGCATATAAACAATTGACGTGAATGTGGGGTCAATGTGGTCCGTATCACTCTTTCTCTCCCTCCCTCTCTCTCTCTCTCTCTCTCTCTCTCTCTCTCTCACGCGCACAAAAAATAGAAGGAACGTGTTAGTAGGACACACGGCCTGGTCCGGGATTTGACCCTAATGCTCCTCCTGGTCGTGACCTTGAACAGCTTCGGTACGTGCGAGACGAAGCCTGGCACCCTCATTGATGGCCAACGTTACTTTGGAGCAGGATCCTTCATTAAACTGCTGGATAATTCTTTTTTTTTTCTTGTTGCTATTTCGCTTAGGTCTGGCGTCGCGGGTCTTTGTTCTCATCGCAAGCTGGACCTATGTAAGCAACAGCGCTGGTCAGGCTGTATAAACCATGCCGTATACATCCAACGCCTATCCAAGGGCATTCATCCTGCTGTCTCTCCCTTTTTTTGCTTCTATCAGGTCTTCTTCGCGTTTGTTTGGGCAGGAATGATGATCCTGCTCGACAACCGCATCATCGATCTGATACTTGGCTCGATCGAGATGCTGCTTCTCTTGGCGATGCTGATCGCTGCCTATGCGCTCGGATGGCACGTCGTCTAGGAGAATTCCCCCTTCCTGCTGGGAGTGTCTCGAACACGTTCATTTTTTTTTGTTTTATTCAGCTCAAGGGTGATTCAGCCATTCTGGAGGAAGGAATGTCATTAATTTCGTTTGTAATCATCTACCCCTCCCCCATCTCCATACTTTTCGTCTCCTTCCTTTGTTTCTTGCTTCCATGATGGACGTCCAAGTGATTTGACATAGCAGAGTTATTTTTTTTCTTCTTCTTTAGTTGTGATACGGAAGCTTCATAAGCGCCATTGCCTTTTCTCTTTGCTAATCACCTTTGCACAAGCAATATTCAAACGTTTAATAAATCTCGTTGTCCAATTTGCGTATTATATTCGCCAACAGACAAAAGAAGATAAAAGAGAAAAAAGAAATGAGATACTCTTTGCAATCCTTCTAGAAGCCTAGCATGAACGCGTGCTTGCGGGGGCCCAGGAGCTTCCTGTCCACAGCTCTTCATCGTAGACTTGAGCTGACGCGTCGACTAGCGATTTCCAAAACACGTGCTGTACCTTTTTCAGCGTACAGGCAAGTGGAAGAAGAAGAAGGGCTGCTGTTGGAAGAGAAGCTGCTTCTTCTCCACGCCCGCACATGAAAGGGCAAGCGATGTCGCCCCCCTTGCGCTCTCCTCCGTTCCAGTCATTAGAAACACCGCAGTGTGGAGCATAAGGAAGTGGAGGTTTAAAAAAAAAAGAAGTTTTATTCCCCTCCCCCTCTTCGTCTTCTTTCTTTCCTCTCACATGCTTTTGAATGTCGTGTCCCATATGAGTGGATGGATGAGTACGTACGGGATTCAGGTGCTCACAAGCAGTTGATCGGGGGCTGCCAGAACCGCCCTTTGCTCCTCTCGTGCATTCGTGCTTATGTGTTCCTTCGCGGCTCTTTTTTTTCATTTTCTCACAGGCGAGAGAGCCCCTTCTCTGCATACCAGAAATAAAACGGCCGTCCACAGAACGGCCTGAGCGGCAATAACGATGAGAAAGAATGAAGCTGCATACTGTATGCTGCATGTTACCGCCGCTGCTGCTGCTGCTGACGATGATGGTGATGACGGTGAATGCATGTGCGTTTGGGTGCTTGGCTACTACACAATCTCATTATCCACATCAATGGCATGTTTGTGCATGTGTCTGCCATGGAAGGAAGAAATTGCAATACACATGCAGGAAAGAGGAGTGTGCGTGCTTGCTTGCTTGCTTATCCTTTCTCGCGCGATTCAATATCTTTCTACACATCGTCTTTAATCGATCTTCTTTACTCTCTCTCTCTTCTTCTCTCTCTCTCTTCCCTTTTCTTTCCTTCATCCTTTCTTCTCCTTTTCTTTTCTTCTTTTTTTCCTCGGTCTATCCACCTCGACTTCTCCTCAACCTCCGCAACTACTTTCATCCGCCGCTCAGGTACAAACGCACCTCGAACAACCCTATGCCTGACATGCAAGCACACCCTGACCGCAACAGTTAATTAATTCAGTTTTTTCTCCCATCTGCCCCTCCTCGCCATTCCCCATCTCATCACAGATTCCACCTCATTCCCCTCCCAAGAGGCAAAGACATAAGAAAAAAGAAAGAAACAGCCATGACAGTGTCAAAGACATCGATAGTCAACGCAGGGGCTGTCACCGACACCAATGCCCTACCGGACATCCCTCCAACCGCAGAGGATCTGAAGACGGCCTCGAAAAAGAAGCCCTATCGCCACGACTTTCCCGTCCACACCAAAACCGTGCCCAGCCCGTTGTCGAAGGAGGCTCCGCCAGAGAGCTATCGCGGATTCGTGAACCTTGGCAGTAAGTTGCTTACCTGCTTGCTTGCTTGTTCTGTTGTTGGATACGTGGGTTTGATTGCGGGTTTGTTTGTTTGTGTACTCGGCGGTGATTTCAGATCGGGAGCACAAAGGACGATGACGGCACACAGAAAGTGCACAGACATGGATGGACCTGGACTAGATGGGAACCAGCGAGTACTTTCACTTTGCAGGCGCCAATAAGGAAAATAGACGAATATAAAGGGCAATTTTTTTTTATCGCTCGACGAACTTGAAGCTGACAGGACGCGGACAGAAATAGGGGGAGCGTCTTGCTGACGGTGAAGACACCTGGCGGTTATGGCTACCAATCCGAAGGCGCGTTGCGGCGACGAGAGGGAATGGGCTGGGCAATGGGCACCAGTGTTTACCTGCTATGCAGCCAAGCGGATAAGGGCTAAAAGATGTCCTCAAATTGACATGAGGGTGTAGCTCCCTCAGCTGATTGGTTGGCCAGTGCGAAGAGGGGTTCTTGCAAGGCACCCTGTTATCGGCCAAGCATATTATCCACAATGCTGGGCAACCTCGACCGGCCTTGTGCGCCCCGCTATCTTCCTTCCGACCATTACAGCCGAGTGATCTCTATCTCGCGTAAATAGCCCCCACCCAAGGAGCTATCGTTCAACGCACTAACAAACCTTACTACTTTTGTCTATTTAGTGCTACTGCTGTTCGGTAACAATATCCGCCTGATCATCGAAAACTACCTCAAGTACGGTTTCCTCCTCTCCATCCCCGGATCAAACGTGTCCCGCCAAGACTGGATTCTAACGGCCGTCACCCATGCGATCCTGCCCATCAATGTCCTTGCGGCCTACAAGCTGGAGGAATGGGCCATGAAGTTGGCTGTCGGGTTCAGGAAGCGTCGCTCCGAAGAGCTACAGAACGGCACCTCGCCTTCATCCGACATTGCAGCTGCCAAGACCGTTGCCGCAGGAGACGACACCAAGGATGAAAAGAAGTCGACGCCCATCAGGGTTCACAACGTCGAAACGATCGCAAAGGCCAATCAGTCGACCGTGGGCTGGCTCCACGTCCTGAACCTGTCGACCATCCTGGCGTGGCCCTCGTTCATGTCCTATTTTATGATCTACCACCCGTTCCTGGCCATGTCCTGCTTGATAAACGGCTTGGTCCTGTTCTTGAAGATGACTTCGTTCGCACTCGTCAACCAGGATCTCAGGGCTGCCTATATCTTTGATGCACCAAAGGAGCAGCTTCAGCACCTGGCTGCGGTTCACGAGGTTCCTGTTCCTAGCAACGACGACTCCGCAACAACGACATCTGCACCTGCGACGGCGGCGAACGCACATATTTACCAATACGATGTCCAATATCCCGACAACATCAAGCCCAAGAACATTGGCTACTTTTGGCTCGCACCAACACTCTGTTACCAGCCCTCCTACCCTCGGACCACCATCTTCAGGAAATCATTCTTTGTGAAGCGCTGTCTCGAGATTTTGACCTGTCTGGGCATGATGTACTTCTTGATCGAGCAGTACGCGACCCCGACACTGCAGAACTCTGTCAGGGCCTTGGATGATCTGGCGTTTGGCACGATTCTGGAGAGACTCTTGAAGCTGAGCACGACGAGCGTCATTATCTGGTTGCTCATGTTCTATACCTTCTTTCATTCTTTCTTCAACGCACTCGCTGAGGTATGGAGACTAGTGCATTTGTCATCGTTCTGTCGTTTTGAGATGTCAACACTAGAGATCAGCTATACCCACTCACTCGCTCGCCCTTTTTTCTTTCTTTTTTTCTTTCTTTCTTTCTTTCTTTTTCTCTCTCTAGGTCTTGTACTTTGGCGATCGATGCTTCTACCTCGCTTGGTGGAACAGTTCCCGCTTGAGCGAGTACTGGCGCCTCTGGAACAAACCCGTCTACACCTTCTTCAAGCGCCACGTGTACCTGCCCATGGTCACCGCAGGCTACAAGCCCGCCGTTGCCTCCTTCGTCATCTTCACCATCTCTGCGGTCCTACACGAGGTCCTTATCGGCTTCCCCACCCACATGATCTACGGATATGCCTTCGCGGGCATGTTCTTCCAGATTCCCCTCATCGCACTGACAGAACCCCTCGGTCATTGGAGGGGACGAGGAAGTGGACTCGGGAACATGATCTTCTGGGTCTCTTTCACCATCCTCGGCCAGCCAGCATGTGCAATGTTGTATTATTACCACTGGACCAAGCAGCGCATGGACGGATAAAGCGCACATTCCATCTGCACAATAGCATTTACCTTCATTTCAAATACATACTTATTAAGCCACATATCACTATTTGTTCTCTATGTTTGCAATCATCATGTTGTGAGATCGATATTCGAAATGGATCCTCAGCAAAGGCGCACTGAGAGGGAAAGGTACTGGTAGACGCTAACCAGATCTTAGTCGTCGTCGCTGATGTCCACATACTTTGGCTTCTTGGTGACTGAGCGTGCCTTCGTGGGACGCGACACAATCATCGAGACATCATCAAGATCTGCGAGCAGCTGCGTCGAAGCTGCTAGGGCCTTGGGTGGAGCAGACGACGACGAGTTCAGTGTCTTCGCTCCTGCAACAGCCCCCGTCGATGTCATCGAAGTCGCCAACGACGAGGATGAGCCCTCACCCCCCACTCCACTCAAACTTCCTCCTCCTCCATGGCCAACACCCCCATCACCTGATCCGGATGCTCCTGTCAAGCTGGAGCTGCTTCCGCCCATTCCTGATGACTTTCGGCTAGGAAGTGTCGGTCGCTTCTTCAACTGTGACACCTTAGATGGGGCACTGATAGAGAACATTGAGTCGTCGTCTTCATCCACGATCACCGGCGGGACCACACTGGCTGGTATTGTCGCTCCAGCAGAAGGCTTCTTGCTCTTGAACTCAGGTTCGTCTGGCCCAGATCCTATATCACGGTCTGTACCATCGGGAGTACCAAAATCACCGTCGACGACTCCATCGCCCATATCCACATCGTCACCATCGTCCGACAACGAAAACACTTTTTTCGCTGCACTGACAGCAGCACTGTGGCCCGGTGCTGACTTGGACGGCTTAGGAACCGGTGCAGCGCGCGAAGACAGTTTCTTGCCCTTCGGCTTTTCTTCCACATAGTCATCCTCGTCGTCGTCATCCACAGCGCCAGTATCTAGTTCCGTATCCTCGTCATCGTCACCTTCAGAGTCTGATGCAATGGTTCTCGTGCGCGACTTGTACGTAGCTTTGCCCTTTGGTTTTGATGCATAGCTCGTTGCCTTGGGTCGGTATCCCTCACCCTCGCTCACGTCGTCACTCGTTGGAGCCACAGCAGCAACAGCGACCTTTGCGGTCTCCTCAGGCTCGACACTCTTCGTCATCTTGCGTGGTGTGAATGTGCTTCCAGTCGGTTTCTTTGGCGAGGGCAAAAAATCGTCCTGCTCATCATCTTCATCCGAGTCCTGGTCCACAATCACGGGACGCTTGGCTCGAGCAGCTCGTGGAACTCTTGTCGAAAGCCCACGTGGCTCCACCACAATATCGTCCATGTCGACATCTTCGTCATCATCACCCCTGCCGCCACGCTTGGCTGACGACCCAAAGTCCTCATCATCGTCATCGTCACCATCGCTATCGAGGATCTTCTTCCTTGACCGGGCCTTTGTCGCCTTCTGCGGCCGAGTCGATTTTTCGTCTGCGCTCCCAGGTTCGTCCTTGATGATATCTGTCTTGGAATTAGAAGTAGTACCGTTACTGGCCTGCTTCACCTTCATCATGTCAAGAATCGACTGCTGCTTCTTGGGTGCCGAAGTCGTCGACTTCGTCGCTGAGGAAGCCGTAGAAGCTGAATCATTTTTGATGAAGCGCGATATCGACTCCTGCTTGACTTCAGCCTTGATCTCAGGCGGTGATGACTCCTTCTTGGCCGTTGAAGTTACTGCTTTCTTGACCACCGGCGCCTTCTTGGGCTTTGTGTCCTCGAAATCATCATCATCCAAGTTTTTCTTGACAGTGGTTTTGGGGCCGCCGAGGGCCCTTCCGCGACCGCCCTTCAATGGCTTCTTGCCCTTGTTGCCGCTGCCCATATATGCTTCCTCTTCAAGATCGTGCTGAAGCAGCTCTTCCCATGCGACAATGAATGCGTCCAAGTCTTCGTCCCAGAGCGTGTAGGCAGACTTGTCGATCAACAATTTTAGTTCTGCGTTCTTGAGGTCACGCTCTCTTTTGTGTTCCTCAACCTTTTCATGCGTCAAGTTCCAGATGGGCATCCTCAAGAGGTAGTCATACTCGTTACCCTTATCGACTTTGACTTTGGCTACTGTTGGGTCGGGAACCTCGGCAGAATCGATTTCGACATCCAGTTCGGCCTCAGTGTTGAAACCCTTTATATGCATCTCCTCGACAATCAGGGTCTTCTTGCGGTTCTGGACCTGCAGCTCTCCGGAAATAATCATCAAGATAAATCGGACCTTATTGTCAAGTCGCATCCACTGCTTGGTGTAGACGTCAACTAGATATTCCTAATAATTGTGAATAACAAAGCTTGTGAGAAGCGCTCTATAAACTGCAAGATTCTTTAGATTCAACCATGTGCCAGTTGATATTGGAACCATACCTTGCGCTTGCGGTAGTATTCAAGGCGGAGGTCATAGAACTCCTGCACAATCTCCTCGGCACTCGAGTACTTCTTAATGCGACCCTGTGGGTCAAAGCAAACCATGTTCGAGGTCGAAACAGAACCCACTAGCTTGAACTTAGACTCCAGGCCCTCCTCCCGCGCCTTTCGCATCTGATCTTGAGTCAGAGTAATAACCAGATCGATTCTTGAGAGAGTGCCGTCATCACGGTAGTCCTTGATCCAGGAGGGGGTCTTATCTGTTCCAGCGATCCAACTTTCGAGCTGCTCTTTGTATGGCGTAGTCCAGGTACGGATAGGGAGCTCCTTGACCCGGACATTCGTGTCATCAATCTCCTCAATGGTCCCCAGCACTTTATATTTGTGCTCCGCTTCCTTCTCGATCGAACCAACAAAGCCACGATACCATGGTACCATCGGGACTTGGTCTTCTCCTTTCATAAGCCGACGAATGTTGGCAATAATGTCCATGGGATTATAGTTGGGAATGTTGGAGCTCCAACCGGTACCGATACCGTCTGAACCATTGACCAGGACCATGGGAATGACTGGTATGTACCATTCGGGTTCAATCCAGTCGCCGTCCTCATTCAGATATTTCAAAAGAGGGTCGTCGTGTAAGTGGAAGATGCGCCTTGTGATGGGTGGGACTGTGGTGAAGATGTAACGAGCACTGGCGGCGTCCTTGCCACCCTGCATTCTACTACCGAACTGTCCATTGGGCGAGAGCAGATTGATGTTGTTGCTACCAACAAAGTCCTGAGCTAAGCCGACGATGGTCATGGTCAAACTTTGCTCGCCGTGGTGATATGACGACTTTTCAGAAACGTATCCTGCCAATTGCGCCACCTATTGAGCATTCAGGGATGGAGAAGTTAAAGCATCGATTAATATCGCATCGTCAAGAAGTCATAAACAGACGTTCAATTGTTCAGAAAACTTGGCCATACTTTGATTTCCCCGGCAATCTTCTTCTTAAATGCTCCAAAAATGACTTTACGCTGACCAGGTTTCAAGCCGTCGACCATGGAAGGAATAGAACGAATATTATCTGCCATCGAAAAGAGAATCAGCTCCTTGTTAATAAAATCCTCAATCGGAATCTTATCGATCTGAGTATCGAGATATGTGCCGGGCTACGAACACGTTGATGTATAAACATAGAAGGATGAGCGGTTAGCAATTATGTGCAAATGAATGGTCTCGAAAAACATTTAAAATGAGGGGCAGCCGGTCCCAAGATCTTACCTGGAATCTGGCAAGCCATTCTTTACGCTCGTCAGCTTTCTTCTTGTTGAAGGCCATGTCGACCAGCGCACGAGCCTCGTCTGTCGATGGAGCGAACTCTTTCTTATGCCGATCCATTTGACTGAAGTAGTCCTTAGCATCTTCCTTAGTGCTCGTACCCAAACCCTTATAGTACTTGATCCTCCACCCCCTGGCACCATCCTCAGACTCCTTCCACGCCTCGTACTGTGGAATTGTATAGAAGGTTTGCTTCTCTCTGCCTTTCGTAGCCTTGACGATGGGTGTGATGAATTCAACAAGAAATCCTGGGATCTTGAGCAGCGAGGGAAAGTAGTGGTCAAAAAAGTTGATGACAAGTCCTTTGATGTGAGATCCGTCGTGATCCTGATCTGTCATAATCATTAGTCGACCGTATCTCAACTCGTCGATGCTGGTGTAGACCTTGCCTTGCTTCAACCCGAGAATCTTTTTGATAGCCTCAATCTCCTTGTTGTTCGATACCACGCTGGTCGCAGTGTCTCGAACGTTAAGAAGTTTCCCGCGGAGGGGAAAGACACCAAAATAGTCGCGTCCGATAACGCTAAATCCGGCCATCACCAATGTCTTTGCAGAATCTCCCTCAGTGAGGATCAGGGTACAATGTCGTCCACCACGACCAGCCTTATGGGCGTCTTCAAGCTTGGGGATAGTGAGACGCTGTCGGGTCAATGTACCGTCTGTCTTTTTGAGCGCGAGTGTGTCCTTGACGGCGGCCCAGTTGACGACACCATCGACGATTGGTGACTTGATGACGTCCTTGACGAACTTTTCGCTGAGTTCGCATTTAGATCCGAAGGCGGACTGTTTCAACGTCATGTTCTCCTTGGTCTGGGAATCGAAGGCGGGGTTCTCGATCAAGCAGTTAATAAAAACCCACATATGACTCTTGATGTGGAAGGGCTTGACGTTGGTTGATTTCGACCTCTTCTTGACAGCAGCGATAAGCTCCTTGACGATTTGGTTTGCAATATAATCGACATGAACTCCTCCCTTTGAGGTCGAAATGCTGTTGACGAAACTGACTTGCTGGAATTGGCCATCGCTTGGGATACAGGCAATCTCCCAGCGTGGGTTCGTGTTGTCGTAAATCAGCTTGGGCTTTTCTTCGTCCTTCTCTGGTGTTGGAATGTACATCTCGATGTACTCCTTGAAGTTCTTGATCTTGATGCGCTCTCCGTTAAGATAGACCTTGATTCCCTTGACGCATCCCGCCATGTCATATGTCCTCTTCTTAAGAAGGGCCTCCAGATCCGCATCGATGCACTCCATGCCAAATCTCTCAAAGTCAGGTTTGAAGGTAATCCTGGTGAACTCCTCACCCTTCTTCATCGGTGCGATCTTTGGCTTGCCTGTGACCGACATATTTTTGCTGAAGACCTGCTTATACGTCAGACCGTTCGTCTTGTCCGCAGTCTCGACAATGAACTCTGTGCTGAAAATGTTGCAAAGCTTGGCACCATATCCATTTCTGCCTCCAGTGACCTTTTTCTGGGAATCGTCGTAGTTGGAAGATGTCAACAGATGTCCGAAAATGAGCTCGGGAACGTAGCAACCCTCCTTTTTATGTATTTCGACAGGGATTCCTTTGCCATTGTTGTAAACTGAGATCTGTCCGTTCTCTTTGTCGATGTTGACCTTAATAGTGTCCATGCTGTCATCACGGATCTATAACAGATGGATGCGATCGAGCGTCAATATCCATGTTTTTACGATGAAGGTATTGATCGTGCACAGTAAGTATGAAAGTACCTTGTTATCAGCTGCATTGACAATGATTTCATCCACAATCTTGTAGAGACCGGGCACGATGTTAACTTGGCGGTTGACAAACTTTGTCGAGTCCGGATCGAGCACCCAAAGTGATTGTTGGTTCATTTCCGTGGTTCCAATGTACGTATCTGGCCGCAGAAGGATGTGTTCGAGTGGCGTCTTTTTCTGATAGATATCCTCGATTGTACGGTTCTCGTTGTAGTCGGCTCCCTTCTTTTGCGCTTTCTTCGGTGGCGGCGTTGCGTCGTCGTCGTCGTTGTCCTTGTTGCCACCGTCCTCGTCGACATCACTGTTGTTGCTCAGTTTGCGCTTATTTGACTGCGCTCCGTTCGTCCCAGGTTTTGTCGGCTTTGCTGCCTTTGACTTACTAGGAGCTGCCGCCTTTTTTGGTACTGTTTTTGGTTTTGCGACCTGGAGCGAAGAAAATGCGAAAAAAAAAGGTATCAGTCATGGGTCATAAAAAGATATACTTTTGCGCAGGCGTTGTGGCGGAGAGCCAGCAGAACTGGGGAGTGCAGACGCACTGAGCCAAGAAAGTATCCACGACCACACATTGTGCATTGTCGAAGCGGGCTGTCCTGATGGAATGAGGAGTTGTACCTTTTTTGTGACTTCAGGTTCATATCCGTCACTCTCATCCTGCGACAGAACAAAGTTGTCTTCCTCGCTGTCCGACATGATGGTAGGTTGCAGCCAGTCTCAGCTGTGTGAATGAGATGAAATGTAGAGGTTGCAAGACTGTACTGCTGGAGTGAATGGGGCAGTCTGAAGAGGAGGGAAGTGGAGAATGAAAGAGAACCGTTGGAACACGCGTTGCTGGGGAAAGTGTGTTGTCCTGGAATGAGAAGCGCGCTTTGAGCAGTCCTTTCCCGTGATTGCAGGAATGCGGATTGTACGTTGTACGTAGAATCGGTAACTTCATCCCTTTTTTTCCAGCTCGCTTAGTACACACTCTCATCAACCCTCACACTCTTCCTCCCCCATCATATACTCGTATAAATCCTCACCATGTTCATCCTCGATTGGTTCCGCGATGTCCTGTCCAGCTTGGGTAAGTACAGCAGTAGCCACCGACCAACGACTAGGAACTCTTCAGCATCTGCCCTGCATCAGAACAAACAAGACCGGATCTGTCCACGCCCTCGGTTTTTGATAATGGCGCGCCTTATCTTTATACTCCCGCCGGGCGCATCACTTTCACCTCTGATGCTTATCCCATTCAGGTTCAATGGCTCTTTGGATATCATTGTTGGACTCTCTGGAACAAGAAATCCCTGGGATACAAGGGCAAATCATACGTAGAACGCACCATTGTTTTTACACACAACATACGCGACTTCAGCCCCTGTTATTTGATGAAGGGGCGAACTCTACCACCAAATCCGAAGAATCCGTATCCATCATCACCGCTGGAGCCGATGTTTGGGCGTAAACTGTCCGACATATAGCGCAATACATATGGGTGTCAGATCGAATGTCTAACGCGCTCTTGCTTTTATGAAATATTAGGCCTTTTCAACAAGAATGCCAAGATTCTTTTCCTCGGTCTTGACAATGCTGGAAAGACCACTCTGCTCCACATGTTGAAGAACGACCGCTTGGCCACTCTCCAGCCTACTCTCCACCCCAGTATGTGCTACGTCTGCCAGACCTTGATTATGATGACTATGTTGCAATTGCTGGCAAACGGTTTAATGGACCATAATTAACACTTTTGTTGTTCTATTCCAGCCTCTGAGGAGCTCTCAATCGCCAACGTCAAGTTCACGACGTTCGACTTGGGTGGACATCAGCAAGGTGGAGTAGATCGATCATACCTCCATAATAGCATTCCTCTTGCGGATGATCTTTCTTTGGCAATACTGACATTCTTCAACCTTGTTCCTATTTCCGTAGCTCGTCGTATTTGGAAAGATTACTTTGCCGAGGTCAACGGCATTGTCTTTTTGGTCGATACCCAGGATCGCGAGCGCTTTGGAGAGTCCAAAGCTGAGTTGGATGTAAGGGCTATTTTGCCGCTTCAAAAGCTGTTTGTTTACGCGCAAAAGTCGATGTGATGCTGGAAACTAACCGTGCCTTCTTGATGCTAACTTTCTGAAATATAGGCCCTCCTCGCCATTCAGCAGTTGGAGCGCACCCCGTTCTTGATTCTTGGAAACAAAATCGATGCCCCTGGCGCAGTCTCTGAGGAGGAGCTCCGCTCTCAACTCGGATTGATTCAGACCACTGGCAAGGGCAAGGTCCCACTGAAGGACATGCGCCCCATTGAGGTCTTTATGTGCTCGGTCGTCATGAAGCAGGGATACGGCGATGGTATGCTTGCTATCGCTTGAGCGCGAATTATCATTTATCTTATCTCGATTATACTAACTGATTCCACCTTTATGTATCACTAGGTTTCCTCTGGATGTCCCAGTACATCTAAGTGATAGACATATCAACATATTTGATGTCGTCCAAAATATGTAGCTGAATTGCACAGAGCCAATTTTTTGTCATCCAGCTGGATTCTATCTTCACCGTTACCTTCATAGCCTTTCCGTTCTCTCTTTCAGCTCTATAATACAGTCATTTTTTATGATATATAATCACCTGTCGAGTTTATCTACGCGCATGGGTTTAAAGAGTATAAATAAGACGCAGAAATTACAAAAGACCTCAATGAGAGCGTGTTTATTAATGCCAGTAGCAACTGCGGACATCGAGACGCGTGGACAGAAAACGCCTTGAAAAGGGCATATGCAGAAAGGCGTGTCTGAGAAGCTAGCTTGTAGACTGTTGTATGAGCCATACTATACGCCCCGAAACTCGGAACAAGAAAGCACAGAAGCAGCAACGAGCCACGGATAAAAGGTTGCAGTTTACTAAAACAAGCAAGGCTGCTGATCTCCGTTGTATCACACTTCATCATGGTAAGGGCTCACTTTCGTCCTCAGTCGTGTAGACTACATCTTCATTCATTGACATGAACATTTACTTCAAGGTCTGCTCTTATTCGCAAAGTCTTCTTCCATAGCCATGGTCTCACTGCATGGCTCTGACCACTTCAAAGATACGTACGATTCTGCGGAGCTGGGAGTAGAACAATGGCAACCTTTGTGGATGACGGGGCTCTCGTCCTTCCTGGCCAGGCTTTTGAGGCAAACCTTGAGAATGGACATGCACATGGGCTGAGCGGATCATGATGTGTGATGTGAATCCTCTTCCAAGGATGTTAATCCCCGCTCTCTTTACTCTCTCCATAATATTAAGAGAGTGATGCGGCTAGGGATGAGTTCTTATTCTTCTTGTGACCTTGCATGGAACTCCTTTATCGCGAATAGATCGGAATGTTGCACAAGCTCTTTGATTGCTAATGTGTTACCGTTGAGGCTGTGCACCACGCGGGCCAGATATACGTGTCGATCACTATGTCCCTTCAATGCAGTGCGAGCACCAAGTGCAAACCCATTATGCTGCTGACAAAGGCTTTTCTTGCTATTGCACATTTTCATCGTTTGGTTCAATCTTCACTA